AGTATAATTCTGTTCCATTCTCATTGTACAGAGCCACCGGGGGCATCGGTGTAGAAAACTCAACTCACGCGTGCTCTACCATCCCAGGTCATATCTTCCATCACAGTCCAGAAGATGGGGTTACTGTTATCTCCGGCCTCTATCCTCTTGAACGGTTCCGGGTTATGGAAATTGAGAAGGGACATGCCGAACCACACAACATCACTAGCTTCCATAATCATAAACGAAGAAGAAAAACATAACTAGATTTTAAAATGTAATAACAATCACTGTTCTAACAATAAAAAAGTTCGAAGTTCTATTTGTCTCGGATGTTATAGATACTATACTAGGAATCTTCCGGATACAATTTATCCATAATAGAATATTTTTTAATTAACAGTCAAAAATATATTTATTTTTTAATATCTTGAATCAGAATTTATTTGATGTTTTGAAAATATTTATAAGATAAAAATCAGAGTAGTACCCCATATGCCGACGATGACTTCCAAACTAGTATCGTAATCGATGAGTCAATAATTGCTTTAACCATCAATTTCAAAACCAAAATCGACATATCTAAGGATCGCTAAAAGCTTCCTGTTAACTAACCCTCCTGATTGCCTAAGATATAAATACCATTGTTTAAAGTTACAGGTTTAGTCAACAGCACCTTATGAAGAAAGCCCATCAAGTCTTGAAACGGGATCTATTCAATGCATTGATTTTAGGCAAGACATAAGAAAGCTGAAGTGTCAGGATATGAAAATATACTTGATAAATTCCGCAATATGGAAAATAGAAAACGAGGCTTTAAATGAGGAAAAAAATCTCGAGTTCTTTATGAAGCTCAATACCCCAGAAAGGGTAATAAATTTCCTCAATTGGAAGTGAATAGGTTGAAATAATTGCATCGCTATAACGGTACGTTCAAGATGGCCGACATGCGACCAAACTTAAGCGGAATAAAATGTGGTATTACTGCCTACACGTCGGTGGACAGGAATGTGCAGGCGATGACGTCTTATCCCTGATTGGCGGTTGCTCAACTGAAAGTAACTCTCACAAACTTAGCAACAAGAGTCTTTGTGAAGTTGTACTTTACGGAAGTAAAGTGGCTTATTCAGACGTTCACTCTAACGGGAATCTAGGTCTGCAGTAGCGATTAATAATTAGTACAGTTGGAAACTTCATAATTCAAAGAAATTGTGAAGGTAAGCAATTCATGCTAACTCACTACCACTAGCGGATCCAGGATTTAATTTTGGGGGCTTTAGTCCGAAAGCTTTTTTTTTTTAAATATAACGATTATTACGTTGGAAGAAAAAGAACTAACTACCTATACGAAGGGGGGTTTAAGTGCTCCTTGAAGTCCTATTAAATGTAATTACACGAACAATAATACTTTTAAAGATAATTTTTCAATATTTTTTTTCATAAGATTTGGTAATATTTTACAATTTGGGGGAGGGAGGAGGGGCTTCAGCCCGAAAACCTTCCCCTGTAGATTTGTCTGTGTTCATTATTAATCAAAGTGAACAGTGAGAAAGTAATAATGCATTCCTTTAAATCTGTAACGCCTAATAAATCTGGCAATCTTTTGTAATTTAGAGTAGCAGCTTTAGAGATTAATAATATTAAATTAAAAGGAATAACATTAAATCAATTGACTTGATAGAATTTTTCTTGTGACGCTTATCAGACATAAAATATACAAATTACCATTGCAGTAGCGTGAATCAACGGCTCTACTCAATAATAACACTCCCCTTTCACATTATGGGTCTATTATGAATACCACAACTAAAAACGTTTTCTACTCGATTAGGTAGAGCGTCTAACGGAAGCTTCATAAAAAAATTGTTAAGAAAGACTATTTAGATAAATTAATACCTTAATTATTATTTAATAGGGCAGATAAATTAACTAAAAATAATGATGAATCAACCGTGACTTCCTTCATTTATATGGAGAGTTCGAATTTCAATCATGAAGCATCAATACGGCAGGCAATTAGACAGTAACAAGACTGCTCCACACAATGCACACAAGTGCAACAGATGCGGTTTAAGAAATGTGCTAGCCAGCTGTTAGGGACAATAGTCCTCAATATTTTTTGCCATCTCCCTTTTAAAAGATCTTACAGAGGGATCGGGAAAGGTCAGTCTTACACATGTGCTCTACACGTCCTTTGTTGTATACTCGGGGTACCTTCAAGGGTCTTTTCCCGATCCTTGTCATTCAAATAATGGTTTAACGGTCTTCTTGCTGCTCTAAAAATCTGACACAATCCAATCGTCACTGAATTTATTTATAATAAAAATAAAATCTTGAGTGGAGTTTCTATGCAGATATAACAAACGGAGTTTTATAGTTACTTTATATTTATCTAATAAGGAAATTATTCTTTTAAGAACTATCTCGTCATTTTCCTGTGTTCTATCAATTAATGCTTGTCTACCAGAAAAAAACACATCGTTCTTAGTTACCTATAAAACCAGTAAAAATATTTTATTTTTACAATTTAAGATTTTAATTATTTTTCTAATTTGTTCCATATCATCTCTTTTATTTACAATGATTGAAATTATATGTTTATTGTAAACGAAAACAAAATTACCACTGTTTTTTATTCACTAAGTATAGCAATAGTATAGATAATTTCTTTTCTAAAAATGTTTTACTTAGACTCACCATAGAGCATAAAGACGATAGAAAATTATTATCTATTATTGGTGTAGATATGGCTGAATGAATATGTAATTTTAAAAGTTAATCAATGAAGTAAAACACAAACATTTGAAAGTTTTTATTATGTATCAACGTTTCGGTCCAAGTTTCCTTAGGGTAGTAGTGGATTAGGAGATAATCGGGAGAAGACCGCATTCCTCGAAATACATATCATCATCTCATAATATTGACTGGGTTAAGATAAGAACATTGAAAATATATAAAATAAATCTTCGCTTAAAATTTGCCGTCCTCTAAACTCTGCAGTCCGAGGCTACTAATCTCTTCGCTTTCCCCCAGTCCCTGTACCACTAACTGATCCAGAGTTTAATTTTGGGGGCTTCAGTCCGAAAGATTTTTTTTTCTTTTTGTACAAATACATTAGGATAATCACTTCGGATGAAAGAACGAAACTAACTACCTATATGAAATGGTCTTTAAGTGATTGTTGAAGTCCTATTAACTGTAATTAGACGAACAATACTTTTAAAGATTTTTTTTTCTTTTTATAAAACATGGTTATATTTTGCCATTTTGGGGGGTAGCCCGAAAGTCCCTCCCCCCACCGTAGATGCCGGTACTGCAGTAAATTTGTCAACATAGGCCATAATTTTTTTTATTAATATTTTGTTCATTTATATTATTTGATGACTATTCTATCACATATTTTTATTTTAATTGTGTAAATCGTATTTACCTTTACTTTTTTTCTTCTTTTTTTATATCACAAGTAGTCCACTGTAAGATACAGTGATATAAGTTCCTCCGAGACGCATTTACAAAAGGACAACATTGTAAAGATGTAAATAATTCATAAGGAATCGATATAGGCTGCCGCGACGTTGCATTGAGCGCGCCACCCCTGAACGTCAGTTGCCTCTTACCGAGCTCTAGACTTCTTATCATTCTAATCTTATTACTGACGAAAACAGCGGCCTCACTTCATTTGACTAACTAATAGACGCCACCGACTCATTGTGCCCTTAATAAGGTCAACAGCCACTCAAGATGTGTGTGGGTGACAAAACTATTGAACAAAATTTGTTAAAAATCTATTAAATGATTCCAATATTACCAAATAAATATCATCCTTTATTATTAAATATTAAAACCTTGTCGGCTTTCTGCAATGTATTTTACAATATCTGTCTGCAGTTACTATAAATTAAAACTTTATGCAGGCTTGTTTCAATATTTTTACAATATGTTTAATTTCCAATGGCGTTCGAAAAGCTCAAGAATTTCTAAAAGTAATATAATTATAATGTCTTATTTAATAGGCTATTTAGCCAATAGAAATGCTACCGTTTCGGTTGATAATATAATAATATTTTCATATGTTAGCACATAAATGGTGCCTCAAAACTTTCGTATGCATCCGCCAATTCTTGGTAATCTTTTAATTTGTCATTTGAATTTGATTTAAATAATACCCCACTTATCCCTGTTGAACAAATCCGATACCTTGGACTTCACTTGGACAAACATCTAACTTGGAATCCTCATACCAGACTGAAACGACAAGAAACCGCTCGACGTTTCCGACTACTCCAACACTTAGTAGACAAACGCTCTAAGCTTTCAGTTAATTACAAAAGACTTACATACATGACTACAATAAGACCTATTTGGACTTACGGAGTTGAGCTTTGGGGTTCCACTAAGCCATCGAATTCCTCTCGTATCCCATCCAAAATCCTTCGGAAAATCCTCAATGCTCCTTACTTTGTCATCAATAAAATAATCCATAATGACCTTAATGTTCCTTATGTTTCCGATTTGGCCCAATCCAGATACCAATCCTTCCATAATAAACTTCAGAACCATCCGAATCCTCTCGTCTCTAACCTTGCTTCCTCTTCTATTCCTGATAACCCTCCGAGGCGTCTGAAAAGAAGATGGCCTCGAGATCTCTCATTGTAAATACATTTTGTTTTTAGAGTGCTACCAGTGGGTTGTTTCTCAACAAGTCATTTCATGTTTTTATTTCTGTTATCAAATTTACTTAATGTATTTAATTTTTTAATACAGTTGTAAATATCATGAATAAATAAAAAAAATAAAATAAAAAAATAAAATAAAATAATTTGATTTAAAAGCAAAATTTATGATCTGACAAACTGATAAAATCTTCCTAGTCAAAAAAGCTCGAGAAAAAAAATTAAGAAAAATCTTATCACATAAAAATATCATTTGGCCAAATAAGCACCAAATTAAAATACACTTATACTATTATTTTATTTTTTGTGAAACTTTGAAATAAGAAAAGAATGTTTCTTTTGTTTCAGATTTCGGATTCTGAGAAGGATATTATGTCCTCGGTTGTCTACTGTATACATCATAAGGAAGGATGTAAATGGAGCGATCAGCTTAAAAAACTCAAGGTAAATATTGTCATAATTATTATTATCATCTTATTCATTAAAAACGAAATACGAAGAAATAGTGCAATGGTACTTTGTATTGAAATAAGTAGACAATTTCTAAGGTTTTAAAAACCAAACTGAGAAAATTGAACTCAATTTAGCATAAAAGTTATCTGAAACATGACATCTTCAAAAATCAAATTAATATGTTGGGCATATTAATATATCTGTTGTATTAGTAAATAGGGTGCAATTTCGTAGATTTCGATTTGTTAGTTTAAAACTCAATATTTTTCTCTTCCTTTGTATCACATGAATCAATCAATACAGTTACACACTTAGTAATCCCTCTCATAAACGGACAGCCTATATATGGGTAAATAAAAAATAACTTAAAAACTTTTTTTTTTCTTAGACCTTGATAAAAGAACTAATTAAACCATAAGAATGTGGGTCTTTAGGTATTTAGCTATATACATACTTTTGGAATAACTTTCTTCATTTTTTAAATTACAATTACATACTAAATAAGACGAAAATATAGTGAAAATTAATATTTTATAAACTAAGTACATACAAAAATCATATAGTTTAAATTGTATGTTTGACTATATATTGATTTTAAAATATCAATAACCCTCTACGGTAGAGGCGAATAAAAAAATATCAATGAATAATTCAATCATAATTAACCAATTCAATTTATCATAAAAAGAACGGCCACGAACCTGACTTACAAATCAATGGGTAATACGAATCAATAGCCCAATAACCTTGTCATGAAAAGGAGAGTCTGAGTTGCATCGAATGGTGGTAGGCTTCATTTTTCTTTTCTTGTATGGATATTAATGTAAATTTATGATGTGACTGAGATGCAAAATCCAAGTTTTCGACCTCGGCTCCTCCCTCCCCTCCAGGACCAAATAACTTTTGAATATCTCAAAAACTGCTACATTTTCGATTTTCCCTATTTTATCGATGAAGGAGCATGTTTTCGACAAAAATCATTCTATAAATTTTAAAACTAGAATAAATATGCTACAATGATACACCAGAACAAATTCAGTAAACCAAATAGTTTATGAGATACATATTTTCATATTTCAATATGAACTTGATTCGAACTTGAAAAGTTTAAAATATTTTTTCTGTTTGATCATATGCACTTGTCTTTGTATCTTCAATAACCTGTCTTACATGATTCAGTGAAGTAAATTTTTATTCATTTGAAGATTATGAAGGATGGGTGTGGGAGAAGGAGTGATGATCACTTTTCATAACCAGAAGACTGAAATTGAAATAAAAATGTATTTAACCAACACTCACAGCAAGTGCATACCAAAATAGTAAATGAAGTGAATGAATTTTTTGAAAAATGTTGATCTAATTTCATGTTTATTTCCTCAATAAGCTGCTTTATAAGAGTTAGTGAAGTAAACATTTAAAAAAAAAAAAAAAAAGTAAACATTTACTTTTATTGTCTTGAAGTAGTAGTTTACATGGATATAGAAATGGCTATAAATAATAAGAGCTATAAATAATTGGTAAAATGAGTGAGCTAGAATGACTGAAGTTATTTATTGATTCGATCTATTTCGTAGGTGCGTAATTTTAAAACTTGTAATTTGCATCTCAGTCATATCCCATACAAGAAAATAAAAAGAAACGTCTACCCCCATTCTATGCAAGTTACGATGTACAGGTCTATAAGCAACCGAAACATCGCGCCTCCGGAAAGATTGATTTAAAGAACAAACATTTTTTTTAGAAAGATATTTGATGTACCACTGTGAAATTTTATCGTGAATATTTTAAATTAAGATATAATTGCAACAGCTCAAGTACAAATATAGTTACACTGACATCTAATTTAGTGAATAATAAAAACTTTTAAATGTTTTCTATAGACCTAATTTCTATATTTTGATTCCTTTCGTAATAGATGGACTGAAATACCTTGAGATACTTGCTAAAGAAACAAAGGCTGAAAAATGCACGCATTGGCAATTTCTGTTTCAAGTTACTTAAAAGCTAAATGGCTAAGTAATGGTTGTTTCTTATTTCTTCTTAGTTAAGAAGTCCGTCGTGACAGACGAGTTGGCATGCCTCAACTCCGCAGGAGCAAACATAAATAAAACTGAAACTATAAATACTGTTCTTTACGGCACTGTTTTGGTAACTTTTGACCAGATGCTCAAAATAACACTGAAGTTAAAATACATGTAAAACTACGAGACAAAACATAAAAATATCAATAAAATTTAATAGCACTGAGTACCAAGTTCTTATATACTTGAGTGAATCAAACTCTATTCACAATGAGTATAAATTATACTGCTTTTAATCACTTTAACAAGTTCTGAAAACTAATCATTATTACACATTAATCAAAACAACTAATTACAATTTTTTTTATGGTAAAATAAATTACCCCTTATAAATTAGAACTGATTACTTAAATTATTTTATTAATTAATTGAATGCTGAATTGGACTTTTAAAATGCACTAAATTTGTTTCTTTATAAGTAATAATTAATATGCAATTTGAATCTAAAATATTTATCATTTTTAGGCACACCTGAATACATGTAAATATGATACTATGCCTTGCACCAATCTCTGTGGCGCCCAGATCCCTCGTGTTCTGATGGAAGACCATTTAAGGTACACATGCCCTTCACGGACTGAAACCTGTGAGTTTTGTGGTTCAGAATTAAGTGGACCTGCTTTGGATTCGCACCCTGGTAGCTGCCCAAAAGAACCACTATACTGTGAGAACAAGTGTGGTGTCAGGGTACAACGAAGGCATCTACCCAGGCATAAGGCAACGGAATGCACCAAAAGACTAGTCCCATGCAGGTGAGAATATTTATAAATAGATAAAAATAAAAAATGTAATGTTTCATTTCTTAATATTCATATAATAATATCTATATTATAATAACAGAAATATTCAACTAATTAATCAATAAATAGAAAAATATGGCATGAATAAGCTATATTTTGAAAGTAACTGATCAATAATTTTGAACTGTAGTAGAGAGATAAACATTAGTATATCTTAAATGCAGTACACAACTTAAATACAAAAATTATTTTTTAGTAGGTTAGTGAATTGCCATTTTCAAAAAGTATAAAATCATTTATACTTTAGACATGGGTATATAGTTGACTGTTGAAATTGTAGGGATGAAAAATGGTCAGGATGTGCAGTCAAGAAATTAAGTTTATTGACTTTACTTTTTCGATCCATACATAAGTCATCACCAGGGTAATGGTTTGAAGGCTGCAAAAGAACTCAAAGTTAAGGTCAAAGTTCTTCCTGAGTTCTTGGCAGGCCTTCGAACCGTTGTCCTGATGACTCACATGTTTGGGTCAGAACATTCAATAAACTTAATTTTTTGGCTGCACATCCTGACCATTTTTCATCCCTACAATTTTAACAGTTAACTATATACCCACCTCTAAAGTAGTAAAGATTTACTACTTCACTAAACTAACTCCATGGTGCTACAGACCGCTGTGGTCCTTGGCCGCCTCAATGAGCTCTCGCCAGATGGTTCTATCTTGCACAGTCGCTCGCCAGTTGCGGGTATGCAATATTTCTCTGGCATCCCGGATGAAGGCGTCCTGACCGGCGGCAATTCACTGACCTCCAGAAAATATATTTCATTTTTTTTTTATCTTTTAATATCAATCTATACCTATCGACGGATGTTGACAATCAACATATGGTCTGATTAAAGTAACAAACTGACATGTCATGCATGGAGAAGGATAGCACGCAGCAGTACCTCTTCCCTATTTTTTAAAATTTAAATTATGTATTTCACTTAAAAGATACAAATGTTTATCTCTCTATTAAAATTATTATAATTTTATTATTAAAATTATTATTACTATTAACACCTTTGATGGCATTGAATAACATAATTTGTCTAAATAAATTTTATCTACTTGCAGGCATTGTGGCGCAAGTTTTGTGAGTGACACCTTAAACATTCATCACAGTAAATGTTCCCGCCTCCCAGTCCCTTGCCCTAATCGCTGCCAAATGTCACCAATAGCCAGAGAAGAACTTGAAACACATCTTAAAGAACAGTGTTCTTCACCTTTAACACCCTGTGCATTCAAGGATGCTGGATGTAGATTCAAGGTAAAATATACAACATTATTTTAATTTGATAAACAATAATTTTTCCAAAATAAGATAAAGATAATATGAAAAGATAACATATATCATTATCTAAAAATTTTTTTTTAAAACAGGGACTTCGTGGAGGAAGTATGGAAAGGCATTTAGAAGAAAATACCCAACAACATTTAGCCCTAATGTGCAGTCTTGTATCTAGACAACAACATCAAATATCAAGTCTGAAAAGTACCCTTTCAAGACTGTCTCTCAATACATCTGGTACTTTTTATTTTTAATAATACTAAATAATTAAGTTTAAGGATAGGATAAAAAAAAATATCAGTTCAAAATCAATACATGTTTCTAATTCAGAAATACCTGAAGTATATAATTTGTTCCTATTTAAATTGCAGGAACCTTGGTATGGAGGATTAATGATTTCTTAGCTAAAATGACGGAAGCGCAATCAAAAGAAGGTATGGAACTAGTCTCTCCAACATGGTATACTTCACAGTTTGGTTACAAACTTCAAGCATCCCTTTTCTTAAACGGAAATGGAACTGGTGAAGGAACCCATTTATCACTTTATATCAAATTGCTCCCTGGAGAATATGATGCACTGCTCAAATGGCCATTTTCACATTCAGTAGCTTTCACCTTGTTCGATCAAAGTGAAAAGGTAATTTTTATTACTGTATTTTATTTACTTAGATACTTATTAAAATATCACTACTTTAATCAATACAAAAAAAAAACTATACTTCACATTGTTTAGTCTTATCTCCTCTCCTATCACATCATAAATAATTTGTTTAGGAAGAAAATAAAACTTTGTATTTCATATATTTGAGCATAATTTCATTAGGAATTTTTTTTTTTTCGTTTTAGGCATGCAATGTCGTTGAAAGTTTCGTTCCTGACCCAACCTGGGAAAATTTTCAGAGGCCTAGCAAAGAACCTGATACACTTGGATTTGGTTTTCCACGATTCATTTCTCACGAGATCCTACAAAAGCGAGGATTTGTTAGAGATGACACCATATTTATCAGGATAAAAGTCGACCCAAGCAAAATTGTTGCTGTCTAACTGTGAAAACTCGTATATTTGTAAATTTATTTTTAAAAATTTAATAGTCAAAAAGGAATGTCAGCAACATATTAGTTTTTAAATTATATGACTGAATAAACTAATGTTATTATTATCATATAATAAGAGCTAATTTTAAATTCAGAGAAATAAATTTTGATCTTAAAAATTACACTGCAAGAAAATAGTGCAATTTGAAAAATTATGAAATTAAATTTATACAAAAATGAAAAAAAAAAATATGTAAGTTTTAGATAAAAAGATCATTTATTTATTTCATGTTGTTGACTTTGTATAATATTTATAGTTTAAACTACAAATACCATATCAATAATGTGTGTACATAAGATCTCATCAATTAGTTTATAGTTAGAGCACCATTTTTTTTAATTATTTAATAGAATTAAGACACTTAATATTCCAAATGTATTTATAGTTATTAATTGCCAAAGTTTATTATTATTTAACGAACTTGATAGTCACCAAGTGATATATGTATATTATATGTTATACGACTGTGTATATTATATTGATGTAAATAATTATTGTTTAAATGTGATTTTAATGAATAGATTTCTTACCAAGATATATATATATATATTTTATTTTTGTTACTCCTCAACCCATGAAATTGATATACTATGACAACATAATCAACATTGCAGATTATTAAAATAAATGTTACTGAACTCCTGGGTCATACTTCATATACCAGGTTAACATAATCATTTTTTTCCTTTAGGATTTTATTTTATTAGTTTACAACTGTGCCTCACAGTTTCATCTGTGTTAAATTTGGATTATAAATGTCTTTTAGATATTTGACAAGTACCTAAATAAATGACGAAGTGCATCTAATTAACAGAACAACATACAATTTGGATTGAAAAACAAAAATTTCACTTACTCCATAGCGCTAAGTCTTACAAGTCCTATCCTGGACGATTCTCCTCCATCCTCGTACTCATTCTCTTCTAATAATTACCATTTTTTAATTTACCATTTTACCATCCAGTATTTTTTTGGGTATCCTATTCGTTGACATCTGCTCTACATGTCCCAACCACTTCAACTGATTCTTTCTAACAAAAGAAACCAGATCTGGTTCTTGGACCATTTCTTTCACCTCCTAATTCTTTCTTATTCTCCAGTTGCTGTTCTCGCAGACAACTCCATATTTTCTACTGAGTACTTTCCTTTCCCAAACTTCTACCATTCTTTCACTTTCTTTGGAAAGTACCCAAGTCTAACAGCCATAAGACACAAGCGGCCTAATGCCTGTTATATATAATATGACCTTAGCCTTGTTGGTCAGGCCTCTGAATGTTAAGGGTTTTTTGAAGATCTTAATAGCACCTGTTTCCAGCAGCTACTCTTGCCTTAATTTCTTCTTGGTGTTCACTCTTTAATTTGACAAGAGCACCCAAATATTTAATCTGGTTTGCTACCTTAAAGGTGTGGCTTCCATATTCGACCATTCCTTCCATTCTTTCTGGTGCGTTTCTTGTTGACTTCATATAAAACTCTTTTCGTCATTTACATCGAGGCCTAACTTTTTCAGTGTTTTCGAACTCCTCAAACATCCCTAATAAAGATGCTCTTGATCTGGCCAATATTACCACGTCTGCATAGGCTACATGCTGCGACAGTGTAATATATATCGTGCCATGAGTGGTTGTTCGAATAGCACGTGCTGCATATTCTAACGGCTAGGTTGAAAAGAGTAGGGGACAAGGGGTCTCCCCGCCTTAGGCCGGCTTCAACTACAAACTTTTCTGATAGTGTTCCTTGTATCTTGACTTCACAGCAACTATCAGTCAATGTCATCCTTGTTATTCTAACTTTTTCAGTACACCTAAAGTGACCATTACTTTCAATAATTCGCTTCTATTGACACTATCATAAGCCTGTTTAAAATTGATGAAAAGATGAAGTTCTACATTATATTCATTACATTTTCCAACATTTGTTTGTCAGAAAATATTAGATCGATTATAGATCTATTTGGCCTGAAACCGCATTGATACTCACCAAGAATACGTTCGGATCATACTTGTAACTTTTTATTTAGGAGTGAGCAAATGCCTTATATAATTAATACCCCCAGGAAAGATATACTTCTATAATTTTTTTCACTATGAAAAAAAATCAATAAAAACTGACTTCAGAGACTTTATATCAAATATTGTTAATATTATAAAATTATTAAAACCTTAACATATATTATAATTGTTACCACTCTACTTTAAATAGTAATTATTTTCTGGCAATGTTGAGCCATTATAAAATGTTTTAAGTGCATTTTTAACCAAGTTCAAGCTTACAGCTAACAAATCATTAATACCATTAAAATAACAGAAATCATATTAATTATATCAAGGGTCAATTATGCATTGTACGATCCATTGATTTTGGATTGCATGACTATTAGTTATTAAACTTACTTTCCATTGCAAAGTTTACTAAAATGGAATTAAGAGATTTGCATTGTCTATCATAGATAGGACAAAAGTTGTCACACTAATTGTAAGTGGATACTTTTGGGATTTCACAAAGGGGAAATTCATCAAATTATTCACTAATTTAATTTTCGAAAAGGTTACATGATGATTTTTCAGAATAAACGGACAATAGATACCTAATTACTTAAATATAAAATCAGATCTAGAGTTATTAAACTACAGTAAATATGTTTAAGGTTATAAACATATCCACAAAATAATTTTTTATTTCACCTCTTCCTTCACACAATTATAATGAAATAGTATTTTAAACAAGGACGTTGCCTTGATTCAGTGGATTTTAAATACTTTTTATTCAAACTAAAAAAAAAATTTTTTAAAAGTTTACATTTAGGAAGAAAATTTCATTTGATTTCCTAGGAAACATGTGATTTACTTTAAATAATATTAGTTTAAAAAAATATTATTTATATTTTTTTCGCAGCTCTCTGTTACCTTTTACAACTTTCTATATTAGATATTGTTTTTTCTAAAATTCTCTGCTTTCCAACAATATATATTATACATATACCTTCTGATTATTTTTTCTGGAGATTCATTTTCGACATGGATAAGCACTTTTCTTGTTTTCTGCTTTATTCAATTATCAAATTCTTTCAAAAGTTATATTTAGCCTTTCTTCATAACTCCAAACAATGAGATAGTAATCTATTTAAAATAAACCAAATTAAAGGTATTTTAGAGGAAGAAATTTTGAACATTGGGCATTTAAGTCCTGTTAAACGACATCAATAGGAAAAATACATAAATTATATTAAATATTACTCAATTATACATTAATACATCGAGTTCAATCAAAATCATTACAGCCATTTTTGAGAAAATCATAAAAATGTGTTAAATCGTTGACATAAAGTGTCATTTCCAGTTAGTCAATTTTGACAAAAAAGTTGCTCTAACATTCCAGGCCTATAAAAATTTTAAATATACAATTTCACTTTCGTACTGCTTTTCGTTTTTGAACTAGAATGTTAACTAACACACAGAGAGCATTTTGTAGGACTTGGTTATTTGGAATCAGGGGACCTTAAAATGTGTATTTAAGTTGAAAACTGAGATTCGATAATTTTCACAATCGTAATACTTTCCTTTACTATATATTTCATTTAGAGGTAAGTGAAAGTAAAAACTTAAAATTAGGTATTTTTTAGTTTCATATTTGAAAATGAATAAAATAGAAATTTACATAAATGCAAATACATTCAGTAGAAACACAAACTTATAAAACAAAAGAAAAATTTATTCTAAAACAATATAATATTTTAATAATAAAGGAACTTTATCTTTACATATGAAAAAGATAAAAAAGAAGACAGATTGATTTAGTATTTGTGCTATGTCCGTGGATAATAGTTAATTTTGTTTTCATACATAATTTTAAACTAAAATTTAAATATAATTGAAATTTTTTTCACAAGTTTAATTTTAAAGGATCATTAACTGCTTTGCTTAGATACTCACTTCAGGGACTCTTTTGTCTCTAAAGACAAAATAATGAGGTGCTTTATAGTCTTTCTTCAGTGGCTCATTCATTTAGTTCTAGAAAACCCAATCTTACTGATCCAAAACATGTTGTGGCTGTCTTTTACATGAATCTAAATAGACTGACACTCGACTTTAACTTGCTGGAGATGGCAATAGTCTGACTTCATATTTGGCAGTTATTATACTCAACATACTAAGCCAGGCCACCAACCACAACCTTTTCCCTCAATGTCATAAATAGAGACCGAATCTTCGTGCAATAAAAATCCGAAAAACGTGCTGCAAAAACTCAAAACGTGCAAATTTGTGCAGTAAAAACCCAAAATAAGTATAATTGTCTGATTTACACAAAAAAATTGGCTAAAATCATCTATTGTATTTAATTTATAATATTAATACATACAAAATCTATCAAACCAACTTTAGTTTTAGTTAAGCTTCTGAATTAAAATATTATGTCAAAAAAAAAAAAAAAAAAATGCAACATTGGAAATTAAAATCCATATTACAATCAAATAACGACAACAATACATAATCTAATACAACAATAAATTATGATTAACCTAAATCTCGAAGAAACAGAAATTTAAAAAAAATAAGGACTAGCATAAATAATAGGAAATTAAAGATAATTTACAGAACAAATACAAAAATGTCTCAATAATTAACCGAAAAATAATTAAATATAGTTTTTTAATTTCCCTTAAATTGATTAATTGACTGGCACATACAAGGTAAGTGATGTAGAGGAACTTAAAAAGATTACAGGTATGATGGATAAGTATATATTATATATAACAAACCAATTGATTTCAGATATTTAATTTTTATTTAAAATAACATATGTACATACATAATTATAAATTATCCATATTATAATGAATCGAGTTGAAATTTACAATGTTATACATTTTAGAATTTGTTTCTGAAAAATTGTTTCACCTATCACTTAATACATCTTTTAATTGAAAAAAAAAAAAGAATGTTCAATATGAACTGATATAAGAGGATTAATTCTGAAACAAGCAACCACTGCTGGTTCCTTGTCAACATTAACATTTAAACCATTAATGCAGTTGTTATATTACTTTTCTACCTATAATGGACTAAATTCTCGAAAAAAATACAGGAAAAAAGTTATAAAGAAAAGAAAAATGTTTTGGGACCTAACTCGTTAAGTATATATTCTATGGTAAAATTTATAAGAAAACTTTTGAACAGTAATTAAATTCTCTACAAAACTATATAAAAATCATTCATTTCGGACAACCATTAAGGAAGTTACAGCTATTCAATTTCCAATGTAAGATTATGGATACATATCGTGGTGTCAAAAAGGGATGAATGAGAAAAAAAGATAACTTAATGAAAGTAAGAAAATCTGTTGCCTGCATCACACAAGCTTCACTATTACCTTTAATTTTAACAGAAATTATTGTTTGAAAAAATTAGGCTATGGAAAAAGGTATTTGATCAATAATATTAGAGGGTATTGAAACTTTTATACTGATCTACCTTAAGCTGGTTTACATTGCTTTAGTTTATCAAATAAATCGTACTCAAATCTTTTCTTTGATCAATTTTCAGGAAGATAAATCTAATTCAATTTTTTTTGTTTCTTGATGGACATATGTAAAGATATAAAAACTTTTCTGAAATAGGTAGGAAAGTCGTGTGAGTGGACACACCAGATTTTTTTTTTTATAAGAGCGTAACCTATATTTTTTCAATTAAGGAGTAAAATTTTTTGAGAAAATTTTTCCTTTTTCACTATTGATTTTATAAAGATATTCTCCTACAGTTTCTATAATTTTATTTTATTTATAAGTGACAAATTTCGAGATTCGCTGAGTTAATGTTTGCGTAAAATTTGAAAAATGTGATTTTATGAATGTCAAATCGGATATTATTGATGCCAAATTTATGATAGTCTACGATTCACTTCAAAGCCGGAAGGGATACTGAAGGACTTGAGAAAGAGTGAGAATTCAAGCAAAAAGAAGGAAGGCAGTTTTTTTTATTGAATTACTTAAGGCAAATTCTATTCCACGAATAGTCTATCTGCACTTGGATTTTCTTCGACCTTTTGGAACATTAAATTTGAATCTTTGCCATTCTCAGAATCATTTACCTTCTTCATATTTTTCTTTCTTGAATTATAAATTTAATAGTGACAAGATGATAAAATAAAAAAGTAATTATTAAAACACATATATATTTATATTTGTAAATAATTTAATCTAGCAAAAAATGTAAATAAATGAGCAATTTAATGAAACAAAAATGCAAATCGTGCAATTTAAGCTGAAAATGGCAAAACGTGCAATATAAAATTTAAACATGTTATTCTACAGATCCTGAAACGGTTAGATATTCGGGCCCAGGGTTTTTATAAATAATATATAATTCTAAAAGATTTGTTTTAAACACTCATTCCTGTTAATTAGTTTATTTTTAATCGAATTCAAATTAAAACAATTTCACATGAAAACGGAATATTATATAATTACAAAAATAAAATCATCAATCCTGCCTTTTTACTAAAACCCAAATAAAGTTGCTAACAACTTTAATCAAACTAAATTTCTGCCAAACATTCATCACAAAACCTATTAAATTAATCTTCTTCTTTAATAATGTAACAACTGCATAAAGCGGTCCTTGGCCTGATTAATCATTTTGCCTCCAATGACCCTGTCTCCAGCATGTGATCATCTGTGCCCGTCTCATGTCTATGACGTCATTCTTCCATCTTGTCCATCCAGGTGTGCTCCTGTACACTTTTAAAGGACATGTGCAGTCTTCTACACTTATGATATAACTAATCCATTTTAGTCTCTTAACCTGGATAAGTAGATATTCAAATCCTGGGTTCCACTATGCAACTCCACATTTCAGCGCAGACGCTAAGTTTCATTATCTTTGACTGGTTCAAAAATGCATCTCACACTTGAATCCATGGTTTCCATACAGAAATTGCAATTGTGCTTATAAGACATTTTTTCAGTCTTATTTTTGTGTGACTTAGTAGTTTGCTTTTAATAATTTTAGCTCTTCGCCCTGTTGTTTAAAAGTAAAAAAATGGTCCATTTCAGACATATTCTTACGAAAGTCTACATGGTCACTGTCAAGCACCAACAATGCTTTTCATGTATGGTGATACCCTAAAAGCTGATGCCTGTTATTTAGTGCAATAACGAAGATCTTATATGCAATGTCCAGGAGACTGATCTCTTCGTAGTTGCTGCACTCTGCGGGATCACTTTTCTTCTTAAATTCTGGAACACCTAGGAATTCCTTCCAATTTTCGGGTGTTATTTTTTCTTCCTTTATATGGACCATTAAATTGATATTTAGTTTATTTTATTTTAAACATCACAGATTAACTGGCTTATCTGCTAGACATGGCAATGTCTCAGTCCTGACTAGCATGGAAAAGAGGAGTTTTACTTAATGTCACTTGACAATTATCTGAAGCAGATATGTCACATATCACTACTATTAGTGCAAAAGGTAGTATGTAAAAATATAGTTTTTTTGTAGAACATGAAACTGATAATTTCTTTATGATTTATTAGTATAATTTTATATTTATTTCCCTCAGCTATTTTTCATAGCAGATTATTCTAGTTGCAGACTACAAAATCTTACTTTTAACACAAATAGAATAAACATGTAATATTGTTACAAATGACCTTTTGCACAAAGAGTAGTGATGTTCATTATTATTTTCTATCAAATTGAACAAATGAAAATAAATTATTATAAATTTTCTTTTAAAATCTTGGTCAATTTCAATATTTTGTTTTTTAAATAAAAAAAATTGAAAGTTCAATCTGAATAAATCCTAGAATGCTAATGATCATTTTAATTGTTTCCATTCACTACTAATTAAAATTAAGTTGTCCCACTAATATAAGTTCTTGTTTTGATAATTTGAAAATGAATACAGAACTTTATATTGAAAGAATTTATAAACAAGAATGTAGATAGAGTTCTTTGGCAGAAACAGTATAGCTAATGCCACATGTTAAGAAACATTAATCCACGAAGTATCCTGACATATTAGAATTATTCATTTTTTTATTATAAATTCTTTATACAACAAAATTAATTAAGTATAAAATCTCTGAATGTAAAACTAATTAATTGTATATTGTCACTTAAACACAGCATATTCTCAATAAAAGTAAGCAAAATAATTCTGAAATGGCACTAAAATCCAAATTAAACATAAAAAGCTAGAGTACAGAGAACACGATCTCTTTGTATGGTATGGTGTAATAGATTGTGTTCTGTTTAACTGTGATAATGTAATAAATAGTAATTTCCAACCAACAGTCAGGCAGAGATAGTAGATCACATTCTGTGGTAGGTATTTAGGAAAGAAATAACTTAATAAAAGGAAAAAAATAATATATTAAAATTAAGCATTATCGTTACATCAGCTAAAAATAAACTATAGACTTTTAAAATAACAACAAATTTAATTAAGATAAAACAAAGAGGAAAATGGAAATTTCTAAGATATATTACATAAGGTATAAGGCAGGAAAAAATTCATTTAAAGAGGAAATTTGCATCTCAGTTAATATATTAATAATTAATTACAGTGCCTTAATGCATAATTCAATTTAATATAGAATATATTTCAATATGAAATAGTTAATATATAATATTTATATATTCTGAAGTCACGTCAGAATATTATTAAGTTACGAAGTTTGATTTAACAATAATATACTCCAATTAAGTAAATTACATTAATAGCATGAAGATCTAGAGGCAGGTTCCAGAATGCATAACTAAAAACAGGTATAGTAGAAAAATATTAAGTATAAAATACTGAGTAATATAATTTAGAATTTTAACATTATACAGTTTGTTAAATGAATAATTAACAATCAACTACATTGATCTTCAATGAAAACAGAAAAAATAAATTGAATTAAATAAAAAAGAGCTATATATTATAATTAGGTAAATGTATACTTAAAACACAGACAAGTTAATGACAAGACAAAACATGTTATTGTGATTTCAATTTATGTCAGCAATACATTTAAAATATTGATTTGGAGACAAAAGACTTATGAACTTTAATATCACAAAGCATAAATCTGTTATGTCAATAGTCTATTACGCACCGACATAAAATAAAATAACTGACAACAGGTGAATGAAAGATATCAAATTTAGAATCGGTGAACTAATCAACACAGGCTGGAAGATAGCACGACAATGAGTTCTAAACAACAATGGGGCTGATGTGGAGGAGAGGTGGAGGTAAGCAGACCAACACAGCTAATATAGCTTGTTAAGCCAGATATCCACTATGTCCACGAGCCAATGGCGCTTCGCACTCCTGTAACTCTGTAGATGGGAACAGAGATAGCGAAAGCAACCGCTCTACGAGTGCTCCACAGTGTTGATGTGTTGAAGGAACAACATGTCATCCGAGCTAGTGGCAGTGCAGCCTACATTGTATCCATTATTTGATAGATAATTATAGAAAACCTCCATTTTTTTGGTTAGCGAAATTTTATGAAGAGAGCTAAAAATGATATGATGTGAAGGATGTTAAAATGGGCGGGGCATGTTGCTCGGGCAATCCATCAGGAAGCCTCTACAAAACAATGGATGGCTCTATAATAGGAAAAAGAGCGCATGGAAGGCTAAATACCAGATTGATAGACCGAATCTACAAATATGCAATAGAGCTGCTTGCAGATAACTGGAAAGAAATAGCCCAAGATAGGCAGAGATGGAGAAGACTGGTTTGATGGAAAAAGATCAACAATGTCTGTAATGCAAACAGAAAAAAAAAAATGATAAATTAAAATACATAAATAAACATAAAAAATAAATTGCAATTTTTATTTTCATTTTTGTTTTTTTATTTTTACTGACGCGATAAGCTGTACAACCGGAAAGTACAGATGCAAAGATAATGCTTTTTTTCGTATTAGAAACTTGAATAAATTGTTTTCATTCGACTTAACTTTGTTTGATGAAATACGAAATAAGTATCAAAATAAGTTCCAATTGAAAATAATTCTTCTCTGCTTAATTTTTTAAATTTTATCTTTCTTAATTATTCATTTTAGTTTTTTTCTAATTGTTTTATTTAGTTATTTGAATTTTCAAAAAAAAAAAAAACAAGTGAATTTTTCTTAAAAACTCTTTTTAGTTAATATAATTTTGTAGGTGATAAATAGTCAGAAAGCAGTCATTTTTAAGGTTTTTATTAGTGCAGACGTTTCAACCCAAACATGTGGGTCATCAACAGGATGAGTTTCAAGCACTGAAGGTATTCAAGTATTTACTGCCTAGACATTAAGTACTACAATATATTTGTCACTTATAAATACGAATCAATTCAAATAATGTTCTACAAAGTTAACATTAAAATATCTTCCAGGATTACTGAAATTTATAAGTTTTCCACTCCGAGTAATGAGTAGGGTAATAATTATAACTATTATAATTTTTAATGATTTGTACTTATAACTTTTATTATAAGTATAAGTTTAACAAATATTTTTATATGACGTTCATATATGTATTAAAAAAGTTAACAACTTTTTTAAGCTACAATTTTTATTTAACAGTTTTGAAAAAGTTTTACCTTTAACCTCTTATTGATAGAAGCTTTTTTCTCAAACAGTTAACTCATTTGTAAAACAAAAAAAGAAATAACTGTTTCAATCCTTGATTTTTCTTCTAAAGTGGTTATGAATCTGGGTTTATCATCCAGATTTTTAGAACAGGAATTGATATGTATTTATAAGTGATGAACTGCCAATACATACCCATAAGTTAGATCCCCATTACTATGTAATCTTTTCATTGAGATCTTCGCAAACTTGTGAAGAGACGAGATGGTCCTGCTGAACCAGAAAATGATTCACTCAACATTGTACTTGTATCATTTAAATTTTGTCCAGAAGGAGCCTGAAATCCACAATTAAAACAAAGATGTAATACCAAAATATAAATATTTTTATGTATTTATCATTATCATCAAACCAAGAGATTAAACATAATTTTTAAAGTTTTTTCTAACTAGACTGAACTAGGTTTGATCCAATGTTTTTAAGTTAAACAATCAGTACCATGGGAGAAAATTCTTATCTTAACAATAATTGGTAATAGTACACAAACGCCATGGATGGATTGACAGATGGATTAAAATCATGCCATTTGTACTACAGATGGAATTCCAAGAGTAGCTGTTACTCTTTACTGCTACAACAATCAAGTTCACAGGTGGGCTCACTATACTTGCTAAAGAAATAAACATTCAATAAGTCCTTTCAAGTTGAAGTCAAGGTCTTACCAAGCATGGGTCGGTATTAGTGGAGGAATCTTTTCAATTCAACAATACTTTCCACAATTTATTTTTAAGCAAAGTAAGGAGATCAGTCGCCTCTGAATACTTTCAGACACATTTGGCAACTTCTGGATTATATATAGTGAGATCATTGCAATCTGTGACCATATGAGGACATGAAGCTTGGGAATTAATACCAAATATTTTAACTTTGTGGATAAATACATTTTAAATTAATCAAATTTTTTTGGTATCATAACTTTACAGAGTTACTGTCCAAGATGGAAAAGCAAAATTCAAATAGATGGCATTACTTGAAAACACTTCCAAATAGAATCCTAGCTTGTCCCTAAACACTGCTCAATTTCTTATAATGATCATAGATGTGTTAAGCCATGGTATTTTTCTAAAATAGTTAACTCATGTAGTACTGAATCTAAAGAACAGATAATTTTTTAATCCTGATCATTTTATGTATTGTTTTCATTACTACAAATAATGTCAAAACATTACAATCATCACATGAATAAACAGATAACATGTAAAAATTATTGATCAAGATATCTTAATTAAGTTTACATATATTTTTAGAACCAATGATGTATTATTAACTAAGAAATTTATCGGTTTTTTTAAACCTACACTAAGCCATTGAACAGTATCCAAAGCATCGAGCAAAAGTGGTCGTAATGTTGAAATTTCCAGCTGTGTTAAGAAATCTATCCCAGCATGACGTCCTCCACTCTTTAAAAATGTATCAGCTGAAGATCGGGCTTTAGAAATTCTTAAATCCCATATATCCTGAGACATTAACAAAGAAATAAAAATAAATACTAAAGCAACTATATTAATTATTAACATCGATGCTGGTCAATGCAAATTGATCATGTAACGGTAAAACAGAACAAGTGTCACTCTACTATTACGAGCAGGCCAAGATCCCACATTATAATAGATATTTATAACCAAAGATCCCATGATATAAGTGAGATTCTGAGAACAGCCAATTTTTGACAAGGTGTTTATCGTACAACCTCCATTAATTCAGGACAGGACTAATGACTCTGTCCTACTCAGTTAAATTGAGGCCTTAATTATATCGCTCAAAAGCAGTAAACAAATCTCCAACAGCTACTTTTCAGTTTAGGTCAGGACCTTACTAGATGGTTGTCACTTCCTTCACGTTTGGGCACACTCCGCCATTCTCGAGATTCCATTTACTATATAATCATGAGATCTTGTGCCACCCATGAAAGTTGAGTGATATTTTTACATTAATACTGGCGTAACTATTGTAAATCTTAAACAATACTATGATAATGGAATTTACTATAAATAATACCTTAATTAATGTCTTTATTTTTTCAGCATTTTCAATATCTTGTCCAGCAGTTGAAAAGATCAAATGTGCAATGCTCATATAATGATCACTTGGCATTTTAGTAAAAAACCTAAACACAATCCAATTAACTTTTAATTTAAGGTATGATAAACCAGAAAATAAAAAATCAGGAAATATAAAATACATACCGACTGTTTTTTTCTTCTTCCAATTTATTTTCCAGCAAGTCAACGTCCATCCATTCTGGTGGAATTATAGTACATTTTTCTTTCTTCCGTAGAGTAATAGCAACCCAAATAGGTAATGAAACAGGAATTCCAGCTCGAAATGGTCCTATATCTCCAGCGATTAAATGTATTCGTCGCATATCACTAAACTTTGGTATGATGGAAATATATTCTTGCTCTGCCATAAACTCTATTTCTGCAGGATCCATTACTTAGCATGGCTATAAAACAGAAAGATAAAGTTTTGCACAAAATTGAATAACTTATGAAGTAAAATATACGAAATTCCAATCCAGCTCGCGATCTAATTGATCAAAACCGCCAAAAGGTAATTGACACTGCCAACTTGATTAAAGGAGGGTTATAAATTTGCCACATATGTTCCTGCATCATCTGATTGTGAATGTTTAACAACAGCTGCTTGAAAGAAAACAGTCGAAATGGTCAAACTGATTAACATTCAACAAATTGGTATGTTTATTGTAATCTTGCCTCATTATTTCAACCAACTATCTATTTATACCACTATAAATGATTGGTAGCATCTTAAAATAGTATCCTTGCAAAACGGATTTTTTATTTTTATATTTGCCTTAGTGATGTGACTTTCACAATTGAATTCTGATGTTTCATATAGAATTTTTGGTGAATGTTATAGCTACCAGAATACTTCAACGGACAATTACTACGAAATGAAAACATAAATCAGAGCTGTCCAGTGAGATTGTTGCTGTTGATTCATCATTTATGGGGCTGACAATTCAGTAAATTTCAGTTTTATAATGGCTAGCGTTGTTGACCAGACTCCAACTACTGCTGAAAACACTTCCAATCTTCTCTCTCCCAAGAAAGATCCTGCTATTCCTACAGTTGATTACTCAAGCATCCGTGCTAAGGTTTGTGAAAATCTTATATAAATAACATTGCTACCCTTGTGAAATCTAATACTTCTTATATAATTTTAAATCTTAAGAAAGAGGGGTTCATTTTAACAAAGTACTAAGTATGGTGCAATATTACACCTTTACTTTGACAGCTAAAGTGACTCATATAAGTATCTCAATTTTCTTTGTGACATTAATTTATATTTGTATTTGTTTGTTATAGACAAGTCTTGTAAGTCCAACATCTGAGCAATATGACTTACTACAATGCAAGCTGAAAGAAAGAATTGAAAATGGTCGAGGAGAAACTATTTTTGAAGTTGGAGTTGGGGAAGGTTTGTTCATTGCTGTTAACCTAAGTATCTATGACATAAATGGTTTAAAATTTTAACATTTTAATTTGTGATATGTATTAAGATGGAGGTGAATCTGGTTTAAGCCCAGATGAGTATGATGCTGCAGTTGCTACTCTTCAATCTTTAGCATCCACTTTGGATGCAGATTGTGTATTACTAAGAAATAAAAAAGGTGAAGAAGGTATCACAGGTCAATATTTGGTGAGGAAAAGAGTCATTGAACAAGATTTTCTTGAAATCAGGTATGTTAAGCCTTCTCTTATTACATACTGTTTAAATTTAGTTGTTTCTAATTTTTTAGGAATTTAAAGTTTCATTTTTAATTAAATTTAGAACTGTAATCTTGTTTTGTTTTTTTGTTAATACTATTTTTCTTGACAGCCTCTCTTTTCTCTAAATCACTGTATCAGTAGGATGGGATTATGTGGAATCAGTGAGCTGAGTTCGATAAATTAATCAGCTGCTGCAACATAGTCTATTTCAAATAAGTGAGAAGGGCAGTTAGTTCTCTGACCTTAGGGGGCGGGGTGGCCGAATAGGCTAAAGCGTGTGTAACAGCACCGCTAGTTGCCTGGCAACCGGATAACAGAGATTTGAGATGATATAAAAAGTACGAGTTCGCGTCCCGGTGCCGGAGGGGATTTTAAATTTCCCCGCCCTCACCCCCCGGCCCGGGAAAATCCCGTATAGCCTAAAAGGCGAGGTAGGGAAGAACAAAAAAAAAAAAAAAAAAAAAAAAGTTCTCTGACCTTACTAGGTGATACGAAAAGTTATCTGTTTTCAAACATTTCTCATCTAGAAAGACAGGATTATAAAGCAAATGAAACGAGTAGATGGAATAATGAGGATCAACTCATTTTCTCAAGAGTAATTTCTTTCTCTGGGGCCAAATAGAAAAGAAAACGGAATAAGATTAAAAAATGAGTATTTCTGCATCTAATTAATAGCCAGAGAGACTCTAGGAGCCATACTGGTGGAGGTACTAAGTCCAGTTAGTGGGCCTATTGGTCATTTTTGCCAACCCCAAAGTTGATACGGTACTTTTTTTTTGGGGGGGGGTCCTCCCTTTCCTCGCCTTTAAGGCTATATGGAGTTCTCCCAGGCAAGGGAGTGTGGGCGGGGGTTTAGAAGACTTCCTGGCACCGGGATGCGAACTCGGAACTATTTTTTATCGTTGCCACATATGTCAGGTTGCCTGGCAACGGCGGTGCTGTGCACACTCGTTAGCCCATTCGGCCACCCCACCCACAAATGATACGGTACTTGTGAACGATGTGGGCTCTATGGACCGCTATCTGCCAATGTTTATAACCTGAGCATTTATAATTGTGATAAGGCACTGATAATCCCTATCTTCATATGGAATATAAATAACAACACACTTTCATTTAATTTATTTTGGAAGGCAAAATAGCTTAATACTACTTAAAACAGCGAGGAATGGGTCCTCTTCTCTGTGAGCCCGCCACCACAAAAATTCACAGAAATATGAAGTTATGATAGTTTTACCTGTTCTTTGCCCCACTGTTTTGTCAAATTATGAGACCACCCATAAATTAATTTTAAAGCGGTTAAAAAGGTAATCTTCGACCCCTCTAACCACGTCCCTAAGTTCAATCAATAAACGCACACGCAACAGCATACACTAGATTAAAAGGCAGGTTATGTGACATAACATAACATAAGAAGGTGATTTAAGATAAGAAGGGAGTTTACCAGAGACCAGGTCTTTCACAAGTACCGATGATACTACCAGTGGTTGTTTATTGTGCCTCTTCTCTGGCTCAAACCTTTTTGTTCTTTTAATGAAGTTCAAAAGGCTGGGCCATTTTATGGAGGTAGCTTTACATACTTAGATTCTGTCTGCTTCCAGAAGTCTGTATCTGAATGACACTAGGAGCCATAGAACTTGATTCATCCAAGTTTGTGGCGGTTCTACATTTATATTGTTAATATATTGAAATGTTAGTGAGATATGACACTAATAAAAATTCTTTTACTTATGTCCTGACATCTCAATTTTTTTTTTCCTGTTCATGTGGTGTTATAATACATCCATCAGTATTCATATAAATAATATAATATTCAATAATTGTTCATTAAGAATTAAATTTAAAAAAAATAATTACTGTATTCATTGAATGTTGAAATTAATTAGCTGAATCGCTCATGAATCCTGTACATTGCTGGGTGTGGCATCTGGCTACTACACTACTAACTTAAAAAATATTTCTCTTTTTTTATTTTTGTTTGGATTTTTTTTATATATTAAACTTTCTCCCTGAAGCAATTCCGAATGTCGTGTAAGGAGACATTCAGCACATGTTTGATATATAACTGTTTGTAAATATTGATTTGCAATGTTTTTGGTAGTATTTTCACATTATTTTCTGTTAATAAATGTAGAAATTATTTTTCTTGTTTAGTCTGTTTTATTGGTGATTTGTTTTAATGTATTAATTTAATATCAACAGAGTTGCAGTAGTTGGAAATGTTGATGCTGGTAAATCTACTCTTCTTGGTGTGCTTACACATGGAGAATTGGATAATGGACGGGGGCATGCTAGGCAGAAACTGTTCCGACATAAACATGAAATGGAATCTGGAAGAACAAGTTCTGTAGGAAATGATATTCTTGGGTTTGACAGCCTAGGTAAAGTATTATTTATATATGAGTTAGTGATGATGATGGTGGTGCAAGCCAAATTTCCTGTAATTTAAGAAAGAGAATGTTTTGTAAACATACTAAAATGATATATGTATAGTTTATTGCATAAAGTGAATAAGTAACATTTTTGATTGAGCTAAAATCTTTAAGTATGGTTTTGAGAAATTAGTCCTTATTTATCAATACATAAACAAAGTAAGTTCATCAAAATAAAACAATCCATTTTATATGTCAAGTATATTTATTTTAATGCTAGGTTAATGGTTTTCCAAATTATACCTTTGTACTGAATATTTAATAGTTGACCGTTGCATTATAAAGGAAGGAGATGGTGGGGATGGCGGTCATAAATTGGCTAAATAGTGGTAAAACTATTTTATTAAAAGCTAACGTTTCGACCCGACTTTGCAGGTCTTCTTCAGGGAGGTGTGTTCACTAGAAGTTTCACTTAGAACTGCTATTGAGTGAGTTCTATATGAGACTCCTAGCTGAACACACCTGCATGAAGAAGACCTGCAAAGTCGTGTCGAAACGTTGGCTTTAATAAAATAGTTTTACCACTATTTAGCCTATTTATGACCGCCACCCCGGACCATCTCCTTCCTTTATACCGTTGTACCTTTCAACTTGTCCCTTTTTCCACAAGGTTTATATGGAGTGGTGCGACTGGTTGCTATTCTGTGAGAATGAAGGAAGGCCTGGCGTTCTTTTGCTGTCGACGGGTCATTAATGTACGCCTTGCATAAATTTCATTTCCCACTGAGATGAACCTGATCCTGAATTATGATCCCCTTCAAATTTTTCTGGCTTAAAGTATTTATTCATTGTATGATAAATAAATTGTAATATGTTTTATTTACACAGAATAAACCTTAACACTACTCAAGGCTTTATTTATCGTACAATTTAACATGAAAGATAATAGTTTGATTGAAACACTTTGTTAAGAACTACAAAATATCTGATTGAATATTAAAAGGTTATAAAGGAAATAGTTATCAATTTCATTACACCCGTTTTATTTATAAGTTTCTTTATTTAACAGGAAATGTTGTCAATAAACCTGAACATGGATCACTTGATTGGGTTAAAATTTGTGAACGTTCTTCTAAAGTTATTACTTTCATTGATCTTGCTGGGCATGAGAGATATCTTAAAACAACAGTATTTGGGATGACTGGTCATGCACCTGATTTTGGAATGTTAATGGTATGATTTAATTTGATTTGACATTATATTTTAATGATACATAGAATAATATGACATTTTCTTTTAAGGTTGGAGCCAATGCAGGGATTATTGGAATGACCAAAGAACATTTGGGCTTAGCACTTGCTCTTTCAGTCCCTGTGTTTGTTGTTGTTACCAAAATAGATATGTGCCCGCCTAATGTTCTACAAGATACTCTTCGACTTTTGACGAGGGTGCTGAAGTCTCCCGGTTGTCGGAAAGTGCCAATAATGGTAAAAACTAAGGATGAAGTTATTATATCTGCAACCAACTTCGTTTCTGAAAGGTTAATTGATTATTTTTTTATTATTAATATAATTAAATTTGAATTATAGTTTTTAAAAAATTACTGTGATGTTTTTTTTAAGGCTATGCCCTATATTTCAAGTATCAAATGTTAATGGTGAAAACTTGGATCTTCTAAAAATGTTCCTCAATTTATTAACAACAAGAATGACTTGCCAGGACTCAGAGCCTGCTGAATTTCAGATAGATGATACATATTCCGTTCCCGTAAGTAATGGCTTTATAGTTGAAGAGTTAGTCTTTTTAAATTGATTTTTTATCATTTTTTTCTAATAAGGAAATGCTGATTCTGAATTTTATGATTCTATAAAGCAGTCTAAAATTGTAGGTAAGAAATTCATATATCCAGGACCTGATTAAATGATTGTGCCCTAAGATGTACTTTTATCTAATATAGCCCTGAGGAGAGTAATTAGTTTAAGTTGTAAGTTGTAATTGACAAGCACAAACGCATGCGATGGAATATAGTTGCAAAGAACTGTAACTTGTAGTGTAAGGCAATTGTCCTTTTTACCTAATTTCAGTATTCATAGATATCAAATACTCTAATAAATCAATCATCATGTGTCTTAGTGGATTTGCAAGTATGTTCCATCTCTGAAGGCCAAAATTGGTATATCCATAATCAATTTTTAAAAATTTTATTTGTTTAAATTAACACAAGGCCAGTTTTCTAAAAAAAAATTTCTATTTTTAATTTATTATTTTTCTAGGGTGTTGGAACAGTTGTTTCTGGAACTACATTGAAAGGTGTTATTCGGCTCAATGACACATTAATGCTTGGACCAGATCCTGTTGGTCAGTTTATTCCTATTGCTGTCAAAAGTATACACAGGAAAAGGATGGCTGTAAGGCAAGTCAGCGCATCTCAAACTGCTTCATTTGCCCTAAAAAAGGTATAAAACCAGTGAAAAGACTGGTTTTCGGTCTGTAACGCAGTCATAGAAGTTTTAGTTATAATTCATAAATTTTTCTTGATGTTATTTATTTTTACTTGATAATGTTTTATTAGAATTTTAAGACTGTTGAGTCTCAATAACTCAAATTCTTAAAGAATATTAATTTTTCCCTTTTGTCTTCATAAAATACTTCTAGTTTGATTGAAAAAACATTTCATTTCAAATGGAAAAAATAAATAAAAAAAATTAGTTGACTTTAGAAATTTGGTGTTTACTTAGATTATTAAAAGCATTACTGTTATTACTTGAATTTTCTCATCTAGCCTCGTTGATGCAAGGTGTCAAATATGGTTATAAAATGTTTCTTGTCTCTTTCCCCATGTCCATCCGTTATTAGGTTTTCAACATAAATCTCATGCACTTATATTGCATAATATATATACTTTATAATAATATATAATATATATATTTTTAATGGAGGTAATCTTTTGAAATAAGTTTTGAACTTATTTATTGATATAAAAATACACTTAGTGTATCAAAATCACACAACTCTTTTATGTATCAAATATGATTATACTAAATGGACAATGTTTTATGTCACATATTGGAAATTCTACAAATTACTGAGTAATTTAATTTTATGAATTGTCATTAATGACTTTTTGAAATAAACCAAGGATATATTCTTTAAAAAAATACCATACCTATAAATTTAGTTATCACAATAAGAATATAAATTCGTATTTTTCATTTTATCACCTTATTGTGTATCCTGAATTTTGAAATAGGACATTATATTATATAAATAAAGGCTGTATTTTCCACCACATTTCTTTCCCACAGTGGCTACGATTCGGCTATGATGCCATTTTCAAGCCATCTATAAGACCATTACACAATCAGTTCAAAAAAAAAAACATTTAACATAATATAATAGTGATGTTAATCATCTTTTTAAAAAACAATATTATATGAATTATAACACTAATAGAGGTAAGTCATTATGTAAACATACATGAGATAAAACATTATATATATATTCAAATTTTTGTTCTAACCTATTGTGTATTTATTTATAAGGTGTTCGTTATTAAAACTTGCAGTTGTAATTTTATAGAGAATTATCAATAGTTTTATCACAAACGATGAATAATATAGGTAGCATAATGTCTTGTGTGTGTATTCAATGTAAAGTTTAAACTTGTGTACACATACAAAAAAATTAAAAAAGAGCTGTATATAAAATTTCTCAATTAATATCTGATAAAAATCTATTTAAGAGTTCTTTACTACTAATAGCTATTTGACATTGCAGTTAATAACTATCAAGAATTGTGAAACTTTTACTTGATGTTAATGTAAAATTTTATTCTTCTCAGATCAAGAGATCTCAAATAAGGAAAGGAATGGTGATGGTCTCACCAGCTCTTAATCCTTCGGCCTGCTGGGAGTTCGAAGGTGAAATCCTTGTACTTCATCATCCCACCACTATCAGTTCTAGATATCAAGCTATGGGTGTGTAAAATTAGCTTTTATATTTATTTCTTAAATACTGCCAACTGTTCTGTAAGAAGGGCAAATCAAACAATCTACTACTTTTCAAAAGAGCATGTTTGAAAATACTATTTCATAAAATTGTATTGTTCTGGCTATTGTTACAAGTGGTAATCTACTTTGAGGATGTATAAAATGATTATCCTATTTTCAAATGTTGGATTTATTCATATCATGAATCTAAAATAGTGAAAATCTGAAGAAAATACCCATTGTTGGATCTGTCCTTTTTTTTTTTCATTCTGGTTTATTTGGAGTCTCCAAAAATTTTTAGCTCAAGGGACACATTGACTTCTACACTTGATCGATCCCAAGGGCCAATACCAAACCAAACAAAGTTTTTATGACAAATCTCTCAGCAGTATTAACTACAGTTGAAATGTTGAATTTCATTATTTATGTCAATTATTGCTTCTTAATTGGTTCTCAAATAAAAATATTTCGTTATTATTTTGCTGGATGCTTTAAGGCCTTTATAGTTTGAAGATCCCTGCCTTAAACAATTTCTTGTATTGATTATTCCAATATTCTTTATAATTTACTAATCTTGATGCACCGTGGCATATCAGTTTCTATTACAAAATATTCATTCTGGTTTATCTGGAGTCTCCAAAATTTTTAGCTCAAGGGACACGTTGACTTCTACACTTGATCGATCCCAAGGGCCAATACCAAATCAAACAAAGTTTTTATGACAAATCTCTCAGCAGTATTAATTACAGTTGAAATGTTGAATTTCATTATTTATATCAATTATTGCTTCTTAATTGGTTCTCAAATAAAAATATTTCGTTATTATTTTGCTGGATGCTTTAAGGCCTTTATAGTTGGAGACCCCTAGTTATAATTATTAGGACCCATAATTTGGTTATAATAATACTTAATTATTTAGTATAATGCATGATCAGTATTAAATTTTACGTTGGGATATAAAGTAAAACTGTAGTAATCCATTCAGTTGAATATAATGGAGGCTGTAGTTTAGAGACCCCTGATTTATATTGCATTAAACAATTTATTACATAGACAAATATTGAAAAAGATTTATTTTTTTTAAGCTTTAGTCATAAAGAAGGTTGTCAAAATATGAATGGATAAAGTTCCTAATAGAACTCTTCCCTTATCAATTAAGTATTTGATATGCTTCATTGAATAAATTTTCTCTTGTACAGCCAGCATTCACCTCAAAAGTGGAACACTGGTCATTTGATCTTAGGAATAGGTGTTTCATAGGGAAATGTAGAGTAATATTATTTTATGACTATAAAATATTTATGTAAAGATTTTTGAAAACATAAAATAAAAACTAAGTATTTAACATATTAAGAATTTTTATATTTTTCATGATTAGATTGCCTGCAAGTTGAAGGGTTTTATTTTCCCTCTCCTCATCGTTAATTTTTTTCTCATAAGACTGATTAATGAATGGCTGGTTAACTGGAATTTTATTGCATTTGAATTCCATGCTCCAAGTAATAAAATATTTTTCTATAACTTCTACATACACAGCCAAATGAACTTTTGGAACTTAAGTTATGTTTTATTACTTGTCTTAACGCTAATCCTTGTGGTACTCCTTGTTGTAGTCTATGTTCATTTGAAATCCGAAGTATCTTTGAAATTTCTTTGTAAATAGAAAAATTTGGTGCAGTACACACACCACACAACTTTAACTTGCCACCCTACTTTGAGTGTAAATAAGTATTTCTAAATGAGCCTCCGATTAAACTTACTCAGTTTCACAATAAGACCAATGATTAGTTTCTGTATATCTGTAGTGTTTTCATTGAAATTTTGATAAAAGTAATGATAAATAATTGTGTTATTTTATTTCAAAATTTTTAGAAAGTTATTTTATTGCCTACATTCTCTCAAAATATATAATTTTTATTATTCTTAGTGCATTGTGGAAGTATACGCCAGACGGCTTCAATTCTCTCAATGTCAGAGGAGTGTCTTCGTACTGGTGATAAAGCAGTTGTTCATTTCCGATTCATTAAACATCCTGAATATTTAAAACCTGGACAGAGGCTAGTGTTCAGAGAGGGCAGGACTAAAGCTGTAGGCAATGTTTTACGAGTATTCCCTTCTGTTGGATCTAAGTTGTCAACATCAGTTCCATTGAAACAGCATAAAATGCTTTCTTCCCATCAGCAGGTACTTAATATATGATAAGTTATTTTATAGAGTAAGTCATATATTTAATTTATTAACAGTTTTTGCTCATGAAATTTTAATTGCATTTCCACTCCCTTCCTTATTCCTTATGTTCTTTGGTTTGAAAAAAATCAAGAAATCTTTATATGCCAACTTCCTCTTCCTCTTTACTTCTTGTCTTCCCTTTTAATTATTATTAGTTATGTTAATTTATTTTTATTAATTACACATATTTATTATTATTATTTTATTTTTTAAATAACAATGGAAGCTATTATTCAAGAACTTTTATTTATTTTGTTTATTAGTTTTATTGTTATATTTATTATCAACCTATAGCATCCTCCACATCTTCTGGTTAATGAGTATACCTTCTAATTGTTTTTTTATTTTACTTGGCAAACTGTGAAAATTAAATTCTCTTAAATAATATATATTTTAAAAAATCAGAAAGTATAGAAAAGGGCCATTTGTACATAGTGTAGGTTACTTGAAAAAAAATTTAGTCTAGAATAATAAATAATCAGGCTGTTTACGAAAGATTTTGGAAAAAGAAAGGAATCATTTTATTAGACAAGTTTCTATTGCTCTGTTTTATAACTGCTCATGAACATGCAGGAAGCTTTTTTTCAGTTCAAGAGTACTAGTACGTACACAAACAATTCACAATCATCTTCATGATACAATATGAAAGTAGAATGTCTCAGATGAGATAATTTATTACTGAAATTCATTGAAATGAATGCTCAATTTCTCTCATATATTTTCTTGACCATAGGTAGTTAGATATTTCTTGTTCTAATAGTTGAATTTTGATTTTAAGAGAAAAAAATACTAAGTACCAGCTTAAATTTAAAGTTTAGGTCAAACATAAAGGCAACAATCTGAGTGTATGGGGCTATAGGATTACTGCATTAAAGCATTAGTAAATGGTAATTATTTATAAAAACCCAATTCAGATACGTACTTAATTAGGGTAAAATTTACTTCTAAAAATAATCATGATCATAAAAACTGCTAACCAAAAAAATGTAATGATATCAACTAATTTAAATGTTCCATAAAATAATTAATAATAATATCTGATGTTTTATACTGATACCGCCCAACACCTGCTTACTCCTCACCTCTGTCAACCGATTTTCACCCAAACCAAAATCCACTAGATCAGCCTAACATAATCAATCCCTTTGCTGAAATTTCAGTCTACCCCTCAGACATTTACCTGTTGGCTAAGTACATAAAGATTCATTTAATGTGTGGATTGAAGACACAAACTAAATAATTTTTTATCTTTTAAAAAGAATTTCTTGCCTGTTAAAAACATATTCGCCTCCTTTCAACCAAAACATTTAACTTGCCAAAAATCAACTAATTCTTTTGACAAATTTCTAGAAGAGACAGTCTCAAAAACATATTTACATAATAAATTTTATATTTTTTAAATATGTTCAATCATTGTTTTTAAAAAAAATTATTAAATGATAAATATTATTAAAAAAATTATTGTAGCATTTTTGTTAAACTTAGTAGAAATTACTCCAGAGCGAGATTTTAAATTTAGTTGGCTCGATGCCAAGAAATCTGTATCATTTTAATCCTAAACATCTATTAATAGAATATTAGCTGCTACTGAAATAAAATTTGACATAAGACTTTTTCGGAGCATGTATAGGCATAAGAAGAGTTGGACGTCCTAAGCTTCACTGGGACACAGGATGGCTACTGACTCAAGGTCACTGCTTGATGTCAAGAAGTGGAAGGTAGCAGCAGGAAATAGAGAGGAATGGCAATCTAAGATAGGGCAGGCTTTGACTCAACAAATGGGCCATAACACCGCCTAATAATAATAATAATTAGGTGCTACACACAAATCACTAATATTTCTTTTCTGACATTATAATTTAGAAGAGGTCCTCTGTAAAGGCAATGTCTATTTCGCTCTTTTTCCATTGGTTTTTGTCCTCAAATATGATTACTGTGGCAGAATACCTCTCTTATTTACCTGATTTGACACCGTGTGACTTTTTCTCGTTCCCCAAACTCAAATAGTACTTCAGGCATTTAGATGATATGGAGACCATTAAAACTGAAACGGAGATGGCACAAGTGTTTTGTGTCTTCAGGAACCGAGGGGTTATCTTACAAAAGATTCACATGGATTATGATGAGGAAGGGTTTTCCATCCCTTTTAATAATAATAAAAATTGGGTTTTGCGGTAGTATTTTAAAGAGGACAATATATATTTTTTTAATAGTGTAATTGACTTTTATACGTACTTTCTGGACAAACTTTTTATTATGTCTTGACATGTTATATTTCATTGGAGTATATGGCTAGGCAAATTTATCTTCCAATGTTTATATAATATTTAGTAATTACTTGCTGAATGGTATTGGAATATAAAAAAATATAAAGGTATATATAAAATTTTTTTGACTGTATCTTCTATAATTATTTTTATTTTTGGGAAGTTGCAAAATTTAATTACCTTGGTTCAAAAGAAGCAATTTTTATTTCTTTATTAAAACAGTTGTGTTATTCTTTTCTTTTATTTGTATTTTTGTAAAATTATCATGTCGATCAAATTATAAGCTTCATTGGTCAAAACCTAAAGCATTCACTCTATTGTCTTGCCACTCATTTTATTTCAAACAAAAAAAAATATTACTTTGTAGCTATTAAGATTAATAGAATCTTGGATTATTTATGATGCAACTTTTTACTTTCTTTTTAATATATTAAAATTGAATTAAATTTCCATTCACTTGGTAGGGAAGTATTGAGCATGAGGTCGAAGGGAGTGCAGCTGACAAACGAGAAAACACTCCTCAGAGAACAGGCCAGGGTTGTACGAAGAGAGGGCGTGGAAGACGAGGTGGGAGGGGACGATCAGGACAGGGTGGAGGTAAACCACTGGCGGAACAGAACCAGCCTGCGAGGACAGTACTTACTCCTACCAAGATACCTTCTAATTGGTAGATACACAATTCTGATATTTTTGTGTGTTATAGTTGAATTATATTGGCTTTTTAAAGAGTCCTTCCTGTTTGACAGCTAAGATTACTAGCAGAAGTCTATAGATAGAAACAAATTGAAGAGGTTGATGCATAAGAATTAATTCAATATGAATTGAATATGGGATTTATAAGCAAATTATATATGATTCAATATCTTGCTTAATTTACTGTAGGCCATAGTCTTTATTTTCTATTTATGGCTTTAATTAAAATTTGCAACCAAACTTATGTTTAGTTTTGAAAAATTAGAAATAGTTGCTTAAAATTTGGCTGTATAAATGCTTTATTTATTTTTTAGTCCCTCTTGAATCAGTCTGGTTGATAAATGTAATCAAATTTGGTGAAATGAATTTAACAATCACAATAAATTTGGATTGATTTTTTTTGGAGAATTTCTCAATTTCATTGTGTTTTTTTTTAACACCTTAACTTTTGATGGTGGAGCAAACAAATTTGTCTGGCATGAATGATTAGGAGGTATGTTGTTAACACTCCTCACATCTGTGGGGAGATTGGATGCTTCTCATCAACTTTTTCTCTTTGCTTTTAGAATTGGTTCTTTTTTCTTTATTTGTTGTAAAATCCCATTCACCTTTTTCGTGAAAATTTTGTCCGCATCATTGGTGAAGTTATTTTTTTTTCTGAATGTATATAAATAGTAACTAATTTTTGGAGGGAACCGTAAAGTGACTAGTGTAAGCTTAAAAAATATGGGAAAACTGATATCTAGTAAAATAACCTCTGTGTGAACTATGGCTGGAGAAATTTGAGAATAAATACAAATAGTTCACTCAAAGATAACCTTGAAGGAAATTTCAAAACTAAGAAGTTCCAATAATAAACAGTAAAGGTCCTAAGCATCTTACCCATTGGATTTTAGGAAGACACAAAATGCAGCCTGCATATGTATGGGCAGAGAGGTTTACTGGTTTATCAATTTATTGTTTTATATATCGCACATCCAAAATCAGGCTAAACCAATATACATAATATCTGATCTACCTGTTCAATCTTCTGCTTATTATCACTTTAAATACTTATTTACTGGTATTTTAATCCTTTAGTCTCCAATGCTAATTATTATTATTGTTGTATCAATGTTTTTTATATATAGTGAAACTCCTTATAACCAGTATTGACTAAAACACTCACTTTCATGCTTACCACATTCCCCAAGTTACTAGGAAATAATTTATATTAACTATGCAACAGAACGTAACTGGTAAATTATCTTTATTTAAATTAATGTAACAAGTATAATTCAAATATATGTTTAGTTAAATAATTGCTTAACAAAGTTTTTATTAACCCATTGAATACCACAACTATAATGTCCAACATTAATAGCGTATTATATCTGTACCCCAGAGGTAAAGAACACCATTTCTATCTTTAAATTTGTTCGGGTGAGTCAATTTTCTGTAACTCTGAGCTATTAAAATTTATTTCTTAGTTACTTGATAATGAAATTACAAAATGGACATGCTGGATATTTTAAACTCAAAAAATTTGTTTGGCGTGTTATTGCCTTTAAAATAAACTGCTTTCTTTCATTTTTATTAAATGTAAATGTAAAAATACTACAAAATTCCTTAAGTGTTTTTTCGCTATAATAAATATGAGTGCAACAATACGCTTTCAGTGATTGGGAAAAAAATTGTTTTCAGTTATTGCAGAGTCGCCTATATAATCTTGTCTTTATTTATAAATTAAATCCAATTATTCCATTTCATAATTTCAATTCTGTAACCATAAAATTTTAAGTAAGTGGCCTAATAAAATTTTGGTAAATTAAATGACAACTAATTAAGTAAATTTTCCTTATATAAAATGAAAAACATTGTGCACTTACCATGTAACTATTTTTGACACATAATTGCTGATGTTATTTTTATCCTCTTAATCAGTTTTTACTTGCTTATATATGAAAGATATTGATAATTAACTATAGGAGAAATAAGAGATTGTAATGAAGAGTAGTTGTAATAGAAGGACTAGAGGAAAACAAGCATGCCTGAAAGATTAGAGCAGCGAATTCCATACGTAACGTGAGCTTAATATAATACGGACTAAAACTGCACGGCAGCGGTGCCCTGTGTGCATTACACCTTGGTCACTAAAAACTTGTTTATATAATAGATAGATTATTTAGAGCTAAATTATATTTGAAAGGATAATATATATTAGTAAAAGGAAGAATGTCTGGTGTGGGAGGATTTTCTATAGGACTGCTGGGTATTTGAATAGTGAGGTATATTGTCATCAAGTATCAAGGCATCATTAAACTGTCATAGTGAAGGCAAAGGATGTATTCATCCCACTTACCATAAGGAAATTTAAAACTTCTTGGAAGGACTATATATCAGACCCTATGGTTGCCCATTAAAGAGGAGTTTCACTTTATAAACTAAATTTTTTTTTATTAATTATATTTACACATCTATTTTTTAATATTGCAGAAATAAAAAGGAGCAACACAATTGATTACTTCTACTGCACATCATTATCAACACTTCCTTTTGTTCTACTTAACGGATTGAAGGAATAACTTTCTCTATTTACCTCTGTAATTCTCATCAGGTATAGTCTTCTTGGAAATTGTTATTTTCTTTTTAAGAAGTATTTTATTAAGATGATCATACGAAAAAAAAAGTTTTAATATGTTTTTATTAGAGGTGTAATGTATATTATTTTTTTAATTGTACTAGTTCTACTTATTTAATTTCATGAGTAGTTCATTGACATTATATTGTACAAATTTACTTAAGAAATATTAGTCGTTAAAAAGTTTGCTATGAAAAATGTATTATTAAATAGTAACGACAAAAGTTGTGTGTCTTTGTATATTGTTAAAAAAAAGATATAACTATACACCATAGTTTTATGTATTATTAAAGAAACCTAATTGTTTTATTGTTTTTATTTTATTTATTGGCATAAGTGTGTCAAAAAAGTGTTACGCGAATTTTCTCAACATATAAAATTAAATTTTTAATTATAATGTATTTTTTTTTCACCCTTGACTGAATCATAGAATACTATTTATTTATCTGCTTTAAGGATAATTCCTAGGATATGATTTATTAAAGATTTCCACAACAGCTGTGAGGCACTAATTAATTATTGAAATATTTATAAATTAATACGAGTTAACTTACCTACCTAGCTTATTATGGTTTAAACTTACAACGGGCACATCTATGTCAGATACTGACATGTTTGTCTATTTTTCTTAGATTTTCAGGACGTAAGAAACCCACCCTTTTCGAAAACACTTTACTTCAATTTAAACTGTGTCTCTCTCTAATTTAAATAGAAAGCTAAGAAACACTTGTAAGAATTAACGCAATGCATTCTTTAAGATTTATACAGAAATACTCGTTTTGAGGTCCCCTGAGCCCAAATAACCAACCCCACAAAATGTTCTGTGTGTATGTGAACAGCCTAGCTAAAAAAGAAAAATTTAACAAAACTGAAACTATAGATTTAACGTAGGTATATGTCTGTGATGTTACAGTAACTTTTTCCCTGAAATTAGGCTAACCGGAAGTGCATATCATACTATTATCGATTTTACACATTTTGCAATTTTCTCAAAATTGACTAACAATTTTGAAAAAAAACGGATTATATTATATACATATACATGTGCAGGTAATATAAAAATTATAATTTGTATACAAACCAATCCTTAAACAAATAAAACTACCTACAATGAAATATAAATAAATATACTTTATCAGTGGCACTCTTGTCAGATTAAAAATATTTAATGGGACTTAATTATTTATTATAATCAAATAAATAATTAAACTTTACAGTCTTAAAAAGAAATGGTTAGTGACAAAAAAAATCATAAATACAATACATTATACGGCTGTGAAAAACTTATGGTAGTTAATTGTTTTGAATAATATTTTTATACTATCTGATATTTTTATTTTCACTTCCATTTCTCAGAAAATACTTATTTCTGCTAAAAAAAAAGGATGGTAAGTGAAAGTTATGTAACGCACACACTGCACCGGATTTTTTAAAAATAAAATATTCACAGTGATTTTATGTGTGTTTCAAATCGATACTTGAATGAAATGGCCTTGTAATATACTTTACTTTTATCAAAAAGGAAGGACTCCAAACTAATGGGAATGCAAAACATTTTTTTGATATGTGGCAAAAAGATTGTTTTAATGAAAAAAAAATGTAATCCGTTTCAAATGTGAATTATGTAAACAGTTTATTTGTTAACTGCATTCAAAGAAATATTAAATATACCTCAATGATTGCATTTCATTTTGTGATTAATAATGAACTTGATGTCTTTGGTTTGAATAACCTTTGTAATATTACAATTGTTTTCTATATAATGCAGAATTGATGTTCAACAAAAATAAATCTTGTTAACTGAAGTTCATGATAACTGGTATCTATGTGGTACACATGTTCGTAATAGTATTATTGTTTTTTATTTAATGCAGAATTGATGTTTTACAAAAATAAATCTTATTAACTGGCATTAATCATAACTGGTATCTGTGTGGTACATGTGCTCGTTCCTGTGCAACTAGTAGACACACTTGTCGAAAGGTTAAATGAAAATGTTCATTTCTATTATGTATCAATTACCAAAAGTTGAAATTAAAATTTGTACAGTTTATGTGAACATTCTGAATAGGAATTTGGTCTATAAACTTACCAATTAAATGAATTACATAAGTTTATAGAATAATTATGAAATAGGTGAAGGTAAACACGAGATCCCAGCCCTCAAACCTGTTTATTCCTTCTCATACAATTGTTTCCTTTCAACACGCTACCTAGTTTTTGAATTCCTTACCAACCTTCAGACGCAAATCATCATCCTTGACCTCATTTGAACATAATTTATACATCCATCTCCTCAGTAATCAGTCTTCCGAATATGTGTAAAATAATGTTCACGTTTTTCAGATCTGTCAGTCGCTTTAATGTTATCTGAAATATCACCCACATTGTTTATGTGTACAAATATGTAAACTCGCATATCTGAATTTATCTATGATTTCATATATCTAACAGTGCCTTTTCTTCATTGTAATCTTAGATCTAGACAATCATGTAATTTAATTTATTCCTAATGCTAGACAATTGTCATTAAATTGTACACTGTAGTTATTTTAAGGGGACTTAGTCCCAGAATAAAATTTATTTTTCTTCTTCTTTTGCTTTGATTTCTTTGATTAATACAGTCACTAGCCAATACGTTTTTGATGTGAGATGTACTGAATTTTTTGTGAAAATATGTGATTCTTGAGTTTTCTGTCCCGATTAATTTATAAGTAATAATTAATTTATGCCTCTTATTTAGTTTGTTATTTTTTATTATGACCAATTCAAAACATGTACTTACCTAGGTACTTATCTCTCTACTCGGGCATTTCTGATCAGACTAATGTTTGGAATAATTCAAAAAGAACATTTGCCAGATAGGAACGTCTTTTACTTCATTAATACTCTTATTCCTATTAATTCATTACTACCTAGTCCAATAGTTAAAAAAAAAAAAAAATGGCCTTTGTAAAAATAAATATGAAAATTAAAATGATTCAGTAGTGGGTCAAAAAAAAGATCAAATAATTGCTATTTATTCAACCCTGATGTTTCAAACCACATATTATGGGTCTTCATAAGGGCATAAGGACAGCTTTTAAAAAAGCTAAGCGTTTCTGGATTTCTTACCACAAGAAAGAACATCAATTATATGCGAGTGACACAAGAAGGTATGATAAAATGAGTCACTGGGCTTTAGTTTTCTTGAAGGATAAATTGACACAGAATAATAAAAATTTCCCAATAAAACAGCATTGTCAAAAAGTCTTAAAAAAAAAAAAACCTACAGGGCTTTGAAATTATTTTTTACTTTCACTTGCCTATATATATAATATATACTAAATATAAGTTTACGATCGTGAAAATTTTCGAATCTGAGTTTTCAACGGAAATACCAGTTTTGAGGTCCCCTGAGTCCAAATAACCAAGTCCCACAAAATGGTCTGTGTGTGTGTGTCAGGATGTGAACAGTATAGCTCAAAAACGAAAAGTCGTACGAAACTGAAATTGTATATTTGAGGTTTTTATAAGGCTGGGATGTTACAACATTTTTGTCTAATCAGCAAACTGGAAGTGGTACTTAAATCATAAATTTAACACATTTTTCTGATTTTCTCAAAAACAGCTCTAACAATTTTGATTAAACAGAGTATATCAATTTATTTTTAAGCAGATTTTAATAAAATGTAGGTTTTATTCTCATTGATGTTCTATAACAGGGATTAAATGGCTAATTTTCAATATTAGCTTACCCTAAAGTACCTTTAATTTTTTTTTATTTGAAATAATTAACCATTTCACAATTATCTTTGATTTAAAAAATAGTTAAATATAAAATATGAAAGAATTTGATAATTAACTAAAGGAGAAATAGATCATAACGAATAATAGTTATAATGGAGGAACCAGTTGAATACGAGCGTGCCTGAGCTCACCAGAAAGAATCGAACAGGCTTCCATATGTACATATACATATGCAGTTTTTATAAATGCTATCGTTGGTATTATTTAATATTTAATTGTATATATTACAGCGATATAAAAATTAAAATTTGTATATACGAGTAATTAAACAAATAAAAATACCCACACCCACAATGAAATGTAAATAAATATAGCATCTATAAACTTTACTTTCAACTTCCCTTTTGCCTGAAAATACTTAATTCTGCTAAGAAAAGGGTGGTAAGTGAAAGTTGTCTGATGTGCGCACCAGGTTTTTGTAGTTTAAGTATCAATTTATTGGTTACGTAAAAAAAAAAATTGATTTCATCAATAAAACAATTTGTATCCTTCTTTTTATTTCAGCTCCAAATATCACAGTAAGCTGACTAGGGAGTCTTTCAACATACTATTCTCATAAAACATATTTGATATAATTAATGTTTAAGTTATTTTAAACATCATTCACTACAGATTAGTGCAAAAAACACTCAAAGATTTAGTTATATTTAAGGTTGGTAAAAACATATTAAAATAGAAGTTTTTAAATTTTGAAATAAATGATTGAGCCATTCAATAGGTAAATATAATTTATTTGCTATTTATCATGAAGATAACAATAAGAAAGTTTAAAGAGAGAGAAAATTTTTCATATTTAATCAATACATGGAATAATTTATTAAAGTCAATAAAATTAATTTGTGTGTGTGCACATATATATTTCTTGTTAATTATTTTCCCTTCCATAGTAGCTCTATGGAATACTTGTATATTTTAAATTACATCATATTCCATGAATATATTACTATAAACGAATTGCTTGATGATCTTTGCGTTGTTCTTGAAACAATTATATATTTTACAAATATAATAAACAACCAAAAAGAAAATTCCTATTTATAATTCATTCCATAACTCCTTTGGATTTAATTTTTTTTTTTTATTTAATAATGACCACTGATGAAAAGATATATATTAATATTAAGTTGAATTAAATAAGATACATAGTGACTAGATTTTTAAAACTGAGATTAGAAACTCAATTTGTTTTTAAAATTTAATGTATAAAAAACAACAAGTATATACTATATACATTGCATATATTTCAGATATGCAAAATAAATTCCTAACTAGTTGGTAGAAATTTAAATTTAGCAATTTCAATGCATATTTATTCTTACACTTAAGCTACAGAATAGCTATGAACAAAGAAATACAAATTATATAAATTTTCAAACTCTTGACAAGTGAAAGAACTATATAGTAAACAAATTATTTTAAAATTGTATAATAAGGCCCATGTAAGTTTAGAAAAACGGTCAATTTGCTTTATATCAATAATAGATAATAAAATAATGAATGTCTGCGAACATAATAAATTATACACTGGAATGAATTATTCATTCAATATTGAAAATCATGTCAATTTGATGTGTTGATAGCAAGCGTTGTTGAATTTAATGGCCATTATTTTCTTAATTTTTAATTAAAAAATTAAGCACTATATACAAGTAAAATTGATATCTAACTATAGCTTAGGCAATAATAATCCCTGAGGTAAATAGTTAAGGCAATCATTCTATTATTAATAGTAAATATTTTTATATTATATAATCAATTTTCTACACTATTAAATTTGTGAAATATATTTTCGTTCTCACTAAAAAATTATTTTGCAGCGATATATCTCACTGGATTACAGAAATATGAAAATCAGCCTCATGACAAATAAAATGATGTATTAAGAAAAGTTTTTATTTGATTTGTGAATAAGTGATTGCTGTGAATTTTACAATAATCACGAGTTTACCCCATACATAAATGTTCTATGCATATAAGCAAAGTGAATAAAAACCAGAAAAAGAAGATGAAAAATGCTAACTAAACTGCATATTAATAATCTACACACAGGCTTGGGGATTGTAAGTAACAGGACTATTACTATTTTAAAACAACTTGTACCACCAAATATAATCATTACAGTGAAAAAGAAGCCATTACTTGGATCAAAAAGCAAGGAGGTAATCACAGTGAACAAATGCCCATACAAACCATAACCAAGTAATGCAAGTATTTTAGGCGGACTAAGATTTGCATTACCAATTTTGGCAACTATAAGACACACTATAGGTACAAAAGTAATATAATAGAGTAAAGTGACAGTGGGAGATGTGAGAATCAATGCTTTTGGGTGTTTATTGGCATGACCGTATTGTAGAACACTTGCCAATAAAACAAGGGCTATTAAAGGACCTACAAGATCGACATACACTTTTCTTGAGTTATTGCCAAATATAGGTGGTATAAATGAAGACAATATTCTTTGAGGAAGCTCTAAAGGAGACACTAAAAAATAAGCCACTAATTTATTTTTCTTATAAATGGTTTCTGGTCTATTAAGTCTTTCATACTCTACTTCAGGGTGTTCAATAAATATCACTGAATGGTTATTCATTATTTATACAGATCTATAAACATATAAAATAGTCAACATTAAATGAACATCATTTAATATTTTTTTGCCTTCTCTTCCAAATTTTCTTTCACCTTCTTTAATCTAGCTTCTAACCGCTGGCCAAGGCTTCTAAAAGCTGCTTGATTTTTCAAGTTAAAAAGTTTATCACCTTCAACTGCCTTTGTTCTATTGATAAAGTATACAACCCACTGTGCAGCTCTACGTATAGGATAAGAATCAGCCAATTTATCTACAACTCTTTCATTCATTAAAAATCTGGTGATAAATCTCCAAACCATTTTTAGATACTAGGCCTTAGGGATGTCAAAAGTACACATTGTCCTATACTTTAATAATAAATCACGCTTCAACTTTAGCTGAGTTCGAAGAGCTTCTAATTTATCCAACTGCTGCTCTTTGCTATACTCGACACCAGGCAATCTCTTTATCTGAAAAATCACAAATAATTATTGCTGATTAAAATAGGTCAAGTGATTAAATAAAAATAGAAACGTAAAAATCAATCAACTTTAGGTTGATAATTTTAAACTAAATATTAAACAAATAGCACCTACCTGTTCCTTGGCTAGTTCCAATTTTTTATGTAATTCTAAAACTTTCTGGCTGATGTCTTGAGAGTGACTTGGTTTTTGGCTTGACTCGTGAGGATCTTTTTCTAACCTACAATAACAACATATGATAAGATTATAATTAAAAATTAGCTATAAATAGCTTCTTTATACACATGATGAAACCTACCCGCGTATTATATCATAAATAATAGGTAAAAAATCTACATCCACGTCTTCCACTGACAAGCGGGCTGGCAAATCGTTAGTGTGCTGATCCTGATTATCGTGAGAGGACTCCATCTCTCTTTTCCATCATAAAATAACTAATATACAAAAGTAAAATTGTACTACGCACAGAAATAACCTATACCCTGTTATCATGAACAAACAGAAAATAAGTGGACAGTTGTGCCAACTGTCGCTGCTACACGAAATTAAAAACTCCACTTTTCATTTAATCTGTGGCTCTATGCTGCTTATACATTATTAAAATTATTTAATTGTAAAAAAAATATTCACCTAGATTCTTTTTTTTAATCTTGCTATTGAAGTTACAATTTGATGAGAAAAGACATTTTAGTTAATTTTTAATTTTGATCAAGTAGCCCATTTCATAGTTGTCAAATTAGACAGATAAATAAACTGGCCGATGATTATGTGTTGTTTGATTGTTAGAGATTGAATAGCAATATAAAATTATTTAGCTACAATGGGAGCTCTAGCTAGCCGTCAAAATGCTGGTGTAGAAGAAGTAGATATAGTTTCTAACCATGCTTATAAATATCCACCTAAATCTGGTCAGTCTTATAATTATTTTGGTTGTCCTTATTTTTATTACTACTTACTAATATACAACTCTTTGATTCATTATTGTTGTTTTTCAATTATTTTTTTAGGTAACTATTTTGGTAGTCACTTTATTATGGGTGGCGAAAGATTTGATACACCACAACCCGAAGCATATTTATTTGGTGAGAATGCTGATCTGAACTTCTTGGGAAGTAGACCAACCCCAGTAATATATTTTTTTATTCCTCTAGCTATTTGTATGTTTCATGGTGACTATTTAATGAAAAGCTGAAATTTGTTTTAGTTCCCTTATCCTCCTCCTCCAGCAAATGAACCTACTAAAACTTTAAAAAGTCTTGTTAATATTCGGAAGGAATCATTAAGGCTTGTTAAAACAATGTCTCTCGGAGCAAAAAATGAAGGAGATGTTAAACCAACACAGTATAATATTGAATTTACATTTGACTGTGATGCCAGAACTTCCATTACTATTTACTATTTTGCAACTGAAGAAATTGCTGTGAATGGCCTTGTGTAAGTTGTAATTATAATTTAGAGATTACTTTATTAAACAAGTTTTATTTACATATATATATATGTATATATATATATATACATATATATATATATATATATATATATATATATATATATATATATATATATATATATATATATATATATATATATATAAATTATAACATATTTATATTTATAAAATTTTCATTTATGGATAAATGGATTATTTACTACAAATATTTACTATGTATTTTTGTTTTGTTTTTCTGGTGGCATTGCAGGCCTTGTAGATTGTTTGCCACCTTGACCAGCCTTCTCCATCTCTGTCTATCTTAGGCAATTTTTTTCTAGGTATCTGCAGGCAGGTCTATTGCATCTTTGTTGACTTGATCTATCCATCTGCTTATTCGCCTTCCATGTGGTCTTTTGCCTACTATGGCATTCGTTGTTTGTTAAGACTTCCAGATGGATTGGTCCGAGCTACTTGTCCCACTCATTTTAACCTCCATGCCTTCATATCATGAGATATTGATTGACCAGTTTCTGTAAGGAGCTCTTTATTGGTTTTTCTTCTTCATGTGTTAGTACTCCGATCACAGATTGCTCTGGTTATCTTGTGGAGGATTTTTCTCTCAAATCTTCCAATATTTCATTCTATGGTGCTGGCTAGTATCCAGGTCTCGCAGCTATATATCAGAACTGGCTTTATCATAGTATTGGACACCCTTGATTTGAGATTTTTTTGTGATTTCAATAACTTTGAAAGAGAGAAGAAAACTCTGCTTGCACTTGTTGTATGCTGGTCTTTTTCCGACCATTGGTTGTTCATTGGGGTTATGGTGGAGTAGAGGATTGAGGATTTGAATTTGTCTACTCTCAGAAACGATTTCCCTCCAATTCAGGTCCTGTTGTTGGGTTAGAATTTTCGGCTTGTCATATATTTTGTTTATCTTCATTTACTTTTAGGTCAATTTGCTGTGCTTCTCTTATCAGAGTCAGCTATATCATTTGCATATGCAGGAATTTTATGATTCAGATTTTATGCACCCCACTACCACCCCTCCTTTTTCATCTAATGTTTTTATCACCTTCTCCAGTGCTAAGTTGATATAAGTTAGTCCATCTACCGGCCGTAAGCCAGTTCAAACTTTGATGGCTTCAGTCACTTCTTGTATTAAGACCTGAGATTTAGAGTTGTTCGTATACACCTTGTATACGTATTTGTTTATTAAAATTTGTTCTATGTTGAATGCATTTAGAATTTTTTATTGACCTATAGTTAGTCTCTAAATTGACCAGTCGCTACATTGTTTTTAAAAAATAATATTTATAGATCTATGTTTTTAAAAATTTTATTTTCTGGTTGTAAGTTATAAATTAAATATGTAGTTATATTTCATAAACCTGCTACTCTGTTAATAATAAATCCCTTCATTTTAGATACACATCAAGAGATCCTTCTATGACATCAGAAACTTTTCATTACAAAAAAGGAGCAAATCAACTGTTCTCCCAGCCATCTGTTATTTTTGACCCTAGTAAATACACTGAAGAAGAATTGTTATACTATCCAGAAAAAGAAATAATACCTATTGCAATACATTGTGTTGCACAGGAAGGTTCAGAAGGTGATATTTTATATATTATGTAGTTATTACTGTTCAAAGTTATTTATTTTTATCAGTTTCTTCTAATCATTTTTAAGTATTATAGAAAAAGATAAAGAAAAAAAGTTTAATTCAAGAATTTAGTATGGGATTAGGAAATATATACTGTGGTAATTTTTAATCTGATGAATTGGCTTCCTAAACATATTTAATTCAATTTAAATAAAAATATTGAAGATTAGTTGTAATTGTTGATTAATAATTACCTAGTTGAGAATATTGATTATGCCTCAATTATTGGAATGATTTGTTTGATTAATTATTTCATGTATTATTTGTTTCAGATTCGAAACAATCTCATACTTGTATATCGGTTGTTGAGCGTCATTCTGATGGAACTTATGTTTTAAAAGCTCTAAAGCAAAAGTTGTTCGTTGATGGTTTGTGTTATTTGTTACAAGAAATCTATGGCATTGAGAATAAAAATATTGAAACTGTTAAGGTTTGTAATCTTGTTTCGACCTTGTTGCTTCTAAATTTCTGGGACTTATCTAAGTAAGATTATTTTATTGCAATGTGTTTGTGATATTTATCCTGAAAGCATATTTTTTGTTAAAATAACCTCCACCCTAAGAAATAAAAAATCATTTGAATTGGTTTAAATTGAATAAAATCACAAAAAATTTGCTTTTTCTCGACTTTCTGAAATTGACAGATGACTGACTGCCTTTGATATGAAGCCACTCCTATACTCATTTGTATATTTATATATACTAAAATGTTTCACATTTAGTAATACTTAAATAATAAGAAAGAATACTCAGTGACTGATTTTTAATCTTAAATATTATTATTTACATAACTATCAGAAGTAGCTCTGCTTAGAATCTTAGCCCATGAAGATTGATTTTATTTTCTGATTCACCTATTGAATAAATCATTATCTTTTTCACTTCAGCCCGGTGATGTTGGTAGTCAGTAGAATAATCCTTTTTTCCTGGTGTAGTAAGAGTTTATAAGGGTGTTAAATTGAATTAACACTAAAATTTTGTAAGGATTTAAACTCTTAATGGAGATAGTCATAATATAGATTGCAATAATAAATTGAAGTTTCCATAACAGTTTTTCTCTGCTGCATGTGACTAACTGGAGGTTGAATATACTTCCCTTCTAGAAAGTATATTGGTAAAAAAAAAAAACTATTAAATATGATCATTTTTTATTTTATATAAGATGGTAATAATAATAATAATAAAAAGGCTTAGCGAACCCGAAGGTTCGATGCCGACACCACCAATCGCTTATTACTCACTTCCCTCCACCGTTCGCCGTCCAAACCCAGTCCCTTCAGATCGACTTTAATGCAATCTTCCCACCTTCGCTTCGGTCTACCCCTCGGACGCTTACCATTCGGCACAGCAAATATTAATCTTTTAGGAATTCTCTCGTTACTAAGTCCAACAACTTTACAAGCCCATTTGATTCGCCGCGATGAAATTATCTCAATTATATTACTTGGATACAGTTCACGCAATTCGGCTTTGTGTAACCGTCTGAACTCTCCGGTTAACTCATCCTTCTTCGGTCCGAATATTCTACGCAATACTTTATTTTCAAAAACCTTAAGACGCTGCTCATCCCTTAATGTAAGCGGCCAAGTTTTCCACCCATAAAGAACTGTAGGCAAGATAATTGTTTTATAGATTCTAATTTTTAAGTTTCGGGACAAGAGGCGCTAACTAAGTAGTTTTGTCACAGAAAAATAACAAGCATTTCCCACCTTCAGTCTAACCTTAATTTCTTCTTCAATTTGGTTTTTTTCTAGTTATCGTAGAGCCTAGATACCTAAACTTCTCTACCTGTTCAAATATATTACCATCTATATCGATATCACCAGTAGTATCGCCATTTTTGCAGCTAACCATATATTTTGTTTTATCCACGTTTATTTCGAGTCCTAGTTCTTTACCGGCTTTCATTAACGTTGTCGTATTTAGTTTTATAGTTTCAAGGTCTTCGCTTAACAGTACCAGATCATCCGCATAGCCCAGCACGGATGTTGTCCCACCCAGATCCAATCCTTTCTCGGTACGCATTACCTCCCTAATGGCATGTTCTAATGCCAAATTGAACAGGACAGGCGAAAGGGAATCCCCCTGTTTTAAACCCGAACGAACCTCAAATTTTTCGGACCGATTATTACCGATTCTAACTTTATTGAGTGTCTCCGTCAAGCACATCCTGACTAGATTTACTAATTTTTTAGGAATCCCCTGCTCAATTAAAATATTATACAGTTTCTGGTGGTCAATAGAATCGTAAGCCTTTTTAAAATCTATATACAGCTGGTGAACAATACCGTTGTACTCCAATTTTTTCTCTAATATTTGCCGTAAAGAAAATATTTGATCAATAGTCGAACGATTCCGTCTAAATCCGCATTGGTAGTCTCCGATAATTTCCTCTGCGTATTCCGTGATTCGCCTGGTTAAGATTAAAGTAAATATTTTAGAACATACCGGAAGGAGTGAAATTCCTCGATAGTTATTACAATCCGTCCTCGTGCCCTTTTTGTGAATCAGAATAAGAATAGATTCTTTCCATTCTTCAAGTAATTTCTCATTCACCCAGATCTTTTTAACCAACCGATGTATTTTAGAAACTCCAGCTTCCCCGCATGCCTTAATTAGTTCAGTAGAAATATTGTCAGTTCCCGCTGCTTTATAAGATTTTAATTTTCCGATAGCTAATTCAACTTCCTCTTTACTTGGTCCTTCTATTAACGGTTCAGCACTCTGGTACTCAGAAGGAGGACACCGATCATAATTTCCCGTATTTAAAATATTGTCAAAGTGGTCCTTAAATTTATTCAATATGTCAACCGGATCGGTCAGAATATTGTTATTATCATCCCTAATTCCAGATGTTACGGACCCTACACATTTACGTGATCTGTTTATACCTTTGTACATGTCTCTTACGTTATTTTCAATTCTATTAGTTTCTATTTCAATATTTTATTTTTAAGATACTCCCTTTTTTTATTTTTGAGCAATTTTGTCGTTTCGTTCTTTGAGGTTCGGGAGTATTCCAGATTGTCTTCGCTAGGATTATTTAGAGCTTTTAATTTAGCGGCTTTTCGTTTTACGCACATGTTTAAGCAATCTTCATCAAACCACGGTTTGTTATTCTTATTTTCCTTTTTTCCTAGACACGAGTTACCGACCGCTTTAATATTATCCCTGATCTCTACCCATAACTTGTCAATATCCTCGTGGTCCTCATCAGGAAGCTCTAAAGCTTCAAACCTATTCTTAACATCTAGCTCGAATTGGGTTCTAATTGATGGATTTTTTAATTTGTCCAAATTAAAATTCTCAAAATCGATACGGTTTTCTTTTCTCTTTTTTATATTAAGTTTTTGTCGAAGTTTTGCGATTACTAATTCATGATCCGACCCACATTCTGCTCCGCGATAAGACCGTACATTAATTATACTGCTTTGCCAGCTATGTTGTATCAAGACATGATCGATTTGATTTCGTGTTTGCGAATCCATTGATGTCCAAGTATATTTATGAATATCCTTATGTTTAAACGTCATACTTTTAATTATCAGGTTTTTCGAGATGGCAAAGTTTGTCAGACGGATCCCATTATCATTACTATATTCGTGTAAACTTTCTTTACCAATCGTCGGAATATAAACTTCTTCCCTTCCTACCTATAATTATTTTCATGTAGTTTCGCGGTAGTTTATCATAAACCCATTTGAGTTTATCGTAAAATTCACTTTTGACTTCATCGTCACTGTCTTCGGTCGGACAATGTATGTTTATTAATGCGATTTTAAACCAACGTCCCTGAAATGTGGCTACTGAAATTCTATCACTAAAAAATTTGTACGTCCCTCAAAGCGGATAGTAATCTACTCCTAATTAGAAACCTGGTTCCCAAACAATGATTCCTGCTTCCTCCGTACCAAATAGTGTACTTTCCTTCCCTCATCAAGCCCTCCCCTGGCCAGCGAACCTCTTGCAGAGCCACGACATCCAAATTGTACCCATTCACCTCATTCGCGACTGATTTTAGCCCCTCTGCTGTGTTTAAACTCCTTAAGTTCCACTTACCAATATTTAAATCCCTATATTTCAACTTGCGCCATGAATCCCCTAAAGCAGTCCCCACCCGGAGACCCCAACGGGGGACTAGTTTACTTCCGGATAATGAGCGTTTTACCTTAGGGAAATCCATGACTATTTGTGGTGTTTGGTGAACTAAAGATATGTGAGTAGGGCGTTCAATCCTACGTCACACCCTCCAGCAAGTCTGGTGGGCCCCTACCTCCAGCAAGTCTGGAGGTCCCCTCCCTTCAGCAAGTCTGGAGGGCCCCTCTCATTGTTGGTCAGCGAGTCCATCAGACTTAGCCGGGAGGAACTTCCAAGGGATTCCCACATCCGCCACCCGTGGGACGCTCCCCATACGCGGTAATGAGTCCGTGCGAAGTATATAAGATGGTATTTTAAAAATACCATAATATTTTTAAAATTACAAATATTTTTAAAATACCATCTTTTTATATAAGATGGTATTTTAAAAATATTTGTTACTCTTCTTATATTTCAGGGCACAAGTGATGTAGAAACAGAAGATAATGGGGCCGAATGTGTTATTTGTATGTGTGATGTTAGAGATACATTGATTTTACCATGCAGACATCTTTGTTTGTGCAACTCTTGTGCTGACTCATTACGATATCAAGCCAATAACTGTCCGATATGCCGGGCTCCATTCAGAGCACTTTTGCAGATAAGGGCTTTGCAAAAATCAGGATCTTCACATCCTCCTCCTGCACTACCTCATGATGTGAGTAATCAATTATACTTAGAAATAACATCAAATAACGGTAATTTTAATAGAAATATTTTTAAAAAGTTATAATTTACCTTATTTTATCCATGATTGTGGTTGTAAGTGTAACAGTGTCAGTGTTTCCAAGTTTTGATTTTTTGCTTTTTCTCCCATAAAAAGTTTTATCCTTTAAATTAGTTTATTGTTATGGTTGACAAAACATAATGTTAAGTACTTTTTTTTTTTTTTTTATTGAAGAATAATACAATCTACCACAATCAAGGGTACTAGGTATTATTGTATTAAGTATGTATTTATACATCATATATACGACCTATAATACAATAAATTGAAAACATAAATAAATTCTTCTTTGTAACTTTAATATATATTGTAGGTTTTATTGTTAATAGAAAGTATTGTTGAAATTGAAATTTTTCTTTATACCCGCTACTAATCTTCTTATGATCGATCTTATCTGCCTAGTCCCTTTGATTTTGAAGGATGATGAAACACATTTGTGAATGACACTGATCATTTCTTATTATTTCTTTTTATAATCCTTTATCGCATTAATCATTAAATCTATTTAGAAAAAAAATATCAATTTAGGTGCTAATGCTCACACTATATTAGTTCTTTAGTATAAAAACAAGAAAATTATATTGATAGTTGATTGATTTTTATTTAGGGCAGCTGTGAAAATATACCTCCAGGTTACGAAGGAGTTTCTCTTATAGAAGCTTTGAATGGGCCTGCAACAGTGAGGTAAGTATCTTGAAAAAGTTATTCCATTACTGATGTTTGATTAATGAATACAAAGTTTATTAATTTGTCTGTGCGAATAATTCGCATGGTATTTACAGTGACCAAATGGCAGTATAATAATTTTAAAATAAATTAATGTAATAAATATCAACTTTTACTTTTTTCTTCATTGATTACAAAGTTTGTTATTTAAATAACCAAAACAAATGTTATAAATTCAGTATCTTTATCAAATGATATCAGTATCAGTATAAAATTATATCTTTACTATTTGCAATCCGAATTCAGTTATTTTAGTTTTTAGTTTTTCATCTCGGAAAGAATTTAGAAACCTTTCAAATTATCAGGTGTGTAATCATTGTACATCATAAACCTGTGTGCTTTTGAATTATGCTTTCATTTAGCATAATAATTTTAATAGTGTGAGAACATGTCTAGTTTCGTGCTTGTAAACTTAGATTCTCTGTTACCATTTAAAGAAAAGTACTGCAGAATTGCACTGAATGCTTGTCGAAGTGTAAGGTGAGTATGCTCGCTCTTGATAAATTGACACAGTGCTTTGAGTGGTTTCAAAAATTCAAAAGTGGTGATTTTGACATGTAAATTGAAGAATGAGGAAGACCACTGAAGAAGTTTGAAGAAAGGGAATTGCAAGCGTTGTTGAACGAGGAAGACACTCAAACCTAACAACAACTCATGGATCAATTGAATGTAACACAAAAAGCTGTCTCCATTTGTTTGAAAGCCATAGGCAAGATCCAGGAAATATGAAAATGGGTTTCCACATGAAACAAATGAAAGACAGGCAGAAAACCACCTCTGGAATGCTGCTCGCCAGGTACAAAGGAAAGTAATTTCTTCATCGAATGGTGAGTCCAGGTGAAAATTGGGTATGTTTAAAGAATCCTTAGCATCAAAGCTCATGATGGGTAACTCCAGAAAAACCATCAACATCGATTACAAGATCAAGCTGCTGTGGAAAGATGACAGTGCTCTGTGTATGGTGGGATTAGATGGGTGTGATCTATTATGGGCTAATAAAACCTGACAGTCGTTAATAATAAACACCATTATCTACAAATGATAATTTGAATTGAATATTGCATGAGAAGCGACCAGAATATCTGTTTCTATAATCATAACTACCATTAGATGAGAAATTAATAATCAGTAGATTTAAAAAATATTGCTATAAAGGTGATTTTACTTTCATATAATCATGCTATTATATGGTGTTTGATTATTTTAAACTGAATATTTTGTAGATCCAGGTTTTCTCATTAATGATGATTTATTTATTGTTTATTCAGGTCAAGTTTAGAAAGGACTCCTAAATCTTCCAAGATGGTGGGAAGCCCTGATTATGAAAGAGATCCTCCAACTCCTGAGGTTAAATAATGATTTGAATTTCATAGTGGAATAAGATAATTAAAAAATTTTAAAACAAAAATAAATAAATAATAATAATATTTTATTTATCATTATTTTAGGTTCGAATGTCAGTACTTTTGGCCAGAGAAAAAGAAGCTTCAAGCCCAAAAGAAAAAGGAAAGTCTCCTGTATTATCTCCCAGATGGAGGGATAAAAACAGGCATAAAGATACTGTTAGAACAGTCAGTGAGACTTCTAATACTCATGATGAGGTAAGGTGTCAACTAAACAAACAGAAAGACATTTTCTGTTCAGTAATTAAATTGTATACCAGTTTTGTTTTTTGTTTGTGGTTTTTTTACTGAGTAGTACTTCTTACACTACCCTTGCTTTGTATCATGCTTTATTTTTACATGTATTTTTCAACTTATATCTCTCCTGTTGGAGAAGTTAGTAATAGTAACTTTCTGTGGAAACTAGCTAGTGCTATTGGGTTGGAAATAAGAGATCCATACTTGGCCAGTGCCTTTTTCACTTTGCTATTCCTGTGATCGAATCTTTCAGCCATATAGGATTCCTTGCAATAATTTATGTTTCATTCAAGTAAATATAATTGGATTGATAGTTGTAGAACAGAGTGGACTTGTAAAGTTTTTGGGATGGATCATTACTAATTTAACAGGGTTCAAACTCAAGAATATGGGTTTTGATGAATTCAGTAGAGGAAAGTTTGTTGGCAAGGACTGTTGATGTTATCGGTATTGTTTTATTTCTTATCTATAAATTCAATTTATTTAATGATTAAACTATTATGACTGAAACTATTAAACTGTTTCAGGCATGTGAAGAAGACATGGATAGTGAAGCTGAAAAAATGTCTCCTTTACTCAGTGGAACAAGGAAGGAAAGCAAGGATGAAGGGAGCCCCAGCCATTCTCCAGTTTCCGATCAAAGTCCTTCATCCCAAGGTTTACTTAGTTGATTATAAAAATAACTGATTGTTGAGGTATTTCCCCAGAATAGTTTTATTGGGAATAGTCTTTTTTATTTATCTTCATCTCTCAGTGAATTTATGGAATGTTTAAAGATTGTTGAGCTTTCGCACATCCTGTAAGTCATTAGTTTAATGAGCTGGATGAAGAATTATTTAATAATTATTAGGATATATGAGTAAAGGAAGTTTCAAGCAAGTAACAATAAGACTGTATAATCCATTAATATATTGCACCCTAAACCTGAAATTTGAAATGATTTTGTATTGTTTGTTCTACAAATTTAAATGAACGAACAAATGTCATCATCTTGAACTGTCTTAAATTCAATAGGTTCATGCTTTGTTTGTGATATGGTATATTAATATTCATTAGAGGAGTTGTTGTTCAGTATTGTCTCAATATTATTATTCACAGTTGTTCCATTATTTTATTTATTTATAGTTTTTATAAATATTCAAGAAAAAGAAAAAAAAATGGAGAGAATGGGCATGAAAATTAAATCATTGAATAAAATCTGTGTTTTCCTCAACGAAATTACACAATGTTACCAGATTCCATACTTGCTCAATTAATAAGTGACTGATGAATAATGATATTAATAATTATAAAGGAATTATTTAACTATTAACAATCGTGTTAGTAATTATGCTCCTCTTAAATCAAAATTGATACATGAACCTTTTATAAATGTTATTGAAGTAATTTCAGGTGCATTTTATTCCTTCTGATGAAGGCAAGATTAGATTCTCACTTTTTCTTTCGTGAATTTGACTTATTGCCTTTTGCTTGTATTTAGTTATTTTGTTTTGGTTTTAAATTCAGTTAAATTGATTTTAAATGAATTTCTTGGTTATAAATTTTAAAAAATAAAACAAAAAAAAAGTCCCTGTTTTGATTTTCAATGTTAATTTCCTGTTAAAATAAAAGTTGTCCTTTAGTATAAAATTATATTTACAGCATAATGAATTTCATCCATAATTACTATTTCTTGATTTTTATTACAGACATGAATATATTCTGAAGAATTTTTGAGGTCTTTATCCCATAATTACATGACTATTTTCTTATGCTCATAATTAATTCACTTAATGATTGATTCCACTCAGAATAAGTTTGATTTTCAAAATAGCTATTTGTAGGTAAAATGCATATCATTTAATTATTTTAATTTTCTAGCTATTTCCTTATCAGAAATGCAAAGCTTTATTGTAAGTAATAAAATAAATACATATGTGAGCTTATATTAATATTCAATTTAATCCTAATCTTAATGGTAGTGGAAATATGTTTTTATTATAAAAATTACTTTTATATATTATATTATCTGATCTCCAACCAATATATCAAACTTTGCATTGTTATATCTAATTGTTTATAAGAATCATGTAAACTTATTATTATAATAAAAAATAGTTTTATTTGTTCTGGCGTCCCAAATACTACTAATACCCAATACTTAAATCAGGTGAAGTTCAAATTTCTGAGACACCACTTGGAGAAAAAAGCAAAGCACCCTCTAAAGGTTCATGTGAGTATTAAGTGATAAATATCATTGTATTTATTTTTGGAGGTTTAGGTTTGGAATAATCTATTAACCACAGTAGTCAGAAGTTATATTATTAGACTTTTTTTATAAAAATGCTGTAATATCTTCACACTGCAGTAATAAGTTCAATTACAAAAAAATCATCATGTTAATTTAAAAATAACTTTATTTTAAAACATTTTTTTTTTATTATACAAAATATCAAATTCCGTAGTATTTGATAACTGATGACTTTTATTTACATCATTTTCATGTAGTCATCCTACAACCTTTCATCATTATTACTAGTTATTTTCACTACTAATTGAAGCTTTCTTATTCAATTTCAATTATTGTTGGAAAGGAAGCTATTAACACATTACTGGAAAAATAAACATATGTTTTGTCAACTGTTCTTATTGAATTCTTGAAACATTTAAATAGATTTTCACATTCTGTCCGTTAAATTCTGACTCTATATTATTATATCTAATGACATTTATCTATAATAAAATATAAATACTAGTGGAAACTTTTATCCTAATTAATTTCAAAGAAAATCCCTAATGAACTTTTTAAAATAAAAAATAAATTGAGCTATTCTATCAATGCTTTTTATAAATTTCATCTAAAGTTTGCTATTCCATATAACCTTGTGATAAATGTTCTACATATATAGATGGTGCACTTAATTGAAATATGTTAAGCTTTAAGATTATTTGTTGTAGAGGTTCCATAAGAATGTAGACTACTTTAAACTTATATCTGTTTTCCTGAATATTTCTTCCAAAGGGTATCTTTTTTGTCCTTATGATCTTATTCACCATTCGAGATATTGTCTTTAAAAGATAAACTTACCTTAAATTTGGAAGCTTCTATGTAAATGTTTTTGGACAAATAGACCACATTGAATTTTGTTAATGTATAATTAACATCATAATTGGGATAATAGTATACTTTTTTTTTAGTTGCAAGTTGTTTTTATTAAATTTTCTTGTTCCCCATTCTTTCTTAATACTATTGAAAGTGAATTGGTTGTCTTATATTCATAATATATGTCTTTTCCATTAACCGAAATAAGCATATTTTTATTTAAATTATATATACTCACTTTATTTGTATAGACGGCTATCAGTAGGTTTTTCCCTTGTAAGGTATGTTATCATATAGCTTGATGTGTACAGTAATCTTTCCTATTTCCTTACCACAAATAATATTACTATCAACCCTCAATATCTCAGATTTTAAGGCTATCACTCAATACTTTGAACTATGCATAGCTCTCTCATGTTACAGAGGTATTATTGTTTTTTTCCCAAAAACTGTCTTGGTTTAAAAGACGTTGTTATAGAAACAAATATAAAATATAACTGTAGTATATTCACTTTACTATAACTCTTTTTACTGTTGTGCTTTAATATATTATATTAGTTTTTTTTTACAACTTTTAAATATAGTTTAGCTCAAACTGTTATGAAAACAAATTTTAATCATTTTTTTTTTTTTTTTTAAAGAATGCACTAAATTAATTAAGGTTTTTAATATACTTCATTTCTTCTTCTTTTTTTATTTAATATAAATTTATGTGTATGGGTGTGTTTACTTATCTATTTAAACTACAATTATGTCGTTAATATTTTTTTATTATGTAATAACTGATTTGACTTGATTAAAGAAAAATATTTTTTTATATATTTCTCTTGGTTTAGATTATTTTAAATAGGGATAAAACTTAAATTATATTATTTTGTGGAGGGGGAATATATTTATGTTGACATATGCTAATTATGCTGAATAATAATTTTTTGTTAGGTGAAAGCATTACTCAAGAGGACCTAGAAGCGGGAAAATCGAGTCCAAAACAGTCAGGTAAAGAGGAGTGCCATTTTGTTCAAATCAAATTGCAGGATGTTGTGTGAGGTTTTCAGTTAAATAATTTTAAGCTATAGTACTTTACAATAGTACTAAAAAAGTGCTCCATACCAATCTAGCGAGCTGTGTCTTTGGTTCATAATTTTTATTTATCTTCTTTATTTATTTGATAAATAAATGTTCTAATTTTTATATTTAAAAATAAAATTAACATGTTATTGTCAAATGTTTTCGGTAAATAATAAACCATATTAGGGGTTGTTCTAGCTTTGAAAATAGTTTAGAAGTATGATTCTAAAAAAAAATTATTCTTATTGAAGGAAATTAGTCGACTGTTCTACTTATCATGGGTGATAAATATTCAGGACGCAGTCATTTTAAAGTTTTTTATTGGTGTCGACATTTCAACCCAAACATGTGGGGTTCATCATCAGGGTGTGTTTTGAGCACTGAAGATATTCAAGTACTATGTAGGTATTTGAGTATTTGAATACCTTCAGTGCTCGAAACATGACCCACATATTTGGATTGAAACGTCGGTACCATTAAAAAAACATTAAAATGACTGCATCCTGGATATTTATCACCCAAAAAATTATTCTTGAACAGGAGAAAAATTTTGTTCAAAAGCGGTTCTTTGGCATATCATGCCATTACCTTTGCATTGACCTGTTTAACTACTGGTTATAATAATATTTCTCTTTGGGAAATTCTTATATTTTTTCAAAAATATAAAAGTAGGGCAGAAATGTTTACAAAATTTCCATAGTAATTTTGAAGAAGGGATTTAAATTGGAGTTTATCATTCTATCAACTGAAAAGCTCATATAATTAATGTATCAATTTAGTTCCTATTTTTTATTTGTAATGAAAATGATTCTATATTAATAATCCCTCTTTTAAATAATTATACTTTTGAACAAAAGTTAAAGAATTAGAAATCTCTATCTGAATATTTTTTTTATACACATGTTTACAGCCACTCCTCTTGAAGAAATGGAGTTGTCATGTGGGGTAATAACTGTTGACGATTCTGACTATTATACACCCGATGATCCACCCGCGACTGTTCTCAGCCCACTTCATTCTGCTGAAAAAGTAAGTATTAATTCCAATATTTATATTTATATTCCTTTCACCACAGTAAAGGAAAACTTCTAGTATTTTTAAGGAGGAGGAGGGAGAGAGAAATGTTACTTAACTAAAACATTTCTTACAAATTAAATGTATTTTTCTTTTATTTATTTATTTATTTTTATTATTTTTTTTTTTTTTGCTGTACTATTAAATATTTTATTAGTTTTTGTACCATTTTTCAGTTCAGCTTAGCTGTGATGATTTTTCTACTTTATAAATCTTGATACTAGTCAAGTAACAACTAATAAAATCACAAAATATAAAAAATAGTAATTCGAAATTAGTTTTAAAATAATTGTTTACCTTTAGTGTGGTGTCAGGCTGCTTGCTTTCTTTTTAAACTTGATGAATAAACTAAATATTTTTACTTGATTATTTTATGAGGCTATAATTTCTAAAAATATTTAGTTTTATTACCATTTTTTTAAAAAAAGAATTGCAATAATATGGTTAATTAGTTACATATTTATCTCACTGAGCACATTGTAAAACTGCACTGATTTCTGTTGCTTTATGTGGTTGTGATAATTTTTTACTTTTTTTTATTTAAAAATTATTTTTTGTCATTAAATAATAGGGAGAGAAGTTATTTACTATTATCATTCCTTCTTCCTACACTATCCAGTCACATTCGGTGTTAAAACTAAGAAGTGAGTGTTTCTCCTGTGGTCAAAGTATTTTGTAGAGTTTGGTTTCATGTGCTTTTCGTTAGAGCTTAGCCTGCCTTGTAGCTTCTTCAAAAAAAAAAAAGTTAAACTTGATTTTTTTTTTTTTAAGTAACTAATATTTACCTAGTTTAACTTTTTTTCTTTACTATTTGCTTTAATAAACTGCAATCCTGCCATTGCGTATCACATTTAGCTATTACTTTTATCCATAAGAAACATGAAGATTTTTTAAACTATGAATGGTTTTAATGAAATATGATTCTTTGCTTATATACAATGAACACCTTTGGTTCTGATTTTCACATTAATAAAAAGGGAATGAAGAAAAAATTTATTATTCCTTACTTTTGGAGGATCTATTTACAAGTTTATAGCATTCTAATCTCAGCATATATAAAAGAAATCTTAATAAAAAAAAAATTAAGATCACCGAGCTGTAGCAAGTAGCAAGAGCTATAGATCAGCAACCACTGTTTTGTAACTACACTTCTCTCCCTTAATTTTTTATATTGACGAAAAAAAAGTCAGTTTTAATATATTTGTTTTTTGTCATTTTATTGTTGCTTTTATTTTATTATAATTATAAAATTAATAATTGGCTTCCTCATTATCATTGTCCATGTTTCTGTCTTTCTATAATCACATATTTCTTATTTAAATTAGTTTTCCCACAGGGCGAGCGAGAATATACAGCATTGATGTTCTGAGTGTGTTGAATGTAAGTCTTAAACTATTGTTTGTATGGGAATGGGTGCCTGGTGTGAATTATTTGTAATCTGCTTGCATTTTATGAATTTTGGTGGTGGCTTCTTTCTTCCAGTCAATGTCTATTCTTGTTCATTTTTGTATCTATGCTTTTTCATTCCCCCTCCTTGCTTTGAGGGAACATGTTCTTCCTAATGAGCTTTCTGAAAATGCTTTTTATTTAATGCATTATCAGTCAATCATACCATACAAAACTATAATAATTTTGTGTAATTTTGTCATTTCAGGAAATGATTATAATACATAGTTTTAAAGAAAATCGTCATATTAATCATGGTCAGATTCTCTTGTTTATCACTTTGTCAATTTATCGAATTCTAACTATAATTATTAGATGAAATATAAATAAGATAATGCTGAATACAACAGTAAAATTCCTTTAGCATAATAGTCTGAAGTATCTATTTATTAAGAATGTTTTGGGTTTCCATTTATTATTTGTTATTTCAATTATTAAATAAATTATTGTCTATATTTCGATGTTTTGAATTTTACCAAGGAATCAAATATTTTATCTTTTGAAAAATTAAAATAACACAAATTTAATCTTTTATAAATATTAATGATATAATTGTTAATAAATTATTGATTTAAAACTAAATAAATTAAAACTTTTCAAGGCCATATAATATAAATCTGGTATATAGTTTGGGTGTTATCAAAAAAATAAACCAAAAATTTAGCTTGTAGTAAAATACTCTATTCTGTCATTATTAGATATGATTTCTTTTTTATACTTCAGTTTTTAAATCAATCCCTGAAATTTTATTTTTTAGAACTTAAACATTTCTTATACATAAAACATAATAAATATAATATTATAGCTACACTACAGTTAGTAGACTCTCTGAGACTCATTCAGCACTAAGTTGAAACTAACAATTTTTTTCTCTAACCTCAGATATTAGTTACAAAATATTCATAAATATATTCATACACTTAAAGATTATGATATCATGTTTCAAGATTGGTATATATTTGTTAATATTAAAGATTATGACATCATGTTTCAAAATTTGTATGTATTTGTTAGTACCGGAGGGTTAGAGAAAATTAGTTTCAATGCAGTGCCACATTAGTTCTCTCATGGACTGCTAACTATATATGATTGAGCTATAGATATCACCATGACAAATTCTTCTATAATCCTATTTTTCTGGTAAACAATTTAAGTAAACTGAAGAACAGCCATGTCAATTTTACTTATTACTTTAATTTGTTTTTCTCATTGCTGAGAACTGCATTAGCTTAGAATAGCGAAACATTGTACCTTTTTTCGAATATTTTTGCATATTCATTTGCTGTAAAATGTGATTCTAAGTTGAAAGCAGAAGCATCTCCAGAAAGTAACAATAACAAACTTTTTAATAAAATGATTCCAGATGACACACCATAATGATTTTATAATTTTTATAAAAATAAATAAGTTTGACAAGATGAAAATCAGAAATTTAAAAAAAAAATCGATTACTGACAAAATATACAAAACACTTAATCAACTAAAAACAAATTTATATTTTTCAGTTATTATAGAATTTTTTTAGTAAAAGAAAATGTGCTCCCTGTACCACTTATCAACTCAAACAATAATTAATTTTAATTTTCCTATTTTGAACTTTTTTTTCTAAAATAATCACACTTACATTGGTTTATCGATTATTCTTTATTAATATATGTTTTGGGGAATCTCTCTTCCCCTTTTTAACATCTAAAATTATTTAAATAATATAGGTTCTATCCTGAACCAGTCATTCTTAATTTTTCTTAATTCTTAATTTAATTAACAACTTACAATCGAAAATCCTTCATAACATCTTCAATGCTTCTTACTTTGTTTTCAATAAAATCATCCATAGCAGCCTTAATGTTCCATATGTTTGCGATTTGGCCCAGTCCAAATATCTATCTTTCCATAATAAACTTTAGAGCCATCCTTAACCCTCTTGTGTCTAACCTTGCTCTCTCTTCAATCCCTAACAACTCTCCAAGGCATCTGAAAAGAATATGGCCTCGTGATCGCCTGATTTAGAAACTATGAGTGCAACCAATGGATAGTTTCTCCACATTTCTTTTCATGCAATTGTATTTCCCTGTATCACGTTTATTACATGTACATTTATTTTTACATACTTCTTAGTTTCTGGAATAAAAGAAAAAATTAACATTTAAAATTGTGATTTCACTTAATTTAAATGTATATAAAATTATTTAAATTACATTAATTTAAACTGTTATTAATATTTAAATTAAGAATGATTGGTTCAGGACAGAACCGATAATGTATTATTTATATAATTTTAGATACTGAAGAGGGAGACGGAAATTCCCTGAAACGTACATTAATAAAGAATAATCAATAAACTAAGAGTGATTATTTTATCTATTTTCAGTTCTAATAATTGTTTTAATATTTTCAATAATACCAACAACATCTGATCCAAATGTTCTACAGAACATATTGATCATTTCCGTTTTTAGTAAAACTTAATAAATTTCCATATTAATATTTTTTATCATGGTTTCTCCCTACTTTTTGTTTATATTGTTGATATTTTTATTTATTTACTTCAAAATTAATTCTCAAATTTTCAAATAAATCAGTTCAGTAGTTGTAATAAAACAACAGAACTGATTTTTTAAGTCAGTTTTCCAGATAAATATCTGGTGTTTCCATCAACATGACTTTTCTTAGCACATTTATTTCAAAATCCAATACAAAAAGTTTTTGCTGTGAGTTTGGTAATATTGGTCCATAAAAGATTGTATTTACTTTCTAGACAATATTATTATTAATTAATTATCTTTCAAATGAGCATTTTTATTCTCCCGGGAGATATATAATTTTCAAGTTGATCGAATGGAATCCTATGGAAACATGTGCAAAATAATCTACAGTACAAACAACCATGGGTTTAAAGTTCAGTGTACTGCACCTTTGTTAATAATGGTCTGATTTAAATGATTTTTTTAATATATAGAATTTACTTGAATCTGGAGGTTGAATACGATCCTTAGCAAATCACCTCTTTGCACATTATTTGTTTAGAAGCAGTACTTCTTTACTAAGTACTAAACCCAAGACAATTTATGAATTGTAGTGGTACCGGTTTTAAGTTTACATATGGAAATACATTTAAGTTTACATTCAAAAATTAAATTAAATTTCATCAAACGTTTTTTCTTGCTTTTCCTTGGGACCATACTATATCTAAAAGTTTAAGGAGAAGAATTTAGACTAGTTCTTCTTCAAGATAATTTGAGGCATTTTGCCATGATAGTCATTGCACTCAGAGTAGCCAAGTTGTGGCACTAAACTATCAGGAGGCGAAACCACACACAAAAAAAAAAAAAAAATAGTAGCAAAATCATTTCACTCATTGATGAAGATAATTATGACAGAATAGTGACAAAAAATGTAATTTTCGAACTCAGAGACCTCTTAAATGTAAAGATCTATTGAAAAACAAATACCAAAAATTTGTCCCCAATACAATACCTTCTTTACCTAGCCACCTAGCCATTCCTTTCTATGTAGTTCTCATTATTAATATATTGTTTCAATTTTTTTTTTTTTTTTCATTTTTCATTTTATGTGATCTTAGTAAATGTCTGAGGAGGTTTGAATTAAAAGAAGTGTAAGTCAAGTTTGATTTTACTTCATAAAGTGAATGTTTTGTTCATGTACTACATGGTAATTTTATATTATTATATATATCATATATTTTTATGAAACACGTAACATTCAAGTACATATTATGCGTCCTTTCATAATATATGTGTAATTTACACACATGATTAAAGTTCATTTACAAAACATTCAATTTCTTGACAAAAAAAAAAAATTACCTACACTGCTATCAATCTGACTGTCCCATAGATTTATAATCATTATGTTTCATTTTTTATATAAGAAATCCGAATACATAAAAAATGATTATTTACTTGATGTTGCTTCTTTATTTTGAAATATTTAGTCGAATCCTTTTTCTCTATACTAATAATTTTTATTTTTTTATTAATGGAATGGTTAACTCTTTAAAGAATAAAATTAATAAATACATAATGTATACATGATAACTTTTACTTTAATGTACTGCTTGTTAATATTTTCTTTGAAAAGTAATTCGGTGTTGTTAACCATATTGTTGTTGCATGGGTTAATTGTTTGCATCACCTTCAATTATGTATGTTTCTATTTTGTTTATCCTTCTGTATTATTTTTAACATTTGTTACTGTAATTTTGTGTTAAGTGCGGAAATATATTCCCTAAAAACATTTTATCTGTTTTATGTAATAGATGTCTGTTCACAGTAAAACATGTTTGACACATTTACACAATAAAAAAAAAAAGACCTTTTTATAAATAATTCAAAAAAGTACAATGTCCAGGTGGAGTATTTTAAAACATCAGATGGTCTGCCTACAGTTACTGTCTAATTATGATGTGAGTTAAACTGTTATTAATTATGTCTTATATTCACTTTGAAAATGTTTTCCTTTCAAACAAAAGGACTCATGTGTGAGATAGTTTCTGTGATTTTTGCACGTCTTTATTATTTAATGTTTGAAAAAAATATATATATAATTTTTTATAAATATACATATTTAAAGTAATTGCTTTATGATTTGAATGCACTACATGTGTGTTGAAAGTCTCTTTATTTTTTTATATCATCATATTACATTTTATTCTGTTTGAATAAAATATGTTTATAGTATAGCGTCGATTAACTGCAACTTTCAAATTTTATATCTAATTAGTAGCGATTTTTAGAGCATATGGAAAAAATATGTGTTGCGATGTTATATATAAATATATATATATGTTATATATAAAAATATATATATTTAATTGTGAACAAAATATTTTAACATTTTTATTGTAGCTACTGCTGGTACTGGTACTGCTAGTGGTGGGGAACTAGTCCGGCATGTGGGATTTTTGGTCACTTTTGCCAACCCTTGACGTCTCTACCTTAATGTTGTCATTGAGTACTTACTGGTGAGAGTCTTAAGGAAGCAGAATGGCCGAGCGGGCTAACTTGTATGGAGAACATTCCCTGGCATCCTTTTTTTTTTTCTTCTTTTTTTCGTTCCTCCCCTTCCTTGCCTTTATGGCTACAGGTTTTTTTTTCCGGACCAGGGGGTGTGGGCGGGGATTTAAAAGACTCCCCCGCCACCGGGACACAAACTCGTGAATGTTTTATATCAATTGTCTTATATATCAGATTACCACAGCAGTACTGTGCACACACATTAGCCCATTTGGCTGCACCGGACCCCTGCAAACTGAGGAACCAAAATTTATATGATAAAATAATTACGAGTTCACGTCCCGGTGGCAGGGGATCTTTTTTGACACTGTTATTAATCCCCTGCTCTTTTCTCTGGCCCGGGAAAATCATCATATAGCCTAAAAGGTTAAAGAGCGGGAGTGTCAAGATACATATCCCAGGGGTGCCAAGAAATGAAAATTGACCAACCCTGGTGGGATTTGAACCCACAATATTCAGAACCTGGCACCCTGGAACTCATGCCCCAATGTATTCAGCCATCATGCCCTCTTATTTTAGCTAACTAAATATCTATATATATTTTTTGTTTTTTGCCTTTTGGATAATCAAGAAATTATTTTATACTGAATTACTCACAAAAAGATAAAGTATTTTGATTTATGGGTCATTAAAAATATTAAATAGATAATAAACTTTAGTGTTACCCTAGATTACTATTCTCTTACCCAGAACTCAAATCCACGAATTGGCATAGCTTCTAGTGTTAAATGGGCCATGAGAAATTAATGATTTTTTTTATAAATTTGCATTTAAACCTTTGATTCTTTTCAAGTGTGCCTTTTGTAATTTGAGTAATTGAATTCCATTTTTCAAAGCATATGTATGTACCAACTAATCTTTTTATTTATGAAAATAAATAGAAGTTGGGAATGGTTTACAGATAAATTTTATCTAAATTATCAAAATTTCTATGGATGAATTTAGTTTTTCAATCTATAGGAGGGGCTCTGTTCTACTTTTGTCACAAAGATCAAATTTGTTTACTTCCTTTCATTGTTAAATTTAAACTGTATCAGTAAAGTAAGAAGAATTTGGTCTTGGCAGCAATCAAGAATAACATCAAATAGTGTAAATTATTTATTAAATATCTTTAACAAATTATCTAATGCCTAGAATTTTGTAAATAGTTTCCACTATTAATTATTTTACTTTACCACTCCCCTGGCTATCTTCTCCCTTTGTCACAAGCTTAACCAGGGTCCTTTCATTCCTAGACCAGGACTTATTAAAACTCATAGGCATGCATGCATGTTTTGGAATATCATTATAGTAAATACTTTATATGATATACCTAATGATATTTAACTTATTAATATCCTATTAAACTTTAATTATGAAATTCTACTATTTTTATTCGGCTTTTAAATCCCCTACAACCCGAAACCATGATCTGGTTACCTGCCCCACCCTCCCCATCTCCCCCGTCCGCCATGTAGGAATCCTGATTTATACAAATAATTAAAAGTCTAAAAAAGGTCTCTAGTATTAATAAGTTATAATAATAGTATTTTTTTTTTTATAACTAACTTCCAGATAATCGATGCTCTACTATATTAAATGGACATTTTTACAACTATGATTTGAGAATTTTCCAAACAAAATTTTGTGACTTTTATATCAATAGGTTAAACATTATGATTTATAAATATTATCTTCTTACAACATTGTTTATTCTTAATTAAACATTTTGAAAAATAGTATCATAGTTGCATTTACACTCAAGTATACTTTAAATACAATTTTACCTCCTTATTTTGTATAGCTGATAAGCAGTCACGTAGGCCATTCTTACAAGTTCCCTATAAATTTTATAGGAAATCTGGAAGAACTTGAATTTAATTTAATTTAATTTAAATGAAGAATTTGTATATACGTATACAATATATACACATTGTATAGTATATGCAGTTATTAGGATGAAGTGTTCGTAATTGTAAATAGTTTTTTATATCAATAATGATAATTGTTTCTAATAATTAAATTACTTTGGTACATCTAAACTACGAGGAAATAAAAAGAAATTATTTGATTAAGTATAATAAAATTGAAGTTAATATTATTGATTAAATTTATATTTTGAATGTCAAGTCATCAAAACTAGCTGGGTTCCGTCAACAGCCTTAATTTTTTTTTCTTTGCTCACTTCAAAAGATTACGTTAAGTTATATGGTTAAACTTTTTAATTTTAACTTAAAATTTTAATTTTAATTTAAAATTTAGTGTGTAATAATAAAGATCATAATGGAGTCATGCAACTTAGCAACCTCGAATCAGAAATGATACCACTTCAAATACAGCCTGAGGCAGATTAAAATTTATTTCTTGGCAGAACTAAGGAATAAACCTCAACCTTTCACTCAGACTTGAAAAAGTAGATTACCTTTAGGATAATCTGTTTTTTCCTTCCATTGTTGTTTGCAGTAAACAAGATAGTTTTTTCAATGCAGAACTTTTTGCAATAATGTTTTTTTTTTTATTATTATTATTTATACGTTAGATTTGTTTTATATGTCCAATTCTATTTATGTTATTGGTTTTGAAAACAGATAGTTAATTTTGTTTTCTTTGTGAAAAAATAGTTTTGGATAAAAAATCAAAACAAAATGTCAAAAAGGCTCGAAAATATTTATTTATTTTTTCTATAGATAGCAAATTTCGTTTTGCTTTTTTCTTCTTTATATTAACAGTTTATTATTTATCATATGGTAATTTTGTGTGAGAGAAAATCTATATGATATCCTATATTTTACTACTATAGATTTATAATTGTGAAATCATAAAAATGATTTCATTACAAATTGCAACACTTTTTTCTGCATTTTTAATCTTATTCTATGTCTTATTTTATTTTATGCCCGTTTCAATCTTGTAATTAACTATAAAACTGATTTATTCATCTGCCAATTTTGATAAAATTAAAACTATGCTTCTACTACCTTCATTTGGGTGAATTTGATGATTATTCCCTTTAAAGCAATGTTACTGATGATCACTGATGCGTAGTGTGCTCTAAAACTGAATGTTTTTTCGAATATGGTCAGTTGAACTATTTAGAAGGTCATTTTGTTTAGGCAAAGGGTTTGTGTTGGGAACAAAAGCCTTTGTTAACACTATTTTTAGCAAATAGAATTGCATAACTGAAGCTAATTTTTAGGCAAATCAAAACTAATTTTTGTCGGCCTTGTATATCTTGACACCAATTGTTTTGATAATTAGAATACCATTTTTTGATTTATTGACTAAAAAACTAATTAGGTAAGTTAAGATGTATTGTGACCTATTCCATAGAGTTGTCCAATGTATTTATAAAAGCTTTTCATAATTATAACTACTTGAAATACCTGCAATTATTTTTTTCTGAAAACAATATTAAATATAATATCAATAAATATTAAATAGAATATTAATAAATATTAACTATAATATGATAATATATTATAAGTCTTCAATTTTTCCTTACCTTGCATATTTAAAAACACAACATAATTTTTAAAATATTTGAAAATGAGTAGGACACAAATAGGCATATGAATTGTGCAGATTTTAAGATTTTAAAAAATACACCATACTGATAATATTATGAATATAATTAATTTATTTTATTATGTATTTATTATTTTTAAAGAATTGTCTGAAATGAAAATTTTAAAAATTTCAATGGATTCTTATGAACACATTATTGAATGACAAAGGTCAAATTAATTCTTAAAATAAACATATAAAACAGTAGTTGGAAGTAACAATTATTTTAAATTATGGCCAAACCTGTTATATCTTTTATAGGAAAACTTTTTATGGTTGTCTTTAATTTTAAAAAATCAACTATTACTTAACCATTAAAAAAAAAAAAATGCTGTTATTGCTTATTAGCTATATTATTCCTGATGAAAAATAAAAGGTGTTCATTTTTTTTTTTTTTTTTTTTTTGTTTCCCTTCTTTTTTTTAATTCTCTGTTAAATAAATTTAAAATACAGATTTAAGATTTAGGAGAACATTTAATGATTATGTTAAGAATTTTGTTCCAATTAATTACATCTTATAAAATATCAGGCAAAATGACTTAATTTTTAAAATTTAAGAAATATCCCTCAACCAATGATATTTGTGCTTTAGTAAAATGATTCTTATTACACAATTATTGGGGCTCTGTTTAGCCGGTGGTAAAAAAGGGAAAAATAAATAATTTTTCTATACAGAGTTTACTAGTTTCACTATTCACATTATCATCAGAACTAAATTCTTAACTAAACTAAATTAAAAAGTCAAAGTAAATAAAAATGGAAAAGTGGTTTTTATTATAGTTAATCTTGGCCTGGGAACTTTAGAAAATTGATAAGGTAAAAAACTAACGAAGAAAAAAGATTCTAACTTTATTTACTATAATTTTGAGAAACAGAGCTTCAAAGTTACATTACATAAGTTTACTGTTGCATGAATATTTTGTTACTTAGACCTGGAAATTACAAACTACGGCCCGTGGGTATGTTCTGCCTTTGATAAGATTTTAAAATTTTAAAAATATAAAATTTTACAAATTATTCATAAACGTGGTTACTGCAATATTTATGGCATGGGTTTTTCTCTTAAAAAGCTCATATCACAGCTGAAGTGACATTCATTTATTTATTTATTTCACCACTAGCCATGGCCCGCGGAACTTAGTCGAGGTCTTAATGTGGCCCTTGAGCCAAAAAGTTTTGAGACACATGACTTAGACTAACAATTTTGTTTGTACAATATCTTGAAAATGTGAACTTATATTTGTATTCATTGATGACAATTTTACCTCTTATTCATAAATTTTTGAATATTGAAATTTTGCAGTCAGAATTTTGTCATTCCAGAAAGCATTTTTGTAACATCAAAAATGTGTTTGAAAGACATTAGGGGTTGAAATTTGGTATTGATTATAAGGAAAAGGTCTTGAGTTACAAATTAATGTAATATTTTGTACCTCCTGTAAAGATAGAGAAATTGACTTAAGTGATGTTTATGTGAGGATATTTTATCTGTATTCATGGAGGAGGTATTTTAATTTGGCTATAAATCTTTATACAATCGACTCTCAATTGGTCTAATGATAAGACAAAAGAAGCAGAAAAAAATTTATCATTCTTTTATTGATTTATCAAGTGACATGTTGTTTGCTGTTTTTGTTAAACTGGAGAGTGAATAATTACTGTTTAGTGTTAGAGGTAGAAGTCAAAACTATAGAGGTTAAGATATATATATATATATATATATATATATATATATATATATATATATATATATTAGTATGAAGGATTATATATCTCAATATCTCAAGTTTTTCAATATTTTTTTTTTTTTAATCCGGCATAAATGTATTACAGATTCATTAAGGATCATTCTTAATTGTCCATATAATTAAAACAGGCCAATAGCCTTTGCAAATTTATATATACTAATAAGATAAATCAATCTGCAGTCTGAGCCAAAATGGAAGTACGGTATCCTAGTAAAAATATAACATCACATATGCTTTGTTAGAAAATTTCTTCCTCCACCAGCAGATTCTGCATATTGGTTGCCCAATTAGCTCCAGTTTTTAATATCCTTAAATTATTTGAAATATTTTTTTAGTTTATGAAATAACTATGTTCTGTGGAAAAAAAAATCTGTGAATACTATTAAAAACTGTCAGACTGTGTACTATCACTATTTTTTTTTTTTTATTATTATTATCAGTTTCCACTAATAGTAGGTTTCCTTAACCTAAAGTGCTTGGATGGCTTCTTTCCATAATGTCCTATCTAAAGTCCATTCTTCCTGTAGACCATGACCCATCATGGATTCCTCCACTTCGTTATCCCAGGTCTTCCTCATCTTCTTCTATCCCTAGTTTTCCATAAGTGGACTTCTTTGGGTAGTCTTCCTTCAGACATTCTTTTCAAATGTCCATATCAGTTCAGGCATTTTTTCTCAATCTCTTCCAAAATGTTTCTCTTAGCCTCCATCTTTTCTCAGATGGTCATATTTCTCACTTTATCCATTTTGGATATTCCCACCACTCGCCTCCAGTAGTCCATTTCGGAAGTTTCTTGCTGAGGTTGCTTTTTATGGTCCAAGTTCCTGACCCCATATGTACGCTCAGTACTGCACTATTATAGATGTTTTTTTTTTTTTTTTTTGGGAATAATGTTCCGGTTCCATAATACTGAGTTCAGCATTGATATGGTCTTTTTGCCATCTGAAATTTTTCTTTTTATTTCCACATCACATGCACAATCTATTTCAATTATAGAACCAAAATATTTAAAATGTTTAATTCTATTTATTTATTTATGTAAATCTTTATGGTTTTGAGCATATTTAAATGTATGCATGTATGTATGTATGTATACATCTTTCATGTGATTGAGCTTATTTTTTAATTTAAATATATGTTAATTTTATTTTAATATGTCAATATTTGACATTTTCTTTAATCGCATTTCTAGCTTTTACCAACTATACTTCATTTGTTATATTTCAATCTAAATAAAGTAGTTAAATTAGCAAATAACGAAATGTATGAAAGTACTGAGAAAAGTTATATTTTAAACAGAAAATCAGTATGATAGATTCATGCTATTAGCATATATATTTTTTTTTTCTATTAAACAAAATGCTAAAATCATGCTATAGCCACTTTTTTTTTCTATTAAACGAAATGGTTAAGGATTTTTTTTCTATCAAACGAAGTGGTTAAGGATTTTGTTTTCTATTAAAATTTCTACTTTGAAGAGGAAAGTTGTATTGTGTTGTACATGTCAAAATAGGTCAATTTTCAATTGATGTTAAAAAAAAAAATTAACATATTTCCTTTGATTTTGTATACTACGGTAGTTTTTTAAGGAATATTCCTTTAAGAATGCCTCTTTAACATCTGTAGATGCAAACAGGTTCTATTCTGTATATAAATATTTATTATGTGTCAAACAATTTAGTTTCAAAGAAAGCTGTTTTGAAATGCACGTTTGTCAATTATAATTATACTGTTGTTGAAAATAGTTAGTTTATGTTGCTGTTAGAAGTTAAAAAATGAAAATGATAAGTATGGAAAAGTGTAAAATTTCCATTTCATTATTTAATAATGAAAACCCTTATTTATTATTAATTAAAAATTTTGTTGTTTATTTTATGTATTTATGTTCTAATATTTCATCATTATTACCCTTTTTTCTGAATGGAAATCAGGGCCTCAGTTATGATATAAAATAATAACCAGTAATTGGACAATTGTACTCAATAAACAATTGTTTTTTCTGAACTTATTAATTAAAACTGACAGAATTAGAAATCCTAAAGAACCATTGGCATGTTTAAATGTATAAAGATTATTAATATTACTGTTGTACCTAAATGGTTGTAATGATTCTTAGAAAACTACAATGTTAATCCTGTATTATTCTGTAAAAAGATTGAAATTTAGTTTTCTTTGTAAAACTTTTTTTTTTCTTAATGATATTTACAACTGTATAAATAAAAGAAATACATTTAGTAAATTTGAACATATGGATATAATGACGTGAAAACACTTGTTGAGAAACTACCCAATGGTAGCACTAATGATAAGGCTACATTAGGAGATCACGTGTGTAAAACTTATCATTGCTTGGAACCAATGGCAAACATGTCTTAATAAATCTTAATTCCTATACTTTGACATTTTTCTCTGTATATTCCACATGATTCATGCCACATTTACCATCATTAGAAATGTAATTAAAAATAATAAAGATTGTTAAGATTTTTTAAAAAATTAAATTTGGTTAATGGCAGGTAGAGGGAAAATGGTGTGCTGGGTCTATTCCAGGAACCCCTTTGAGTACCGCTAGCCATCGGTCTAGTGCCGATAGCTACTCCTCTTCAGGTTCAGCAAGGCTCTTACTTGGCAGAACCAACAAAACCTAGCAATTGATTTAATTATTATTTTAATTTGTTTATTGTTATGGTATAACCAAAATTTTTTGTACTGTTTGTAAATTTTTAGCCATTTATCTTTAAAATAATTATCACATTACAAATTAGGTATGATTATATAGAAATTTATTTGATTCCAGGTATCACTCAATTATTTTGTCTTTCAGTTTAAATTTTAAATTCAAGATATATGTTTTTTTTCTGCAATGTAAAATATACTATCATTTTTACTTTATTAGCAGGGACTGAAATAAGCCATTTAACTTTCTTAAAAAAAAATAAATAAATGTATTAGATTGCTTATATTTTTATTCGTTAAAAATCAAAATTTTATCACAAAATAAAACTAAAAAGTTTCATATAAGTTATTAAGTGACATTTCATAACCTCAAATAATAAAGAACTTTGATGAATTTTCCCTTTGTGAATCAGAAAAATGTGCAATATATAACTGTATATGATAAATTAAAAGCTCATTTAGTGAAAAATCATTTTCATGCACTGATAATCACTTTTGAACATGTAAGTAAGCTTGAAATTCACAAAAACATATTTGAAAGTTAACCTACATCAAAAATGCACTTAGTGACTTTTTGCAATAAACAGATGATATGCTTTATATATTCATTAAAATCTTGAAGGAATAAGTTTTAGTTAAACAAATTAGACAATTCTAATAGCATTTTTTTTTCATCAAATCAATAAAGAATGAAATAATTTGATGTAACGTAATGTAGACTTATGCTTAAACATTAAAATCACATTTTAGCATTGATAATAAGTACTCTAAGGAAACTGTTTATCTAAGGTGATTGCTGTTTCTATCCCTGCTTATTATCATTACTATTAATTCAAAGTTGTGATTACTTACCATATTTCTTGTATTGTTCGTACGCTATTCTATATTTCCTGTGGCTCCTGCACATTTAGACATAATAGTTATTTCTTCATAATTTACTTTAATTTACCTAAAGTTTAAATTCAATTTAATAGACAATTTCTAAATGAGAAATAATTGAAAATAATACTACAACATAGTTTATTAGTAATAAAAAATATTAATACCTGTATATTGTTTAATTTAATGTCATTGATTCAATATGGTTAACCAAATCATCCCTCCATTTGTAAAGTTATTATTATTAAAGAAGTATTTAATGCTTATCTTTGTTCTTTGAAACGATTAAAAAAAACATGACAGTTTTACTTTATCTGTCCACTTGATGGAATAATCAATTTGATATGAGAGCATATCACCATTTATATTTCCAATCAATTTTTAATATTTCGCTATTTGATATAGATTTGTTGTTTGTTATTGCTAAATTATTCATATTAAAAATTCATTTCTTTTCTTTTTGTAGGCACATTAAAGAAATATTAACTTTTGTTATCTGAAAATCAATTTGATATATTATTTATGTTTCCTTTTTTTATTATTATAACTATCATTACTATTATAAATGATTTGATTAAACTATGGAAGGATTTATAGATAATTATACTTTGCTCTTTTACAGATTTAAAATTTAATATTCTATAACTATGTAAGTAAATACATCGTACTATTAACTCAAGTATTTTAAAAAAATAGTTAATTAGATGAAACTAATTGTTACGTGATCGTGATCTATGCAATTTTGTTTTCTAGCAATATGGAAAAAATAACAGTATATTAATTGAAAAAGATCAGTTGTATAATTAAAAAAGAATATATATTTATAAAAGGATACCATGAGGATTATTGAAAATTTTTTTTTTCATATTTCTCTCTATATTAGCAGTTAAAGAATCAAATATGATGCTAAATTTTGATATTAAACTTTTTATCTTGATTTAATTTTGTTGTGATATGATATTTTTAAATTAGATTTAAATTGATCCCTCTTTTTAAAAGAGTATGTCACTGTTGTTAGTTGTATCAAAAATAAAATTCCTTTCCACAAGACCTTAAATAAGAAGGGTTGATATTATTTATAACTGTTATTTGTTTCAGTATTTTTCATTAGTAATTACTTTGAGTTGCCAGAAAGGGTTCTGAACTTTGACTGTAGTTTATTATTGTATAATATTAATTTAATACTGTTCATATATAAACTTTTTTTAAGTCCTCTCTCTGTAAATTGGTGTAATCAAATGGAAATATTTTTTATGTTGTTTTATTATAAAGTCATGTTTCATACTCATAATTTTGGAAAATAGATCTGCATGGTTATGAACACTTGATTTGAACTAGAAAATGAATTGTAGTTGTATTATGTGTTAATTTATATTGTTAATGTGTAATTTTATTTTCTTAATTTGTCTTATTCCTATTTTTTATAAATAGCTTTATCAATTTTCTAATCAGTTCAACATATTAACAAAAGAGGAAAAACAAAATAATTTAAATAACTGAAGTTAATGAAATTGACAGTAGTTTCTGACTCATGGTTTGAAGAACAGTGATATATATATATATATATATATATATATATATATATATAAAACCTATAATAACAGAAATATATACAACCTATATTTATATAATTTTAATTTATTAAGATAAGCTATCATCTCCCTCTATATTATTAAGAAACGTTGTTATTTATTATATATTTTTATAATTATACTTTATTTAGATATTTTTTTGTACTTAAATTTAAAAAGATTATATTCCATCTGTTTCATTATACGTGGTCATATATCCTATTTATATTTTGGTTTGGTTTGAATAAAACTTACTTTACTGTGATGCATTTTAATTTGAAAATATCTGTGTAGTTCCTCCCAAGATTGATTTGTTAAAATAAAATATTCTTTATTCCTGAAGTCTTGTCATAAAAAATTGAAAATGAGAGGTAAGCATTAGAATAAAGTGTAGGTTAGCTTGAAAGTTTAATAAACCTATTTAACCTAATTATAAGACAAATATAAAATTAATGATTATAACAATTCACACTTCTTTGTTTGCCTTTTGGTCATTTCAATTAATAATCAAATTAGTTTTTGATCACTATTTATTATTTTATTCAATAATACTCAATGGCTATTATATTAGGAGCTAATATAATTGCCATTGACAAAACATGTTTAAAACTGTGACAGCCAATTTAGGGGGCAAACAATATTGCTGAAGAGGGAGACAAAGATTCCCCAAAACGTCCACTAATAAATGGTGACCAAAACCTAATTTGATTACTAATTGACTTGACCAAAAGGCAAACAAATAAGTATAAAAAGATATTTAGAATAAAGGTCAAAATCGAACATTATAACAATAGTCAAATTTAAATTGGATAAAATAAAAACAACTGGAACAAAAGAACAAAATGTAGTTGGATAAAAATGATAGATCTTAAAAAATAGAATATAATAGAAAATAATTTCATTCTGGGACGAAGTCCCTTCAGAATACCAAAAAAATGTACAAAATTAAAATGTTATATCTGACCAAATAAAAACAAACATAAAAAGTAAAGAAAAAGATAAATCAGTAAAGAAAATATTAGTTATACATACTATATACAAAAAAAAAAAAAATCTATATACAAAACTCTTGAAACCTTGCCAAGACACTTAAAATGTACAATGGTAAAATATAAATATATATTTTTAGAAGAAATAAAAAATACATTACATTCTTCTTAGCAGTAAACTCTGTTTCTGTTGAAAAAAAAGTAAGTCGAATCTGATAATAAGTATTTAAGTTATGAGCTATATGTAAATTTATTATTATGAATAATATGTAATTTTACATAAAAGATTAGCAGGTATCTGACTGTTTTGGGAATTGGAATAGGACGGTTTTGAATGTAGATAGGGATGAAGAATGTTGAATTTTGATAGGAAGGGAAATTCAAAAATTAACAGAGCGAGCAATAAAGGAGTTTTGGAACGAGGCAGATCTGTGAGAGGGAATGTAAAAGTCGAAAGGTCGAGATCTTGTGGAAAGGGAATGGACTGAGGACTTGAATTGGAGAAGGTTGTAGGCGTAAGAAGGACGATGATTGTTGATGATATGATAGAGGAATGTACCTATCTTCGAATGGAGGGGAAGAGCCACTCTAACTCAGTGTAGTGGTGAGAGACATGATAGTATCTTGGGGCACCAATCACAAATCTCACACAACTGTTCATTAATCTTTTCAGTCTGTCACAGAGCTCCACCATCATACACTACACAGCTGTAGTCAAAGTGGGGGAAGATGAGAGAGAAAACCAGCAGTCTACGCGTATATTGAGGTAGGAGATGGCGGAAGCGATAGAATAGTTTGAGGGTAGACATTGTCTGTCGGGAGATGTGAGAAATATTGTGATTCCAGGAGAGGGTTTGATCAATAAATAGTCCTAAATTTTTGACAGAGGAGTAGAAGGAGATTGGCTGGTCACCAAGGTTTAGTATAGGAAAAAGGGCATGTTATTTATCTAAAAGCTTCCTCAGTTAATTAAGAGGTATGGTCAGGTGAGAAAAACATTGAACTAAGGTTGACAGTTTTACTATTATAATCATAGTAGTAAATTAATTTTCTGTCCTATTTCATAGATCACCTCTGGAATCAGAGACCTTCTTGATTGCTCCAAGATTATGGAGCATGTTCAATCTAATAACCCCCATGTTCAAAAAAATTCAGTTCTCATTTTTTTTTCCTTATAAAAAGTTCATCTAAATTAAACTGTTAGTCTGCGTATCAAAACAAAATTTCAAAAGACCCTTAAGTTTGCTTAAGATTTACACTATTGAATGGATTGAACTAAATAATTGCCTATATCAATCTCAAAAATTTGTTTCTCGGAGTCAACCAGTCTTTAAGTTTGATCAAAAACAGTCTAGTAATTTGAAAACAGAAGATTTGAAAGATCTAAAGAATTAAAATTAATAAGAAAAGTATACATGAAAATCATTATTTTAGAATTTAAGAACTCTAAAACAAATAGTTTGTTATAATTTAAGGTCAAGTTAAAAAAAAAAAAAAATTCACAGCTTTCTCTACCGTGAACAGTGAGAAAGTATTTGCTTTTAGAATAGAAGATTTATTTTGAAGAACAATTAAAATAATCCTAAGAAAATTTCCAACAAATATTCCATAGTGCAAAAAGTATAGTTTTTTTAATGAGGCCAACTTTTTTAAACCATCATGTTCAAGATCCACCAAATATTAGTATATCTATTTTCAAGAATATATCGTATAATGTTATTATTATATAAATGCATGACTTGCTACTAGAAAACCTGAGAGAAAGTAATATAAAGGAATTAAGAGAAAATGCTATACAATAAAGGCTAGATATAATATCCTGATGAAATTACCTTTTAATTAATTGTTTAGATTGCCTTAACTGATTCTGTTATTGTTATATATTTTTATCATAAATTGTAGAGGAGAAAACATTTAAAACTTAAAATTGACCAGTTTATTATTCATGGTCAAATAAATGATTAAGTATTGTGTCATCAAATAATATTGAGTCATAGTCCAGTTCCTTAAGTTATGAATATAGCTTAATTAATAAATTTCTAGCTTTAGCTAGTAATAAATAATTTTCTCGGGAGAAGATATATATTTTTCAGAATTAAATTAAAAAAAACAAAACAGAAATTAAGATAGTTCTTTTTGTCATAAGTACAATAATCTTATTATATATGTATATTATCAATGCTAAAACAAAGAGGCTTATGTATTTTTTCTATATTTTGTCTTAGCATTCCCTTACATTTACATTACCTATTGTTACTCTGAGTTAGTATGACTGACTAGGCCCCTTAATTCCTCTGACTAGAGCATCCTACCTTTGTTTTTTAATCAAGTTCTTCACACTGTACTTCCAAAATGAAAGAAGCACAACTCAAAATTATCAGTAATTTTGTTTATACTTATCATCCCAAAGAGCCATCAGCCTTCAAATATCAGATGAAACCAATGGACACAATAGGTGATCTAAAAGTAATATGATAGAGAAAACCCTGGACTGGGCTTCTATTTAATTCTCAGCCTGTTTGATTTTTTTTTACAAAAAACATACATAAAATTGTGTATTCTTTCATAATGGATACATAATCATATTTTAATCCACCAATTTGGTAATATTTGGTTACATTTTCATAATCAAAACATTCTTTCTCATTAATTGCTTTATTTAAAAGAACTTAGGTATTTCCTTCTGTTCCCTAAACAAAAAAACTCTTTCATAAGTAGCTTTTACTCATATTTTTCTCATCAACTCATTACAATGAATTCTCAGTAATGCAAATTTATTGGTGTTGGAGTGTTTATAGAAACTAGCTAAGATATAAGTTCAAAACTGAATAAATACATCCTTGGTCAACTTTAGTACAGTGAATTTGTATTAATAAAAACCTTTATTTCTGCTTGTTATGAAGTTCAGGGATCTTTCCTCACTGTTTCTTATCTAAAGAAAATAGGATAAGGATTATTAGATCAGACACCTGGGTATATCATTTGCTGTTACTCACAGAATAGTGATTAAAATGAGACATCTTCACGCTTAATTGTAATTCGTTTTTCAAAAAACAATAGATGAGTGGATAAATGAGCTCAGAAAATTTGACGCATAAAGACTGAAACTGCTAATTTCGGGCTGCTCTTAATTTTCAGTTAATTATAAAAGGCTCATTTATACAACTATAATAAGACCTATATATGAACATATGTAGTTGAGCTAAGGGCTCCACCAAAACCATCAAATTCCTACGCTATCCAATTCAAAATCCTTCATGCCCCATTATTTTGTCTCAAATAAAACCATTCATAAAGACCTTAATGTTCCATATATCCCTGAATTAGCCCAAGCAAGATATATATCCTTTCATGACAAACTCCAGTTCCATCTGAATCCACTGATTTTCAGCCTTGATTCTTCCTCAATTCCTGATAATCCTCCTAGGATCATCTAAAAAGATGTCCTCCTGATATTCTTACTTTTACTGTTCAGGGAGTGCTACCATTGGGTATCTCCACAAGTCAGTGTTCATATCATTACTGTTGATTTGCTCAAATTTACAAGTTGTATTAATTTTTTGTAGTTTTAAATTTCAATAAATAAATGGAATATTTGAACAGATTTTTACTTTACAAAATTAAATTTTAAAAAATGGCATTAGTATAATTCTTTATAGCAATTTCAACTTTTAGGATGGCATTCTGCACCTTAAGACAAATTCATAGAATTGGAACCTGTTTTGATTTATTATAACAGATTTCAATTAATTAATTATTTTAATTTGATCCACAGATAAATATTACTCACACCGGTGACACCTTAAGTCATAGCAGTACCACCACTTCATGTGATATTGTTTATCTTACAAACAGGACTTCAAATCGATAGTTCATTAATTATAATTATTTATAATTATAATTAATTTTAATTATTATATTTCATTTTCAATTTAAAAATAATAACCAATAAACACCACATATACTGTATAACATAGATAACAATTAAATTGTGATAAAAATAATTTTACACAAAAATTAATATGTATATGCATACGTTATTAATGTACACATTTATATTTCTGAAATTGCTCTGTGCATGCGGTATGTGCTGCGCTGGTTACTGTTGAGGACATTTTCAGCAATAAAATACATCTTTAGCGACTTACGTTTCCAGTTGCCATCTAAGCACTTGGAAGATATTCTTATTTTGTAACTAACCTCTTCCGGCCTTCGAGAGTTGAGACAGTTTATATATATATATATATACAAAAAATTTAAATTTCTGATTTAAAAAGTATTATTCAAAAATTATTATTATTGTTAATGGTAAAAATTTTGTTTAAAAATAATGACCAGGATGACTTTTAAAAATTTTGATCGGATTAATTATTTTTTTTTAATTATCAACTTGAAACCCTGCTTTTATAAAGAAAATACTTATACATAAAAAATAAATCTTTAAATATGAATAAGGAATAAATAAATAGTTCAACAATTGTGTGTCAATTTAAAACAATTTATTTTCTTTTGAAAATTATAAAATGAAATTAACTAGCAGCTGCCAGTTCAACTTGAACCTTTTTCCAATTGGACAAAGGACCATGATCTCTCCTGTACTTAACATTGCAACCATCATTTGCCAATTTTCCATCAGCTCTGAGTTCCTCAAATGTCTCTCGGTCATACTTGGTGAAACCCCATTTCTTAGAAACATAGATCTGTGAAAATAAAAATAAGATTGTATAAAATTGGTTATAATAGTACTATGGTAATTAATACAGGGATTCATACTATTATGTATGGTTTAAAAACAGTTCTTATGGATTTGAACAAATAGCCACGAGATCAAAATCAGATAGCACACCTAAATGAATTTGTTAATAATTATAGGTTTCTCTGGATTCCATATACAGATAACTTTTGGATAAAGTTATTAATGCTTTACTAATATTATAAAATATTTGTTTGAAGTTTAATATATTGAAAACCACCACGGATACAAGAGAAGGGAGGAGTAGAATTAACAAAAAAAATTTTAATATAGTAACAAAATAATACCTTCTGCCTTCCTGGAAACTTGAACTTGGCTCTCCTGAGTGCCTCAATGACAGCAGCCTTGTATCTGTCACTGGAACGGACACTCATGATAGGTTGACCGATGTGTACTCTAGCTACAGTACCCTGCGGTTTTCCAAAAGCACCTCTCATCCCAGTCTGGAGCCTTAACAAAGAAAAAAATAAATAAGGAAAACTATTTTTTAAGCTATTAATTAGTCATTCAAATCAATATACAATTAATTTTGGTTAAAACCTTGCTTATTTATATATTATGATTCTTACTCTGTAGAACTGTTCTTTGAAAACAGTTGAAACTATTTTTTTAAAACAGCAGGTAATAATATAGAATCTAGAGAGTACATGAAGCTAAATACATTAAGAGCAAAAACCTATTCAAGAATCTAATGAGCGAACTTTGCCACAAGATTCTTGCTTAAAGTTTTAGCTGAGAGGTTATTGCCAGAGAGAGAAAACAGCCTTCATCCTTCAAATAACTTAAGACGGTTTTTGAAGTTTAATGACATTAATGTCTATTAGAGTTTGATATGTTTATAGCCTATTTAACTTAAGAAGTAAATATTGTTATTTAATTTAAATGTTTGATATTTTTTAAACTGGTTACAAAAATATTCTTCTCATAAACCAAACAAAAGAATTAAAAACAAGTTACTCAGAGGCTGGAATGTCTTCACGATGTTCTCAGAAGACCATCGTGTATATTATCATCATTGTAACTTGTATATCACTTATAATCAATACTGATAAGAGTACTTTAACATGGGTGCATATATGAATAAAATGGTTTAAATAACTGACTTAATGGCTTCTTCATACTCCTTAAGCAAATACCTCACATCAGAGAATAAATAATTCAGGTATTAAATAGTACAGTAATGACCACACTATTATAGAACACTGGAGCGCCTATTATCAGGAATTACTACCATAGTACCAGATTATATCTAAGCAGACCACTAGGAAAAAGTTACTCAGAGGCTGGAATGTCTTCATGACGTTCTCAGAAGACCATCGTGTATATTATCATCATTGTAACTTGCATATTACCTATAATCAACACTGATGGAATACTTGAATATGGGTGCATAGCACAAGGGTTCTATTTTTTGTTTTTGATCTTCTCCCTACTTTAAGAACTAAGCATTCTGATACGGATAACATGGTTTAATTAACTGACTTAATGCCTTCTTCACGTGTCCCTTAAGCGAATACCTCACCACATCAGGAAATAAATAATTCTGACATTAAATAGTACAGTAATGACCACCTATCTCTAAAGAATACTGGAGCGCCTATTATCAGGAATCGCTACCATAGTATATCTAAAGCAGAACATTAGGAAAAAGTTACTCAGAGGCTGGAATGTCTTCATGACGTTCTCAGAAGACCATCGTGTAAATATCATCACAGTAACTTTTAACTCTTAAACAATCAATATTTTTTTAATATATTGATGAACAAATAGAATTAATGTCAATACATTAGAGGAATAGGCAAAACTATGGAGTGGAGTATTTTAAACTAAATATTTCTTTTTTCTTACTATACAAATTATAACATATTATTTAACATAAATATTTGTATTGACGAGTGAGTTGAATCAAAATTGATAGGGCAATTTTGAGAAAATCATAAAAATCTATGGAATCGATGAAATAAAGTGCTTCCCGTTAGTTGTTTTTGATGAAAAAGTTTCGGTAATATCCCAAGTATATACTTATCTTAAATAACTAATTTTAGTTTCTGTACAACTTTTCATTTTTTAATTGCCATGTTCATGAACGCCCAGACTAATAAAAATCAATAACAGAATATACATAACAAGTCACTCAGAAGCTGATATGACGTTCTCAGAAAAACGTTTGTAAATTATCAAAAAGTAACTTTAAAAAAAAAAAGTAACTTGTGACTTGACTCTTAAACAATTTTTTTACTGATTAAGAATTATTATAATAGTAATTATATATATTTGATAACTGGTTGGTTAAGACTGTTAGTTTGCCCCACTTGGGTCTTTCAATATGGCCGCTAAAGATCAGATTGGGTAGATGTAAATCATAAATAAATTGAATCTTTACACTGAATATTGTTAACTTGAGGAACAGAGTGAAAACTCCGCTGTAATAAAAACAATAGTTAAAACGACCACCATTATTAAAATCAATCTGGCTCTCAAATAACAGCAGTGGTTGGCAATTTCTTTAATGCCCCTTACATTGTTTTATTTTTTACTTCATTTATCAGTACAGTCTCAAAGATGTATTGATGGAAGTAAAAATGAAATAATTTATTTTCTAGAAAAATTATGTATGTACAAAGGAATTAGAAGTTCTAAGAAGATGAACACAATAGTGATCACTATAGCCATAAAAGTTAGCCTTGCGAATCACAGAATCCAACATTTACAGAGTAAATGTTAACGTCATTAAAATCTATGCAGTTGTAAACAATATCAACTGTAAATAAATTCCATCAATCGAGAGGAATCTATCATCAATAAATTTCTTTGATAAAAAACTTAAATTAACAAAGTTACTCAGAGGCTGGAATGTCTTCATGACGTTCTCAGAAGACCATCGTGTAAATTATCATCACAGTAACTTATCCTAAGGCATTTGAATAAATGCTCATCAAAACAAATTCAGAAGAAATAGGATAACATGATAATCAAATCTTAATGATAGAAAATTTAGTCTTTTGAATAGGAACTTAAACCCATATTAAGTTGATTAAATAGTTAAATACCTTTTCTTCCCAGAATCTAAATGAAACTTTCCAGACACTAAAGGAAAATTCTACATGATTAGAAAACTACTCTAGTTAAAATGAAGCATAATCTGACAGATTTTAACCAATTTAAAAGAGGTCTATGACCCTAAGGAAGGGAGTTTCTAAACTATTTCTGACGGGGAATCGGTCATGAATATATTTCTTTGAATCTTAAACAAATCAAATAAAAACTAAAACTGATGGTTTATAACAAGTCACTCAGAGGCTGGAATGTCTTCTTCATGATGTTCTCAGAAGACCATCGTGTAAATTATCATCACAGTAACTTTAACTCTTAAACGATATCTTTTTCTTGTAAAATTATTATAATCAAGCCAAATTTGAATCTTACACCTCAAAGAAATTTCAGGACTCTAACAAAGGAAATTGTATTACTGAGATATGACAATAATATATTCAGCATAACTTGGACATAACACAAAATTATAAGCAATATCTTTTAAGTTTGAGTATGGCCCGAATAAATGATGAGAGTACCATTCACTTACAGGAAATATATCAATTTGCTAACCTAAGCGACAGATAAGATTTTTAGACTTTGTACGGGAGAAACAAAGCCTAGTGCAGTATAAAAGCAAAATTCTGTTACTAAAATATCCTGATTTATAACAAGAGTTTGCATAAAATTGATGTGTTCAGTCCAGTCAGAGTGAAGAATCTGTCATAAATATATTTCTTTGAAAATCTCATATTAAATAAAAACTAAAACAGATGGTTTATAACAAGTCACTCAGAGGCTGGAATGTCTTCATGACGTTCTCAGAAGACCATCGTGTAAATTATCATCACAGTAACTTTAACTCATAAATAATAATTTTTTATCTTATAAAATTATGCCAATTTTAGCTCTTATGTCTCATAGAAATTTCAGGGTTCTGACAAAGAAAATTATATCACCCAGATAAGACCATAATGTATTCAGCATAACTAGGTAATTACAAAAAATTATAAGAAATATCTCTATGATTGAGTATGGCCCAAACTAACTCTAGATGCTGCAAGTCAATAAATGACCAGGATTCTATTCACTAATAGGAAATATGTTTATTTACTAACCTAAACTACAGATAAGAATTCATAGACTTTATACACGAGAAAAGAGGCCTAGTGCAGTATAAAAGCAAAATTCCTTAGCTATAATACCCTGACTTATAGAAAAAGTTTGCACAAAATCGATGTGTTCAGTCCAGTCAAGGTGAAGAATCTGTCATAATATAATTCTTTGAAAATCTTAAACAAATTAAATAAAAACTAAAACAGATGGTTTATAACAAGTCACTCAGAAGCTGGAATGTCTTCATGAAGTTCTCAGAAGACCATCGTGTAAATTATCATCACAGTAACTTTTAACTCATAAACAATAATTTTTTATCTTATAAAATTATTATAATTATGCCAAATTTAGATCTTACACCTCAAAGAAATTTCAGGATTCTGACAAAGGAAATGATATAACCCAGATAAGACAATAATTTATTCAGCGGAACAAAAAATTATAAGAAATATCTCTATGATTAAGTATGGCCCGAATTAACTCTAGATGCTGCAAGTCAATAAATGACAAGGATAATATTCACTAACAGGAAATATGTTTGTTTGCTAACCTAAACTACAAATAATAATTTATAGACTTTATTCACGAGAAAAGAAGCCCAGTGCAGTATTAAAGCAAAATTCTTTAGCTAAAATACCCTGATTCATAAGAAGAGTTTGCACAAAATTGACGTGTACAGTCCAGTCAGAGTGAAGAATCTGTCATAAATATATTTCTTTGAAAATCTCAAATTAAATAAAAACTAAAACAGATGGTTTATATTCATGACGTTCTCAGAAGACCATCGTGTAAATTATCATCACAGTAACTTTAACTCATAAATAATAATTTTTTATCTTATAAAATTATTATAATTATGCCAAATTTAGATCTTACACCTCATAGAAATTTCAGGGTTCTGACAAAGGAAATTATATAACCCAGATAAGAAAATAATGTATTCAGCGTAACAAAAAATTATAAGAAATATCTCTATGATTAAGTATGGCCGGAATTAACTCTAGATGCTGCAAGTCAATAAATGACAAGGATTCTATTCACTAACAGAAAATATGTTTATTTGCTAACCTAAACTACAGATAAAAATTCATAGACGTTTTACAAGAGAAAAGAAGCCCAGTGCAGTATAAAAGCAAAATTCTTTAGCTAAAATACCCTGATTCATAAACAAAGTTGGCACAAAACCTATGTGTTCAGTCCAGTCCAAGTGAAGAATCTGTCATAAATATAATTCTTTGAAAATCTTAAACAAATTAAATAAAAACTAAAACAGATGGTTTATAACAAGTCAATCAGAGGCTGGAATGTCTTCATGACGTTCTCAGAAGACCATCGTGTAAATTATCATCACAGCAACTCGTTAAACCAATGGCACTGTTGTTTCAATTCAGGCAATTTGAGATTAATAATAAAAATTTTAATAATCATTAATATTAAATAATTGTTTCAACATAAGTATTTTCTCAAAAATTTTTTAACTAATGACTTCACGATACCCTCAGAACATTGTATAATTTTCTTAACAATAAAATAATCAAGAGATTTACTTCTTTTTAGCCTTAAATTTAAAATTTATTTATATATAAATCTTAACAACTCATCTTGATATAAATAAAAACTCAATGCAGATAAATATAACATATTTATATAAAAGATCTTCCCTAATGGATTTCTAATAAGAATAATAAAGTAAAAGGGAAATTGAAAATGGTAAGTTACTATTTATATAAAATTTTTCAAATCAGGTATAACGAAACAAGTAAGAAATGTATTTATTTCATTCATGTTTAGAAATATAACATAGTGCTACTGATAGTTCAAAAGGTCGTATGTAAAAATAGCTTTTTTTTGCAGAAGAGCATAAAAATTTAGTGTTATCTTTATGATTTGAAGTATAATTTAATATTTTATTTACCTATGTTGTTCTTCATAGTAGCAGACAACTTATTGCAATTGCAGACCACAAAATGTCATCTTTAGCACAAATAGAATAAACATGGAAAATTGTTACATACAACCTTTTCACTAACAGTTATGTTATTGTTCTGATGCATAGTTGTGAGAATTTCTAGGAAGTTGATGAAATTTAAAGATTTGAAAACATAATCAAATAAAATTTAATTAATCATAAAGCAGTTTTATAAAACATTCAAATATTTAAAAAAATAATGTGTAAAGAACAATAACAACACTTAAGGAGATGGAGGAGATAAAATTTAAAACAAGTTACTCAGTGGCTGGAATGACTTCATAACATGTTCAGAAGACCATCGTGTAAATCATCATCATAGTAACTTATTAAATCAGTCTAAAAGCTATAAAATATTTTTTCTAAATTGACAAAACTTTAATATTAATCATATTTTAAAAAGTTTTCAATTATATTATACCAGTAGATATAATACAGTAACTAAAATTTTCACCAGTATTAAACAAACTTTTAGTAAAGGATACTAATAATAAGAAGCTAAGCTCAATAAATGGTAATATTAATGCTGAGTTATATGTTACAAATAACACAGGAGATGAATGAAAAGCCAGAAGATAATGACCATAACTAACTAAGAAGGAATTAAAAAAAACAGAAATGAAGAACTTAGAAGAATCTTCACTAGAATGAAGGTTCCATATAAAAAAGCATCAAGATGTGCGGTCTAAGTGGTTAGAAGTTAAGGATGTGCACTTAGGGAAAATAATGAGAGGCAAGTTAACATTTTCACTGCTGGTTTGAGGTTCCTTTCATTTGCATGAGGGGCAGATCTAAGACAAATTTGGGATGGTTCAGTATTTCACTGATACATTTCTTGAGTAAAATAATTTGATTAATATTATAAACAACTAGTTTAAGGTAGTTTGAAAAAGTTACTCAGAGGCTGGAATGTCTTCATGACGTTCTCAGAAGACCATCGTGTAAATTATCATCACAGTAACTTATACGGAGAAAATGGTACGAATAAATAAATAACTTTTTCAAAGAAAGTATGAATTTAGAGAGTATTTATAAATAGAAACTATTTAAAATTAATTAGTTGTTATAAAAAACTTATGTAACAGCGACATAGCTTAGTGCAGTTACCAGTTGCCTTGGTGATCGCTGATACTTAATTATTGTTAGTTTTATTAAATAATATGATCATCAGATCAGAGAAAATCAGAATCCTAAAATTATATTATTTCTCCTACCATCTTATCTATGATCAACTACATTTCTACAATTTTATCAATTAATATTGACCATTTTAACAATAAATTAAAAGTTCACTAAAATTACTATTTTAATAGTAATTAAAGTTACTAGAATAGTTTATATCTTGACATGCTGGATTAATTTCCAAAGAAAGCTGAGAAATATTCGATCGAATCATTTTTATAATTAGGTTCACCTAGTTATTTATATATAAAACAAATAAAGTTGATAACATTTTTCTAGAACTGGTTTGATCTAACATAAAGACGTATAATTGAATAAAAATTAGAATGGGGATAAGTCAGCTTTAACTACTTTAGATAAATTAGCAATACCATGGAATGGGTAATCATGAAACCAGTTGCAATTGTGGAGTGATGAATATGAACTTCCTATTTTTCTACTAAAAACAATCTGGACTATAATCAAAGGTCAAAATAGTCAACAAAACTCAAACATCAAAGTATATTCAAAATTTCATTTATACAGCTGAAGAGTAACAAGAATAAGGTAGGCTAAAATTTTAATAATTGAAGATTCTCTCTAAAACTATAACCTATCTTTAAGTTGTTACCTCATTTTATAATAAATAACAAATAAAGATTTAGAGAATTGATAATTTTATTAAACTTCATACTTTTATTTTATTTAAACTTGTCGGTATAAGACACCACGACCCTTAAGGATCTAGTGTGCACCAACTTTATACATTATACTAAAATTTGTTTCTAAAATAATTTAATTACATTAAATTAATGTACACTTTTAAAAGTAGGAATGAAAAATTGTTTAGATATATTGATCATAGTGCACTGAAATCAGTACTTCAACAAACCTTCTAAAGATCACTTTAGTCACATTCCAGATGGAATACCAAAAATTACCAGAGTATTTACAACAGTTCTCGCAGGCATAATCTTCCTTTCATAACAAAGCGACTTAAGAGATAAAAATATGAATAAACTTTAATTATAAAACAAATTCCACCAATTTAAAAGAGATAATTCAGGTCCCAAAAGGGTCCTTTTCAGTAGATTTGGATGGTTCCAAGGAGAACAGTCACCTCATAATACTTCAAGCCATTTTTAGTATTGTTTCAGCAGTGTGATAAAGCGATCTCGAGACAATTTAATATGACTGAGTAAAACTTCTTAAAATTCAATGAGTTGAACTTAAAATTCTCATTGACAAAATCAATGCATCAATCAATTATCTAAATAAAAACTAATAATAACTCACCTATCAGCTCCAGCACACGATAACATTTTGTTTATCCTGATGACATGGAAGGGATGCAATCTCATTCTGATGTGGAATTGATCTTTTCCACAATTTTTCACTAAATATTTATTTGCACAGATACGTCCTGCTTCAAGAGCTTCTGATGAAAGTTGTTCATATTCATCAGAAACAAGATGTACACATAATGGAAAATCATCAACACGAGCCTTTTTCTTTCCAAGATCAAAAATCCTGATCTTGGGATCTGGCACACCACGACAAAACCTTGACTTAGGGTAAGGTTTATTTTTACAGTAACGATAACTAAAAACAAAACATAAAAAATGTGTTATTTAATAGTTCAAAATGAAATATACGCTATGAATAAAATATATGTAAATATAAAATATATTTTAAGAGCATTAAAAAAAAAATGGGAAATTTATGCAGAATTCAAGTGTTAAAGTAAACATTATTCACTGAATAATAATAAAGCTATACACTTACTGAAATTGGGATTTAAATTTCTAAATAGGAACAATAAGATAAATAAATTTGAGAAGAAAAGGGAGATTATAAAATGAACTCTAGTGGATACCAATCATTTAAACAACTTAGGAGGAATAGGAACTAACAATTGCAACATTACATGTAATCAAGATTATTAATATTTTCATAAAAATATGATTAACAGAATAAGTGGGAAAATCATTAACAAGCCAACTGGATATATATATATATATATATATATGTAAATATATATATATATATTACTTCTGGATTGAAAAAAAGTTTTGAGGAAACCACGGAAAAGTTTGAGTGGAAAACTTAAAGTTCATACTACTGAGAATCTTTTGTTTTTAACATCATTAAGAAGTAAGGTTAATAACAATGCTACAAAGGTAATAGTGTAAAACTTTATTAGCTAGCATAAATAATTTTTCACAATGAACTGTTACCATTCTGGACATAAGTATTTAGGAACCAAAACCTTTTTTTAAGGTTAAATACAAGGGACCAACAACAAAACATTGCATGGGAAACAATTTTCTCAAACAATACTAACTAAAGCACCGTTATATTATTCATCGAACCTATACAGTAAGTGATAGAAAGAAAATATATTTGAGATGTTATATTAACTTGGTATTGGAAAAGACTCATGTTAACTACACGAGTTGTGAGTGAAACCATATGCATTAACTTACCACCGAGCAGGTCTTCTCCCCATTTTCTGTAAAAACAAAAGCTGTATATTAATAAAGATCTTATTAAATTAAATAAAACAAAAATTTATGAAACACAAACTTGGATGAATAGCGATATTAAGAAAACTTACCACAAGACCAACCAGCAACCGAAAGACCTACTTCGCCCTTCTATGACCTCAGCCAACTAGATTAGAATTCCTGAGACCACGGCTATAAAGAGTTTACTATTGCCACCTATTGTGCAAATACACCGACCTAAAATAACTTAAATAAAACTTATATATTTATTTTGACTCTAAATCAAGTTCATATAATAAAAGGAAGAAAACATACACAATTATCAAACCAATTCTATTTACAGAGATTTTTCAAATGGAAACAGTGGACTTGCTTTCACCATTATTTTGTTCTTTATTCCTTTTGGACATAAGAGTCTGAGTCAATTATTTCCATAGTTAACTTAAACGATTTTTGTAAATATTTATTTAGAACAATTTATTTGTTTTTTTGTATTAACAATATGTGAACTTAAACCAGCAGTGGATCCAAGATTTAATTTTTTTTTTGGGGGGGGGGGGTGGGGAAGGAGGGAAGACCTAATGGTCCCCTTACACAATTAATACTATGGTGTCAATTTCGAATATATATTGACCGTCTGAGGGATATATTATATCGAGAAAATTATATTGTCATTTGTAATATGTATACTACATTCTAGAATATTGCATCAATACTATTAATTAAAGAATATTTAACGTTTAAGGTGGGCTTTACACTTGGGGTCTCTAGGTAAAGATAACTTATAGCAACAGGGAGTCATACAACTGGAAATTTTAAGGTTATATTTTTTATTTTTTGTACTATTAAAAATTGATAGCATTTAATTTGGGGGAGGGAGGGGAGGAAGGAGAAAATGACTCAGAAAAACCCTTTTTAATCCATCACTTACTTAAGATAGCTTAAAATGTCGATTAATTTATTAATAATTCAAGAAAAAAATCACCAGTTATAAATTGTACTAATTACAGTACAGATCACGTGCCTCAACTTGAAGGGATGGCCACCACTTGTTTGGAAATTAATTATTAAAGTGTTTGAAATAAATTATTCTTAGTCTATTTATGAAACAACTGAATTAAAGATATATTGAATGAGGTACAATTTTTATATAACTATAAATATTACTTTACATTTAACTAAGAAAATAGTCTTTTTTGGAGGGGAAGGGGGGGGAGTAGTTCATTCGTAATTGCTCAGGGGTGCCGTACACTTGAGGCCGCCATTGATTATAAATATACAACTGACATGAAAGGTACATAAATAATTAAACAATGTGTTGTTAAGGTGCGCTAAGACATTTCATAAACTATAGGAAACACAATTATCTAAGCTAACTAATAGTGGCATTAGTGCTAATCCCAATGTGGTTTTTATTTCTCTTGTTACCGACAGCAGATGGAAAACATAAAAACAAGAAACAAAAACATTATCATGCGGAAAAAAACATTTAAATATTTTTGTTGCCCATAATTTGATATCTAAATGCGACCTTTAATTATCAGTAACTGAAAGCTGATCAGTTGGCAGCACTGGATGCATTTTCACCACTACAGATTTAAATGTGAAAAAAGTTGTAGAAATTCATAATTTATTCTACCATTATATAAAAAATGGAATCAATGATGCAGCAGACTCAACAACCAGAAGGTAATTTTAAAATAAGTCAAAACATATACAAATTTGACATATTTTGCTATTTAGTAGCAGTCAGAAAAAATAAATGAATAGATAAAACTTGTTTTTCAATTGAAATGGATTATGTTTTCCTATCTTATTATTATTTTAGTTACATTATTAGTATAATCATATCTATAAAAAATTTTAACTCTTAGACATTGGATTATCAATTTTTGAGTTGAAAAATAGCTGAAAAGGTGAATATACATTTATTTAATATTGAATAAATAAAATATACGCCTATCAATGAAAGTGGATGAAATGTTGCTATGATTTAAAACAACTTTTGTTTAAATAAAGAATAGTTATCTTACTTATTTTATGAGGAAGTCATGCATGATGTTTAATTAAAGAAAGTAACTTTTCAGTTATTTTATAATTTCTTTATTATATTTTATTTTGACAACTTTTTGAATTCCTGGCCCATCTTCAAGGACAATTTTTTTTTTTTTATATTGTTATCCATTTTATATATAATTTTAACTTTTATTATGATATTTACAACTGTATTAGTATGAATACATCAAGTAAATGTGTACATAGGAATATTATCACATGAAACACGCTTGTTGAGAAACTACCCATTGGTAGCACTCTAACTTTTTATATATACAATTTTTTTTTTAACATTCATCTCTTAGTCATTTTTATCCATAAATAACAGTCATAATATAATATTAGATTTTGAAAAAATGTTGCTTAAAAATAAAATAATGGAAGAGATACCTTCTTTAATAAGACCCAGAATGATTATCTCTTTCACAAAACTTTTCTATAACTTTGATAATCTTGTTTAACACTGACATATTTTGTATTTATCAGGTTCTGAATCATATAGATCTTCCTCCCCACTTTCTAACAATGATGAATGTAATGAATTCAATGCTCAGAAATGTTCTGAAGCTAACAACAGTTATGATGGTCAGCTAAATAATCTGAGATCATACCATGATAGCAGAAATTTGACAAATGTTGATTTGGACAGTATGGTTCAGAGTTATAAGCAGCTTGGTGGAGAGCTCGAACTTAATTTAAAAATTTTGGAAAATAGCAGACTTTCATTAAACAAAATCTTAATTGAAAAGAAACATGAATGTGAAATTCTCAATAAACAAAAAGAATGCCAGAAAAAAAATCTTGTTGATTTGCAAATAAGATTAGAAAATTTAGATGCTGAAAAGATGAATATTTGGCATGAAAACCAAAAGGATAAATTAGAAAAGTATGAAATTATTTTCTTTTAAGTTTTAAGCTGATAAGTATAATCATATTTTATAAGTAAAAATGTATGCTTCTAGATTTGAAACAATAAAACAAGAAATGCAAATCATATTAGAAAATGATGCTTATATATGCAATACATATTCCAAATTTATTGAAATTTTAAATGTAGAAAAAACAAAATGCGAAGATTTTTTTAGTAATTCTAGAAAGGAAATAGAATTGCATAAAAAAGAAGGAATAAACTATATTAATGAGGTTAAGAAAATTAACGATTCATGTAAGTATTATGAGTAAAATATTATACACATTTTTATTATATATGCAATTTTTATTTTTAATGAGTAATAATTATCTTTAATACTGTGATTAATCTTTTAATTAATTAATAATTGATTGAAATATTGAAACTAATGAAATAAGAAACAAATTTTCATAAAGCTTGAACCGCATATTAGAAAAACTTTCTTTGTATAATATAATAACATGCTTAAAATTAATCTAACCGGTAACCTATTGAAACAGAAAAAAACAATCACTTTATTTTTTTAAAGTGAGCCATTTTTTATTATACAGTATCTCAGAATATTCAGCAGGTATATATACAGTTGCCTGACAAAAGTATTTCACATCTACTAAGATTTTTACATTTTTTATCTTTGCTAATTTCTTTATACCTGTTTTGATTATATTATTATTTTATTTTTTATTATATTATTATTATTATATTATTCATTATAATTATTATATTTATATATTATTTCTTAACCAATTCGTTGATGTTAAGGGGATTCTACACTATTAGAAAAAACAAAATTTACAACACAAATAAACTTTCTTTTACACAATTTTGATATGAAAGTTGAAAACTATTAAAAATAATAATTTCAAAAGTATTCAAAATACATAATACACAGAAGAGTTGAATTAATTTAGTAGCAATACTTTAATATCTGCTCGTAAATCTTGTTTAGTTCAATAACATGTACTATTCTTTCAGACGTTGATTTAACAAAATTAATAATTGTTCAATTGGTCCAACTCAAAACTTAATTTTTCCTTAAGAACACTACGTATTTCAATTTGGAATTGCATTTCCAATTGCCCTTTTATGGGGCCCATAAATTTTCAATTTAATTTATTTAGGTGATTAGGGAGGGGTCTCCACAGTTTTAATGCAATACAGCATCATATTTGAAAATGCAACATTTTAAGGACCATTGTCTCTATACAATTTAAAATTGTATTCAGAAGTACTTCGAAATCACACACAAAAAAAACTTTAGATGCACTCATTTCAGGTTATTTCTGATTTGAGTTTTAGCAATTTTTTTTATATTTAAACTTTAATAATTTCAGATGGTCACTTTTCTCACCATGATGAAACTAATTCCCACATCTGAATTTATATTATAACTCCCTCAATAAACTCAAGCTTTTTTCTCATAAAGAAATGTTCCAGCTTTAAAAACTTCTCCTTTTCAGTTTGGATATTAGTTATTACTGAAAAAGTAATGATTAGAGTATAAAATCATATTAATGATTAGTGAACAATCTAAACTGTTGATAAAAGTATCCTGTTGGATGTTATGATTTTCAAGTATATTTGATACATGATCATCTTGAACTTAACACTGTTGAATCATACATTTTTTAAAACTAAATACATTTGTCTTATCTGGATAAGAATTTTATTTGTTGTGAATCTCATATCATTATTTTTTAAAACACAAAGGGATAACTGTGTAAAAATAGTTTTATACACAGTTGACTCTCGATAATTTGAAATCCAAGGGAATAAAGAAAAATTCTAATTATCGACACTTAGAGTCATTAAGAAGTTTAAATTATCGAGAGGAAAGAAAAAAAAATACGAATTATTAAGAGTTTTTATTATATTTTGAACTATGTATGAGCATACATAAATGTTATGTATAAATATTCTCATGTAAAAAATATAACTAAGAAAATTTAGAATTATAAAGAGAGGAAATTGGTCTACTTCAATTTATAGAACGTTCTCTCCCCCTCTTGTTACAAAAAGGATGATGAGTTATCGATCTATCAAAATATAGCATTTTTTCAATTTACCTAGGTTAACCACTGAAGAGTTCGAATAGTTGAAAAATTTGAATTATCAAGATTCAAATTATTGAAATTCAACTGTTGTATTTAAGTAAATTATATTTTTTTAAAATGGACACTGATAAAACAACGTAAGGATTAATGTATACATAGTTTAACGATTTCATTTAAACATAAAAAACCAATCATTTATTTTATTTTTTAGTTAAGATTAATTATGAAGAACTGTTAGGACAGGAATCTAAAATAATTGAGGATCTTAAGGCTGTTATAGTACACTTCAAATCAACATTTGACTCAAGAAATATATTAGAAGAGAAATTGTGTCTAATTAGAAAGGAATTACAAAGTTTAGAAAAAGATAATGGAATTTTTAAAAGCACAATTACTCAGGTAAATGTTAGTAATTAAATATTTATATAACAATGATTCGTTGAATATAATATTCTTATTTCTTTTTAGAAACATGATTTCTTAAAAAATTTGAAAATTGAGTATAGAAATTCTGTAGATACCCATGAGAATATGTTGAATAAACTGAACAAAGAACTTTTAAATTTACAAGCAAGGTAAATTCTAATATTTGACTTTTCTTTTTTTACTATCAATACTTACAAATGAATAATGATGCTAAATTTCAATTCTTGTTACTTGAAACAGGTATCAAGAAAATATACAGCAGAAGGCAGAACAAAATAGTTTATTATCAAATAAAAAAGAAAATCTTCAGTTTTTGACTGATGAAAATTCTGAACTTACAGGAAAATTTTCAAGTTTTGAAATAGATAATAAATCAGACAGTCAGGTATAATTTTTATTTTCTTAATCTCATATAAGATAGATTTTCTATTTATGTAGCTATTAATGCTCCGGTAATGTCAAAATGACCCATCTTATTTTTTGTTAATTTTCTTATAATTCATTTAAATTTTATTATATAAAGAAGTAATAGATTGTAGATTTTGAAAAATCAATGTAATATAAAAAAGTTGTTTTAATTTTTTTTTCATTTATAAATATTAAATTAATTAGTAATTTATCGTTCATTTTACAAAATTGATATTTTATATACGTGCTTTATTATTATTTATTTAACTTCAAAATTATTTTTAGGAGTTGAATCTTTTAGTTGAACATTGTTCATCTTTTAAATCTGAACTAAACAGTATAAAATCTGAGCAACAAAATCTTGAAACTGAAATAGTAGTGTTGCCTGTTCTTGTAGAAAAATTAAGACAATTAGAACTGGTAGAGAATGATTTATTCAGTTCTGTACAATGCCTTTCTGATGAAGAAAATCAATTGAAAGCAGAACAGGAAGAAAAAGAGAATGAGCATGAAAATATAAACTTGCCACTAGCTCTATCAGAACTTGAAATATCTAAATCGGAACTTGAAGGAGCTCTAGCTAATGAATCTAGTAAAAACTCAATTTTACAAGAACAAAGGTTATGTCCATTTAATATTCTAATTTCTTTCTTATTTTATTATTATTTTTTAAATTTATGTAGATTATTTTTATGGTTTTAGTTGTAATTGTATGTGTACTTATATACAATTCTTAAAAAAGAAAAATAATAAAGAAAAAAAAACAATCAATAGGAAAAAGAAACGAAACAAATATAGAGGAAAAAATAACTTAAATTTGATTCCAAAAAAAAAAAAAGAACAATAGCAAGTGGATCATAATATCAAGTGGATTATTTTAAATATATTTATGTCCAATTTTATTTTCCAATAATCCTTGTAGTTCAGATAATCAAAGCCATTTTGATTATAGTAGCTCTTTGATTTTTTCCATTTCTTTGATCATCATTGTCACAGGTTCTATAATATAGTAAGGGTCTTGTCCAAAGTTCCTTCTTCATTCTTCACTGTCTTGTGCCACATACTGCCAAGCTCTAGTTTACATCCTTACAATGGCATCCTTCTTTACCTTGTCTGGTCACCTCAGCCTCAGTCATCTACTTCTTTTTCTATGCACAAAACCAAAGAGAACATTTTTTAAAATTGTGTTATCTTTCATCTTAGCCACACGTGCAGCCTATTTTAATCTAGAAATTGTTTCATGTTCCGCATCACATCTCTATTGTGCCTTAGTCTGAATTGATCAGCACCAATTATTATTTATACTGTTATTCTACAAAGAGCTACAAACTGCTAGGATCTGATTAAGCAGAGGCCGAGCTTATGTTAAAAATAGTCTGATTAGTATTTAATAAAGTGTGGGCTTGCTTTTTCTTCATACCTAACAACTTATTAATGTTTTACAAATAATATTTATTGATAGTCATAATTCCTTTTTCTTCATACTTTTAGTTTATTTAAAAGTTTTGAAAATATTACTTGTTTTCACAGCAGCCACACATTTAAAAAAAAATTCTCTTTTTTTTTTTTTTTTTCTTTCTTTCCTACCTCGCCTTTTAGGCTATACGGGATTTTCCCGGGCCGGGGGGCGAGGGCGGGGATTTAAAATCCTGTCCGTCACCGGGACCCGAACTCGTACTTAATCTTCTCAAATCTGTTTATCCAGTTGCCAGGCAAATCGCGGTGCTGTGCACACGCTTTAGCCCCAATTGTATCTGTACAATTCTATCTTTAGATAGACCATAGAATATGATTTTGTACTGTTTCTAGGCCAACAGTAGTACAATGGTGCTGGTTTGGTTGGCTCAACCACCAGATTCTTCCCTTGATCAATTAATTAATGAAGGGTATCCCCTCTATCTCTAGAAAGTTAATCTTTACTGAACTGTTTATCTTAAAGTAATAACAACACCATAACATTATAAAAAATTAATTACCTGACCTTTGTAGATTTAGGTTTGCAGAGAGTTCAGAGTGGGGGAGAGATTGGTATTGCATCGAACATTATTGTTGTAGTATAGTATTATTTTGAATTTATAAATTTAATATTTTATTCATATTATTAAATTTACATTAAGTTTAAACTATTAGTAGTAAATAATATAATTTTAGTATTTTAATTAAATACATTACAGAGGACAAATAATATATTTTAAATTTCTGCTTCTCAAAGTAGGCTTCTCAAATATAGGTTTCTAAATCAAAAAATTTTTACATTATAGTATATAATGAGAAAATGTTTTAAATAGAATTTTAGATATATCTTCACTACACCATCATTATATTATTTGTTAATGTTTATAATATATTATTTTAGGATTTTTTTTGAAAACAGCATAAAAGAAAATGAAAAGAAACTCGAGGAAATCAAACAGCACATTTTTGAAAATGGAAAAATGTGTGATGAACATCATAACCGTATGGAAGAAATCAAAACAGAAGTTAGCTCATTAAAAAATGAGATAGAAAGTGAGGAATTAAAGTTGGCAGAAACTAAGGAAGTAAGTTTGCTACTTTTTTAAAATTTTAAATATGCCACTTGACCAACATCCAATAGTCCAAGCTACGGTTAAAGAGTGGACAGAGAAACAAGTGATCCTCATCTGACAGACCCTTTTATGTAAGGTAGTCATAATCATAGTTGAGAGAGAGCGAGGAATGGTAGGAGAAACTAAGAATTGATGGGATTAAAAGGAACTCAGAATCATGGAATCTCAGGAACCTTTACAGTTAGCAATAGATTATTGTGTAATTTGGGAAATATGGTTATTCCAAGATAGATATTTATCAATAATTACCCCAATGTTTCTAAGAAAGGTTTAAAAGCATATTGGTAGGCTATTAAAGGTAAAGTGAGGGTAAATATAAGGTAGAATAACGACTTAATTAACACTAGGTTTGCAGATAACAGCAATTGTTTTAATTTTACTTCAATCTTCAATCTTTATCATATCAATATTGTGCCATGAATTTGATAAGCATTAAAAATGTATTACTTAATTTTTTATCTTATATGGAAGTAGTTTTTAGTCTTTTTCAAAATACTTTTTTGGTATTTCGGTCTTTTTCAAAATACTTTTTTGGCATTTCAAGAATACATTTTTCTAAGTTGGAATTATTTATAACAAAATATTTTATGATAGGATGATAAAGACCTACTAAAGAAAGAAGAAGAATTAAAGTGTAATATTGAAGAATTAAGAACAATTGAAGAAGATCTAGTTGCATCAAATGATGAGCTAGCTAATATTAAAATGGAGATTGATGAAACTGAAAACATTGATGATTTAGAGTCAACTTTAAATAACATTATTTTACAAATTGAAGAATTAAAGACGTATCATGCAAGTGAGATAGAATCGATCAAGTCTTCTTTCCAAAAACAAGAAAAGGTACATTATGTAAATATATTTTGAATAATTTTACATAACAATTTTTAAAATTTTAATAAATTATTAAATATTTATACAGATATAAATATCAGTTTAAACCTAACTTGATGTAATTACATGCTCAATAATTATTCACTATTAAAATATTCTTCTCCCTATTTATTACCATTTTTTTTTCCTACTTTAAATTCCATTCCATTTTAATTTTCTATTGATAAAAATGTGAATAAAAACTCTGTTTTTTTTTACATCTACATATTATCTTTATACTGAGTAATCTCTTCTTTTATATTTTCATTACTTTTTATAGATGTATGATGACAAAACTAATCGAGATATTGGAGAAATAAAAAGAAAGTCACTAAAAGAAGAAGCTCATGAGAAAAGGGTTTCACTGGCAGTTCCTCACATTAATAATGAAATGATCAAACTTGAAAGTGACTTAAAAAATATATTACCTGAGCTTTCTAAAGAAATCAAATCAGGTGTAAGTAATTTTCTGTATTAACTTATAATCTTGTCGAATAAGATATTGAATATTTCAGAAATTGCTGAAAATTTTAATTTTGCAGTTAGACCTTAATTTCATATTAGACCTTGAAATAGTTGACTTAAATTTCTTATTAGCTATTACGCCAAAGAACAATGTTAATTTTCAAATTTCTAGTTTAGAAATTTAATTTTTTTTTTTTAATATTTTAAATATAATTGTAACATTAATTTTCTTATGAAATAACCACACTTTTTATATAAAGAGCTTTCCCCCTAATGAGCCTTCATGTGTATCGTTTTGGAAATTACTGATTCAATTACTAGAGGCTTTATATTAATATTGATAATTTACTTTCCAACTTATTCCTATTCTTAATTAACCCTCCCCCCTCCCGTTTTTCCTGAATTGTACCCCTGGAGGATCTCCTGACTCTAGATTTGATTCCCAGATGATGTTACAGAATAAATAATTATCTGTTTATAATTATCCCAGCTGGACTCAAACCTGGGGCCTTGGGCTTATTGACCAAGCTACCTCTCTCTTAATAACCTTTTCAATAATCCCTAAACATTAAAAAATTTATAACAGATTTTTATTGGCAGAATAATGAAGAGAGAAATGGATTAAAAGATACAACAGAGACCATAAATAAAATACAAAACTATAAAACACAACAAAATAAATATTATAAAATACAATATATTCCAAATTTGACAAATAAAATTAAAAAGGTACCTATCACCTATGATCATTATCAATCAACCTATGATCAACAGCTCTTTCACAACACAGTATAATAAAAAAAACATGATTTTGATAATACAAAAATTATAAACATTGTTAAACACAGAAAAATAGAAGAAGCAATACATATCGCCAAAAATATAGAAAAAGCAATAAATTACAAAGCAGATATAAAAAACTTAAATATCCATTTTGCATATATTATAAATTATTTAGAAATATATTAAAACAATAGTCCAGGAGCAGGACAGGACCATATAAATAAATATAGGGGAGGGAGATGATAAAACAGGAAGTATTAGAACAAAGTTTACTTAAAATAACCCAGTAATTATGACAATGAAAAACACCCATTTAAGTATATATGTATTTATTTTTAAAAAAATAGGACAAATGTTTCTAACATGCTGTATAAAAAAATAAGATGGTTAGAACACCATTAACAGTAAAAATAAAAATGGTTTATAATAAAACATGTTAAACAAATATAGTTTCACATATTGAAATAAACGATATGTTGTTTTAACAGTTCTAAATTGTCTCTGATGATGGATGAGTAACCCGAAATATAAGACAAAAGAAAATAAATATAATTATATGGAAAAACAAATTTTTGATAATATACATACCTACGATCTACAATTTTTCTAATTATACTTTCGCTTCAACTGTTTTTAAGAGGAATAAAAGAATAAAATTTCTTTTGAAGGTGGAAGGAGGAAGATAAATTATTTATTTATCAATAATCTTAAGAGATAAATTATTTATTTATCAATAATCATAAGGGATAAATTATTTATTTATCAATAATCATAAGAGATAAATTATTTATTTATCAATAACAAAGTTCACCTCTGGTGAGCTAGTATTAAGTCAAATAGTGTTCCACTATTTTTCTCTCATTTTGAATTTCCTCCTCTCCTCATGAACATCGAGATTGCTTAGTAAACTGTTCCTTACATTGAAATTAATAAAAATTTTCTGTATTTTAAAGTAATGAACATACTCCATGGATGTCACATCTTATTATTATTAATCTTTTTCTAGTTGGACATTATCAATGAACTTTGTACATTTTATGGGCAGATGTTTGATTCTAAGCAAGACAAAGGAAAAGCCACAATCATCCGTAATTTGACGTCCATAGAAGAGCAACTTGCTGTAAGAAATTGTCTGTTTTTCTCAATGTTTTCTTCTTCTGTCTTTTAATTAATTTTATTGGTTATTTTCAGTCTCCTATGAAATGCATGATGACTCTTGATTATATTCCAAAAATAAATTTAAATCCACCAACTCCAAATGGTTATTCACAGGTAATGTTAATATATTTTTGATTCATTCAATTTAATGTTTTTTAATTTTATGAACAATACGAGATTTAAACAAAATTCTTTTCAGATTCTTAAATCATTCAGAGAAAAGTTTGGGGAAACTGTGGAACAATTAGAAACAGCACAACCGCTCGAAATGGCAAACAAGGTATGTTTATTTTCTAATTATTCCAGACTTGAATAAAGTATTTGTGCCAACATAGCAACAACATATCAGGAGAAAAAACAATTATAATCCCTAAGGTTAGCATATAAACCTGCCAAGAATGTGTGACTATGCTAAGGTAAACGTGACCCTAGTTATAATTATAACTGTGAATATAATCACAGGTGGGCATGTACCAGCAGTTTGGCTGCAGTAGTTTGAAAATTGCATTTTAATTTAAACATAAATCATATTAATAGTAATATTAAGTCCTACAGGAACTTAGCAAGAATAATATTAAAAATTTAACAATTCATATAAAGCAATCAGTAAAGATAGTGGTGCCTCAAACTAAACGTAATCCCTCAAAATCTTGATAGAATGAGGTATTCTGGAGGCAGCCTATAAACAGAAGATTGCATCACTAAGGAATTATCAAAAAATCATCAACACTGAGAACTATAAAGCAATGAGAGCTAACATCAATGAGGTGAAAAAGCTTATAGCAAAGACAAAAAGGGATAGCTAGAGGAATGATTTTATCGACCTCCATGATTTCTTGTAACATAGGCTAAAATATCTCAAAAAAAAAAAAAAAAATTTCCATTGGTATTTATTTGCTTATGTGAGTAAACTAAGGTAAATAATTAAACAATTACAATATATTCTTTTTTAAAATTATGATGCATTTAGAGCAAGGTGTAAAGCTTATGATCATATAAGCCGGTTTTTTTTTTTTTTTTGCTTTGTTTAAGAATATTTATAGTTACAAAAATTGATCTCTAAATGGATTATTCTAAATTCTACATTATGCTTATACTGATGATATAATACTTTACTCAACTTGCTCAAGAATATCAGAAGGATGCCATATATTGAAAAAAGGATTCAACACACTGGAAGAAAACCTACACAAAGTTGTAATGTTCAGATAAACATATCAAAATGCAAAATCATCCCTTTTACAAAATAAAAAAAAATCTGTACCACTACAACCCATGAAGGGTCTTGGGTTCAGTACTTTGTAAGGAAATGTTGTTTCTTGGTCAACAGTTGTGCAAGGAGTTGATTTAACCGAGATCATGCTCAACCACCAGATTTTCTCCCATAATTAATTATTTAATTGAGGTTACCCACTATATAGAGGCTGGGTGTACTCCAATAGGGTTCCTGACCCCAGGATGGATCTAGGGCCGATGAAACAAAATAAAATTTATCTGTATTTATTTATATTATTATATTTATATTCATATTATATTATATTTATTTATCTGTATTTATTTATTAATAAAACATAATTTATCTGCTATTAGGCAGATTCAACTTAGGACCTTCAGCAATGGGAGTCAGCGCCCTATCGCTGATCTACTCCACTCCTTACAAAATATTAAATTCCCATTTGCCTTCAAAAGATTTTCCAATCCAATTATTGCTTCTGTGATTAAATGCAGTGCAAATGTTTATTTGATGATAGTACTCATCAATAACAATAAAAAATAAAATAATTTAAAATGGAAGTAACATTTTTTAAAAGTGTTAAGAAAGCTAAACTTAACAAAATTAATCATTCACCCAAAGAGAGGAACAATAATAATATTATTTAAACATTATTAAAACATTTCTAAATATTTAAAAATAATACAAAGGTGTATGGACATGTCTCCCACCTCAGTTATTCATCCCGCAAAAGTGAGAAAAACATAATAAAAATAATAATATTCAGATAATATCATTGTGCAAATATTATCATATTAATAGAATAATGAGAGAAGGAGTTGATCGGGGAGTGCGGACAAATAAATACTAAATTTTTATGGTAGTATTTTAATGGTTACGCCGACATTTTGATCCACTTTGTAGGTCCTAATCAGGGCGTGGTATCAAAACAGTTGACAATCAAAACGGCCTGGTGTAACCAGCAAAATACTATTGTAAAAATTTAGTATTTATTTGACAGCACTCCCTGACCAACTCCTTCTCATATCATATCACGCTCAACCATCTCTACATCATTATTAATAGAATAATAATCAGATAATTGAATATGACTAAGAGGAAAACCTGGCAGCTGAGCGTTATCTATGCCCAATCACATCCCTTCATAACTGTTGGCTTTGAAACAGTACTTCCTTACAAAGTATTAAATCCAAAATATTTTATTTGGTGGTTTCCTTGGTTTATATATATATATATATATATATATATATATATATATATATATATATATATATATATATATATATATATATATATATATATGGTTTCCTAGGTTTATATATATATATATATTATAAAGATCTTTATTTTTTCAGTAAAAGTTTTTTAATATTTCAGATATTTAAAATAGTAAAAAATTAAAATTATATTTTAAGGTTCTAAAGTTTGAAAATAAAATTAAAAATTCAACATAATTTATTTAATAAAAACAGATTAATAACAAAACAAATAAAGAAAACAATAAAACATAGAATAAGTTTTTAATGAAGAAACTATATCTGCTTAAACATATTCTTATGAACAAATAAAAAAAAAAAATACAGCGGATTGATTTAGTATTTGTGGAATATCTATGAATAATAGTTAATTTGATTTGATTTTTATATATGATTTTATATTATTTCACTCCTAAAAGTAACCAAATGAATTTAAAATTTCCAATTTAAAATTACTATTTACTACTGTTTTTGGTTATTTTCACATGACTTTTACCTTCATGTTTGTTCGTTGGTGAAGAACTATAGATTTTGTATTTTTCAGTCACTGACTGACATATTTATATGACTGAAATAGGGAAGGTGATCTTCAATTGACTTCTTTGGGTTCTTAACTTGATATTGATGATGTAAAAATTGTTATCTAAAAGTCCAAAGTAGTTTTTTTTTTTTTTGTAATATGTTTTGTAAAATATTTTGTAATAATTTATTAAAATTAAAAAGTCTTTAAATAATCTTCTATATATTTGTATTGCAGTTACAAGAAATGGGAAGTTGCATATTTGGAAAGAAATATGTAAAACCTCCTTTCAATCCACAGGTTTTGAATGATACTGAAATATCAAGTTCAACTGAAGTGTACTTCTAAACTATTATAAAAATGTACTAAGAATAAAAATAAAATAATCATATTTATCATTGTTTTTTATTTAATACAGCATATTTTAATTTTTGAATGAGGGTTATATAAATTAAACAGATATTAATCTGTTTTTATTTTTTTATAAAGAAATATTTAATAATAATATTGTTATGTTTTATTATTTATATTTCCTTTATTCTTAACTCTGACAAATACATCTAAAATATTAAAACTAAACTGTTTGATTCAAAATCTACAGTTTAGAAAGGATATAGACCATGGTCTGTTTCCATACAGAAAGAAAGGAAATTAAACTTTACTTAAAATTAAGTCACGATTTTCGTTGAATAGGAAGCGGTAACCGGTTGTAGCACAATTAGCAACAGTTCAAGTGCAAACAGATTTTGTCTCAGCTAAAATCATTTTAAGCAGTCTTTAACCAGTTAAACTACATTCAGTTTTGTTTTTCATAAAACCATAGTTGGTTAAATCTCACTGGTCTACTGATTCTCAATTTTTGGAAAATTTGGCTTGTTTAATAAGCTTTAAGTACATTAATTAAGCTGAAAGTTACCTTCGGATTTGTAAAAAAAATATGTAATATAAAAATTCTGTCTCCTCAAAAAATGTTTTCAGTGAACGTAATTATAATAAATTCTTTTGAAACATTTGTTTCTTCTTTTCCCTGAGATATATCGTTATAGTTTACTTACTACAGTACACTCCTTATTAATGAAAAATGAGTAAAATAATTACTGCCTTTTCAAAACATGAATATTTAAAAATTATTAACCAAAATGCTAGTGCAGCAGTGCTTTTTGCACAGATCTCTGTTGTGTAATAAATCTTTTTAAAGTCAAAGTCTTCAATATCATTTCATCATTCAATAGAGATTTTCATGTTTTTCAGTATTATATCCTTGTATTATGGTATGTGGAGAGAGATTTTGATCATGATTATTGATTTTATATCATGTTTATAAATTTAATTTTAGTGTAATAAATTTAAATTGTGATAAAATTATTTAAATAAAAAGAAAATCAATATTATATCATTATTCGATGGAGAATTTCATACTTTTTCCAATAGAATGTGGTTGTACTAAGGTGTTCAGGAAGAGTTGAAAAACGAATGATGAAAAATTATAATACTAATACTTATGGTATCATCTGATTGTACATCAAATGTAAGATAAATGAATACATTTTGAAAGCTGCAGTTCAATTAGTGTTGATTTTACAAAGGAAAGAACCAACACACAGTTGCTCGCGCTCAAAATGTCTTTTTACTTCAAATATCTCAAAAGTTCAAGTGATTATAATCCTGAAACTGCTTGTTAAGAGTTGGTAAAATTGGGCATTTTTCTTCTTTTTTTTAATATTCACTTAATATCTATAATTTTTATTAAAATCTGTGTTAAATTGAACCTTGGCTGGATGATTTGGTATGGAATGGCCCCTCAATAATTTGACTGATCTCTTCTATTGGCACAGCAACTAAATTTCTAAAATAAATTCTTTTCTTCTAAGCATTTATAGGATGTAAATCCTCTTTTTTCATGTCCAACAAGAGAAAAAAGACTGATTATTAGATTGTTGAAGTAGCTTAGAGACCTTCTTTGACATCTATTAAAGTAGTCTGAACTAATAATAAAATATTTTAGGATAATAAAGCCCCAGCCAAACATCAACTCAACAGTCACTGCTACTTGCGCAAGATAAAGAATGACTTGTCTGCATTACCACCAGTGGGGAGTAAACACAGAGTGTTTTATTTTTAAGTGGCTAAACAACTGCTAAGTATCTGAAAATTAGAGTAGGCTCTAGAGAAGACGATTCTATATATCTAATAATCAAAGAATTTCCATTTGCCCCCAAAAGATTTTCCAATCCAATTTTTGCTTCTGTGATTAGATGCAGTGCAAATGTGTGTTTGATGATAGTACTCATCACTGACAATATAAAATAAAGTAATTTAAAATGGAAGTAACATTTTATAAAATAAAATAAAATTAGTTAATAGAAGGTAAGCTTTCCATTAACTCTTTTTTTTTTTTATTCTTCCCTTCTTTACCTTATAGACTACACAGGGTTTTTCCTGAGCCGGGAATTATGGCGAGTTAAAAGGGCACCGGGATTTGAACTAGTAATTGTAATAGCTTTCTATCAACTAATTTTATAAATAATAATTAGTAAAAACATTACAGTAATTTCATTTTGGGGAAACTAATATTTTTCCTAACCAATATTGGTACTCATTTTTATACAATTCAAAGAAGGTGGGTCAAAGCAGTTTCTCTACTAGAAATGATCACCGAATTTCTGATAAAAAATATAAATTGAGTCAAAAGAAATCAGAACTATAATTGTTCCACCAACAAACAAATAATATATAACAACAATTTTACAGATTTTTAGTATTTTAATTTCAAATAAAAAAATTTTTTTTATTCCTTATGACCGACCTACTCAAGGAAAATATTTATTTAAACGAAATGTATGAATTCTTTCATACCTATTTATATTTCTATAGGTTTGTTTAAAATGAATTTGATGTCAGTAATTAACATTTTATTGTATTTGAAATTGTATCAATAAGATAATTTGTTGCAAAATTAAAAACATCTAAACAATAATGGCAAAAAAAGTATGTATAATTAAGCAGAACATATCTACGATTGAATTATATGATGAAGCAAAATAATTATATAATGTTTATTATAAGTTATTCCTAAGTACTACATTAATTATAATCTTGTGCTAATGGCTATAAAAATATATGTTGAGTTAGGTTTGTGAATTATATCTTCATTTTAACTAATAGTCTTTCCATTATATGCCTTGATAATGCTTTTGATTAATCATAGGATAATGCGCTGTATTCAAATTTTCCAGATAGGCCCTCAAAGAAAATTTTACCATCATCACTGAAACAAACATAATATTTTATTTCATTTTTTAAAGACTGTTCAACATATATATATATATATATATACATCTTTTTTTTTTTTTTAATATTTCTTTGGACTTGCATTAGTTGGAAATGTGTTATATATAAAGGAAATATTGTCAGGGACGGAACTTGGTAAAGAAATTCTACTACAAGCCTTATAATAATAATAATAATAATAATGGAATAAAATAAATTTCATTTTAAAACTGATTTTAATATTGTACCAAAAGATTAAGCAGTTTAATTCTAGTTTGGGAGAAGACTGACACAACTCAAAACTAAATTATTTTCAAATTTTGTGAAATAATTATCATCTTGCTATTTATGTTTATCAAAATGTAATGATTTGTGCTTGTCTTAATGAGCAATATGTGTGATTATATATTTAAACAATCACAAATTATAAACTATTATGTTTATATAGAATTTGCTGGATTCTTTAAATATTGAATATACATGTTAGGAATACAAGTCAAATGATCAAATAAGAATTTAATGACATATTAATAAACCAAATAAAAATATAATTTTTATAGTAAATAGAAGTCAAATAGTCTAAAATTTTTAAAATATTAAGGAAACAAGTTGTTTATGTATTTCAAGTTTTGTTTTTCATAGAGTTATTGATAATCTAATTAAGATGTTGAGTCAATTTATAGTTTCTCACTTAACCTAGAATTAAATTTCATTAAAAATAGAAAAATGTTTACAAGGAGCAAATTAATAATTTTATATAATGTACTTTTATTTCAAAAGCAAAATTTCTATTATAAATGAGATAAGATTTAATACTGTCAACATTAATTTATAATTAACCAAATGCGGAAATTAACAGTAAAGTAGTATTAACCAATCACAAACTTTAACCCAAATTACATTAAAACTAATTTATAAAGTCAATAAACCAACTATAAATACTCTATTTAAAGATTTATTTGTAAATGTAATTAATGAAATGTTGTTTATGTGTTGTTTGTTTCATTAACAAATGTTGATTTGTTAAATGTTAAAGACGAAACTTTTATGATTTAAATGTAATTTATCGACTAATTAAATTTTCAAAAGATGACAAATAATACGTTTTATCAGAGGATGGTGTTGTGACTATTAAAAATGCAAGATAAGAGTTTTTTTTTTTTTAATTTCTCAATCATAACCTTATATAACAATAACCATCTGTAACCATCCCTTGTTTCGTCGTCTTTTGCAACTTACAACAGCTGAGATTTACGATCAAGGACTCTTATGATACATTTTAAAAATTAGTTTTTAAATAGAAAATATTGTTCAGTTTTTTTCATACTAAAATTTTATAATCTCTATAATTTATAATTTAATATTATATGACATTTAGGAGTTAATTTTTTAAATAAAACGTTTTGAAGAGTATAGTTGGGGGAAAACGTGTCACTGTGTGGCGTCACTGTTCGCAATAGCCTACTGTTCCCTACCCTTTTGGTGAAAGGTGTTTCGGTCAATTGGAAGCAGCAGTTCCTGGTCCCGAGTTTGTTTCCAGAATATTGAGTTTCTTCATCATCAACTCTTGTCAAGTAAGTAAACCATCAAAATGGTGAACTTTACAGTAGATGAAATACGTACCATGATGGACAAAAAACGAAATATTCGTAACATGTCTGTCATTGCGCACGTGGACCACGGAAAATCAACCCTGACAGACTCTCTTGTATCTAAAGCCGGAATTATTGCCAGTGCTAAAGCTGGAGAAACTAGATTCACTGACACTAGGAAAGATGAACAAGAAAGATGTATTACAATTAAGTCGACAGCCATATCTATGTTTTTTGAACTGGATGACAAAGACTTGGTTTTTATTACAAATCCCGACCAGAGGGATAAGGGTGAAAAAGGTTTCCTTATTAATCTTATTGATTCTCCTGGCCATGTGGACTTTTCTAGTGAAGTAACTGCTGCTCTTCGTGTAACTGATGGGGCTTTAGTTGTTGTAGATTGTGTTTCTGGAGTATGTGTGCAGACCGAAACTGTTTTGCGTCAAGCCATTGCTGAACGTATTAAGCCTGTCCTTTTCATGAATAAAATGGACAGAGCTCTTTTGGAACTTCAATTAGATCCTGAAGACCTTTATCAAACTTTCCAGCGTATTGTAGAAAATGTCAATGTCATAATTGCAACTTACAGTGATGATAGCGGCCCAATGGGTGAAGTACGTGTAGATCCTAGCAAAGGAAGTGTTGGATTCGGTTCTGGGCTCCATGGGTGGGCTTTTACATTAAAACAGTTTGCCGAAATGTATGCCGAAAAATTTAAAATTGATGTAGGAAAACTAATGAACAGATTGTGGGGTGAAAATTTCTTTAATGCTAAAACAAAGAAGTGGGCTAAGCAAAAGGAAGAGGATAACAAGCGCTCATTTGTTATGTACATTTTAGACCCCATTTACAAAATTTTTGACTCTATCATGAATTATAAAAAGGAAGAAGCTGCTACCCTATTGGAAAAATTAAACATTAAATTAGGTGTTGAAGATCGGGACAAAGATGGAAAACAATTATTGAAAGTTGTCATGAGATCTTGGCTTCCAGCTGGTGAAGCTTTGCTTCAAATGATAGCCATTCACCTGCCATCTCCTGTTGTTGCCCAGAAGTACAGGATGGAAATGTTATACGAAGGGCCTCATGATGATGAAGCTGCTCTTGGTATTAAAAATTGTGATCCTAATGCTCCACTTATGATGTACATTTCAAAAATGGTACCCACATCAGACAAAGGACGTTTCTATGCTTTTGGGCGTGTATTTTCAGGAAAAGTTTCAACTGGTATGAAGGCTAGAATTATGGGACCAAATTTTGTTCCTGGGAAGAAAGAAGATTTGTATGAAAAGGCTATTCAGAGAACAATTTTGATGATGGGGCGTTATGTTGAAGCAATTGAAGATGTGCCCAGTGGTAACATTTGTGGTTTGGTTGGTGTTGATCAATTTTTAGTAAAAACCGGTACAATTACAACTTTTAAAGATGCGCATAACATGAGGGTCATGAAATTCAGTGTTTCACCAGTTGTGCGTGTAGCTGTAGAACCTAAAAACCCTGCTGACTTACCTAAGCTTGTTGAAGGATTAAAACGTTTGGCCAAATCAGATCCTATGGTACAATGTATTATTGAAGAATCTGGTGAACATATCATTGCTGGAGCTGGAGAACTCCATCTTGAAATTTGTCTGAAAGATCTTGAAGAAGATCATGCCTGCATTCCTCTTAAGAAATCTGATCCAGTCGTATCCTACAGAGAAACTGTATCTGAAGAAAGTAATCAAATGTGTCTATCTAAATCTCCTAATAAACACAATCGTTTGTTCATGAAAGCCCTGCCTATGCCAGATGGATTGCCCGAAGATATCGACAAAGGAGATGTTAACCCACGTGATGACTTTAAAGTCAGAGCTAGATATTTAGCTGAGAAGTATGAGTATGATGTGTCTGAGGCAAGAAAAATTTGGGCATTTGGACCTGATGGCTCAGGACCTAACCTATTAATGGACTGCACCAAGGGTGTACAATACTTGAACGAAATCAAGGATAGTGTTGTTGCTGGATTCCAGTGGGCTACAAAAGAGGGTGTTCTAGCTGAAGAAAATCTGAGAGGTGTGAGGTTTAACATTTATGATGTCACCCTTCATGCTGATGCTATTCACAGAGGAGGTGGACAGATTATTCCAACAGCCAGGCGTTGTCTGTATGCTTGTGTTCTTACAGCTAGTCCCAGATTGATGGAACCTGTATATCTTTGTGAAATCCAATGTCCGGAAGTTGCTGTTGGAGGTATCTATGGTGTTTTGAATAGAAGAAGAGGCCACGTTTTTGAAGAAATGCAAGTTGCTGGAACACCTATGTTTGTTGTAAAAGCTTATTTACCCGTAAACGAATCATTCGGTTTTACTGCTGATTTGAGAAGTAATACTGGTGGACAAGCTTTCCCTCAATGTGTATTCGATCATTGGCAAATCTTACCAGGTGACCCGCTCGATACCGCTACCAAGCCTTTCAACATTGTTCAAGATACCAGGAAAAGAAAAGGTCTCAAAGAAGGTTTACCAGATCTTACACAATATCTGGATAAATTATAAATTATTTCCTTTTTTTATTTTAATTTTTTTACATTTACTTTTTCTATGTTACATTTTGCAATTGAGCTGTATTTCTGCAAAGATATTTCACTTTTTTGTTCTTTTAAATGAATTGGAAAATGATAATTTTAATTTAAACTATTAATTATATGCAATGTGACATGTACATATTCATTACAATGTAAAATGAAATAAAAGCTGAGAAGGAGATAAAGGAAGATAATTTTTGACTATTTTTTATACCCATGTTAATTCTAAACTTAAAATGTATTATTTCAATTTGTTTTTACTCTATTTTATTTTATTTATAAATCAAAAAGAGGTTCTATAGTAATTGGTAAAAAAGTTATGATCAACTTTAAAATTATCAAATTATGAGGAAATTATATGTTTGTATTAGCAACCAGTTAAAAGTTATTAAGGTATTATTGATTTTATTACTAAAAGGTAAGTGACTTCATTTTGTTAGGTTAAATGTTGAGTTATTTTTATTGGTGATCTTTCATATTAATAATAATTAAATTTGAAAATTTTTGATTCATTTTTACTTAAAATTGACATATTTTGGTCTGTTTTTTTTTTAATTTATTGATTTTTTTAACATTCCTATTGAAGGATATGAAAATATAGGCTAAATTACATCTATGGCTAATATTACTATCTTAATATTCCTATTAACTTTTTCTTTCCTGGGTTTATTTAATTTGTAGTTTATAATATTGTTTTCATGTGGTCACCAAGTGCAATCCCAAACAATGTATTTTAGAATACATATTAAAGTTAAAGGAAATGACCTCCAACATTATAGTATTAATGATAGGTCTGTCTTGTGGATCAGATGTTGAAATATCAGTAACCTTAGAAAATTGTAGTG